ATGAGATCAACGAGTCGATTCAGTGGCAAGATGGGATTTTCTACAGTCTCTGTGCTGCTTATGCTTTAGTTTCTTCTATAGCCCTAGTACTCTCACTTCTACTTATATTCATGCCTTCAATTAAATTGAATTGAATGTTTGCCCTGTTTGGTTGCTAAGAGAGAAAAAAAAAAAAAGGTTAAAGGGATTTGTGGAACTAAAATTGAATGATCATTATGAAATCAAATTTCTAATTCTGTTTGTTTATGAAATTTGTTTTTTAGTGAATGAATTTTGTTTTTTCAACTGAATTTGGAGCCAAAAATTTGTTGATATTTGATGATGTGGCATATTTGGCACCTGCTATTTAACTTGCCAAATTTGAGAACATAAATGGCATCTGCTATGTTTGGCAAGAAGAATAGCAGGCCATTGGAGACTCCCTTTTTGTCACTTTTGCCAAATTATAGCTTTGGCAGCTCCTTTGACAGTTCCATTAGAGATGCTCTTAAGCGCACCAATGCAAATACAATGCCAAGAATATATAAGTGAAGATAAAATTTCACATCATGAAGTTTGAGTCAAGTTCTCAAATTTTCCCAGCATAGTCGCCATAAATTGTAGCTCGAATTTTCGTGTTCCTTTCGGAAGACGAATTAGCCCTACAATATCGGACTCTCGCAGTTCTGAATCTGATCTCACAAGTGCAATGTGAAATAGATAAACACTAAAGAGTCCAAATCTGGCAAATTTTTTGAAAAATCAATTTTGAATCAAAATGCCAAAAATAGACTATTTTGCCAGATACAGAGTCACCACCTAAATATTTTTGACAAATTTAGGAAACCCATGACTCGTGCCAAAGGCCACATGTTCGTCATCATCAAGATTGTCTCGACTCGGGAAGTTAGGTACAAGAGGGGAAGGTCATGAATTAAGCACCCCCACTCACCCAATCAAAGATTGGCTTCTACTAATCATGATGTGATTTTTTATTTACATTATATGCTCTTGTTTCGATTATTAGGCTATTGTTACTATGTGATACGCACACAAGGTATAGACTAATTTGCAAAAATTGAAACATTTAATTTCATGTTTGTTTGCAAAATTGTTTTGAATATGTACCACTTGAAAAAGTGATCGCATATAAACATTACTCAAATTATTCCAATTCAAGCAATTAGCCTTCATCCACAGGTATTCAAGCAATTTATTACTTAAGCACTTAGCCTCATGGTGAAGATGCTTTGACATGGCAACACTAACATACAAATGCAATATGCTAAAACGAAAATGCTCACCTAGTACTCCCAGGCAAGCCAAAAGAAAAGAGTTAGAAAAATTCATGCTCTAACTAATGCAACATGACTAATACAACACATGCAATATGCAATTACTAGGCTCGACTAATAATATGACATATGAATCAATTTGATAGCATCTGGTCTAAGCATGTATTCAAAGAAGTATTTAACTGACAACGCAAGTTAGAATGATGTGCCGAGCTCAATGCATGCAAGACAATGGATGCAAGGCATGAGAGATGCTAAATGAAACATGATGCCCTAAACTAACCATCATAAGTAAGTAAATAAAATGGAGAAAGACGTGGGGTTGGAAGACATACACATTATTATAATTGCTTGCCCTCGCACAGAAGGGTTTGAATGAATAATCTAGCCAAGTTAATTACTATGAATTAACTAGCTATTACAAAATGAATTAATTAACTATTACAACAACAAATAAACTAACTATGTTAGCTAGTTATTACAAAGCCAACTAATGAACTATTCTACCTGATTAGTTACACTAACTAATTAAGTACAAATTAGCATTAACTAATTAATTACAACATGAATACAACATGAAATAAAGTAACTAAATTAACTAATTAGCCCCGGGAAGCGAGGAATGCTCATGCATGCACGCAAATTTTCCACCCGAAAAAGCCACTGTTTTGCTGCCAGAAAGCCTCTGTTGCACAGTTGGAACACTTGCACTGTTTTTCACCTCAAAACCAGCTTTGTTTTGTTTCAAAAGGGCATTGCTCAATTTAACAAAAGTGGTCGGCAGGCCAGAAGTGGTGGCCTGCCGGCCACAAAATCCTGGTTCCTCTTGCTGCAATAGAAAGCAAACAGATCACAACCAAGGTATTCTTAAGGGTTGTTTGCACAACTTATCCCTCCTTATCATCAAACAGCTCAAATAAGTGGTAAATTTGATTCACAAACCATCAATCGATGCAATTTCATCGCATGATGGCCTATGAACCAAAGTGTACAAGTTCAATAAATGCAACAAATAAAGACTCTCAAACCTCCTCCCTATCATGAATTGATCAAGGGAAGTGGCTGACGTTGACTCTTGAACCATTTACATCACTAACAAGTATGAAACGATTCAAGACTCAAGGGTTCAATTAATCCAAAATTGATTATTATCTTGCATCATTTTAGTCCTCAATTTAATACTTTATTTTAATTACCAACCATTCCTTAGTTAATTAAGTCCAAGAGTGAGCTTTAAGTCCTTTAACGGAAAGGAGTTTCAAACCAAGAGTTGTTTTGGGCATGAGAGAAGTGTCATGCCGTTGGTAATGAACCCCCAAAATGATTAAACCATTAAGCACAAGACCTAAATCTCAAGCTTAAACAAATAAGTGGCTTGAAACAACTTTCAAAGCAAATGAAAAGCCAAGAAATGAGGGAGGTTGTAGAGGTCATTAAGGGTGATCACAAGCATGGAAAATAAGAAATAAACACTATCAACTCAAATAGGATGGTGGCTAAGACCTAAACCACCAAGCTTACGAGGATAACTACACTACAAGTATGCAGTACAAAGCTCAAATGTAATTAACAACAAAAAGCAGTCCTAAAACAATGCTAAAATAGTCCTAAAACATGTTGGAATTAAGACAAAAATAGCTAGAACAATAAGCTAAAACATGGAGCTATGTAAGCTAGTACACAAAGCATAAGAAGGGGAATCTACCCCCTCTATTTTTGAACTTCAAAACATGATTTTTGCTACTGAAAAGCCTCTAAAAATTAGTATTTAAAAGCTCAAAAAAAGTAGATAACAATGTGAGAAACACAAGGGTAGAGGCCTAAGAAGCTAGGTGAAAGGAATGGTGGGCCACCCCTCCACCCTTATTGGCCTTAAACCACAAGTTTCAGAGTTTAGACAGCCCAAAAATAGCCCAAAAACGGTAAGCAAAATAGCAATTAAAGCAAAACAATAAACAAAGACTTATACCTCTTGAAGAAGAGAACACTTTCCAAGGGTTTAACCAACACTTACACACCCTCAAGAGCTCTAAGTAGGCTCAAAAATACCCCAGCTCAAAGATCACAAGGTTTGGTTTAAAGTATATAGGCAAAAGCTTACAAAAGCTTAGGAATTTGCAAGAGAGAGAGATAATTTTTCTCCAAAATGTTCAACCCTCAAAAATAGAAGGGGAGGTCTCCTATATATAGAAAAACATGCAACTCCCTCAGAAACATCCATACATACACGTGTAGATAGATGCAAGTATCAATGGAAACAACTAGCACAACTGGCATAAATATCTGCCAAAGCACATTTATAGCCAGCAGGTCACTAATTTTGGCTGACAGGCCACACAAGTGGCCGGCAGCCAAAATCAATGGCCGACAGCCAAGATCAGTGGCCAGAAGGCCAAAGAAATGGGCTAGCAAGTCCCAGGGTTGTTAGGTTTGAAAAACTAGGGTTTTGGTTCAAAACAAGGCAAGAGGTGTGTAGGGTTCTAAGGCTCAAAGCTTCGGCATTTTGTTGAGGATTTTGAGCACTTAACAAACACGTACAAATTCATCATTGGACATGCAAGCGATGGCGTCCAAGTCGTAAGGGCCGTCAAAAATGGGATGTTTACACCACCCCATTGCCCCCCATTGTCATCCCTACTCACATGGGTGTGGATCCACATGGTGTGGGTCTCACACCTTTGTGAGATATTTAGTAAAACTTTTGGTAAAACTTTTAGAATATCTAGCATTATTCGAGAGACAGAGGGCGCATAGAAGTGAGAGAAATAAATAGTAGAGAGAGATGTTACCGAAAATGGCAACATAGGCGCGTGTGTAAGGATAATTTTCAAGAGTTGATAATTAATTTTGAGTTTCTTAGACCATCTCCAACCATGTATCAAATTCAGCATCAAATTTGAATTTGATGAAAAATGAGTCCTTTTTCAGCTCCAATAGCTTTATCAAATCGGTATTAAATTAGGAATATTAAAAATGTTTCACCAAATAGAGGATGTCTGGGAGCATTTAGCATTTCACTGTTTGATCTCGTTGATTTTACAGAACCGGACGTCCGGCTGGTTGTCCCCTGGTTATTTGGTTGGTTGAAAACTTCCCACAACAAAACATACCCTCGGAAGTGATGGATTACTCTTGCCGGTCGTCCTCCCGATCAATCGGTGTATTGATGACAGTAAAAAATACCCCGTTAGAGTATTGTATATTAGATATAGTTTTTATTCAAATTTAGTAAACGACGGAGATGCTCTTAGCACTTTAAAATTGTAAGACTTGTTTGGTTTGTATCTCAAGATATAATTTTTGAGAAATTTTTTAAAAATTTTGTTTAGCTCAAATTTTTTGATAAAATTTTTCAAAATCACTTTTTATCTCCTACACATCAATCAATTACTTTTTCTCTCGCTCATCTCTCCTGTCTACTCTTTCATTCTCAATCATTTTTTTCTCTCACACATATTTACTCAACTATAACAAAATATCAAATTATTCCAAATTTCCAAACTCCAAAACTATTTTCAAAATATATAACCAAACAAACCAAATAAATTTTTAAACCTCCTCTCCAAATTTATAAAAAAAATTTATTTCAAGACACACACACCCGTAGTTTTTTGTCCCGCTGACCAATGATTAAAATTCCGTGCTACAGCTGGGGCGTAAATGTCCCAAAGACGAAAGGAAAAAGCTAAAGATGAGCCTCGCCTCGCCTCCCCCAAACCCCCCAAGAATCAACATTTAGATTTGCCGAATCATACCTCAGATATTCCCCGAGAATCAACCATTAGATTCAGGTGCTTTCTATCATTTCTTTCTCTGTTTCTTGTTATCTAATTTGTTACAGATTACACACATACATGTTTATTGGATAAATTTTCAACTGATCCATTCCATTTGATTTCTAGGGTTTCAATTCAAGGCTTCTTGTCATAGTTTAAACGATTCTTTTGTTCGAATAACAATGTGCGTTCTGTTTGGCTAGACTGAAAGTAGTTCCCAAGTTTCTCTATGGAAAAATATAGTTCCTTATAAGGGCTTCAGTTGTCCACGCCATGAAAATGACTGCTGTTATTTTTTTTGATCAGCAAAGATGGTGAGAAACCAACACTAGCTTACAAGACCACAAACACTTGAAGCCAAAACCCAAAATGACTACTGTTATTAGCGCTTTATATTTTTTAATTGTGTGCTAATATTGTGACTCATTAGTGCAAATAAACCGTGAACTGAATGTTCAAGAATTTGAAGTTGGTTTTCTCTCTAACACTATGTTTAACCTAAGAGAGAAAAGAAAAGAAATGATTACTGAAGTAATAAGAGAAAAGAAAAGAAATGATTGCGATTTCTCTCATTTTTGTTTGGATAAGAAAAAAATAAAAGAAAAAAAATGATTGTGATTTCTCTTATTCTTGTTTGGTTAGGTTTCATTAAGAGAAAAGAAAAGAAATTATTTTATGTTATATTACTAAAATAACATTTTTATATTTTTAATCATTTTATTTCTTTTATTTTTATAGGGACAAAATAGGTATTATGAAAATAGTGATTTCTTTTCTCTCCCAATCTCTCCACTTTTGGGAAGATTAAAAATGAGGCTTATAAGAGAAATGAGTTTCTCTCCATTTCTTCTCATTTCTCTCTACTTAGGTTATCTAAACAAATAAGAGAAATACATATCACTCAATTTCTTTTATTTTCTCTCCAAATCACTCAATCCAAACATAGAATCAAATTTAGCCCGGTTGTTGCATAAATACGCGCTGCACATTCACATGCCTAAGATGCATTTAAGATTTAAGCTTGCCAACCTATTGATGCCTTGCTAATTAATCTTTCTTGACCTGTGTTTTGTTTTGTGTCCCTCTTCAAACATATGTATGTAAGGCCATCTCCAGCCCTTACTCAAATTTGAGTAAAAAAACTTTATTTGATACGAAGTACTCCAGTCCATCGGACAAACTCAGTTCTAAGCATAAATTTGAGTGAAAGCCTTACACTGTGTTTGGTTGGGGGATTTGAGAAGAGATTTGAAAACGGAAGGAGAAAATGTAGGTGAAATGTAATTTCACACACTTTTCCTTTCCATTTCCAAATCACTTCCTAAATCTCTCGACCAAACACAGGGTTAGAGATGTAAATTTGAAAGCTACAAAATGGTCTTGAAAAATTTGACTCCTTGACTTGGGTAAAAAAATGGGTAAAACTTATTTTGATATAAGTTTGAGTTAAGGAGTTGAGAGGTTTTCAATTGATTTTTGATATAGGTTTGAGTCGAGAGTTGGAGATGCCCTAACTTTATGTTTTCTTGGTTGTCACTTGTGCAGCTTATTTCAGTCTGGTCTGGTTAGATGAATTGGATAAAGGGTTTGCGCTTACTTACCAATCTTTCTAAACCCACTGGGGAAATTTCCAAGTGTGGTGCATCACAGTGTTCTAGTGTCAATAAGCACCAAAATGGTATCCTTGATGCTGAAAATATTACACCACTGAGTTTGCAACAACAAAGAGGATGTCTAGCAGTAAACTCATTCCAGCAGCCGAGTTTGGGTCCTAAAGATATTGATCTTCAAGACACATTGATTGTATCCAGAAATATGTTGGGAAAATTTGAACTTACTTCTTGTATTCAAGGAAATACCCTTAGGCTGAAAAGACCTGCAGTGACGGTTTCTCGTAGGTATGGACAGAGTGCCCAAGATGATCCAAAATTGGATAGAGACTTTCTAGTACAGCTCTGGGTTGCCGATAAAAAACAAAAAAGGTCTAGAGCAAAACGAAGAGGGAAAGTTGTTAACTATGCAAACAATGGTGAAACAGTTTATACTAATCAATCTTCTTTCCAACCTCCACTTGGAAGATGGTTTTCGGGCACATCTATTACAGAAGAAAAATCAGATGATCATGTGAGACCAGTTTTGAAGCAACCGCCTCTTAGCCAGTCTGCCACAGGTGCATTGAAACCAGCATCTCTGGAGGAGGTGAGTTGACTTGATTTGCTTGTACGATTTTATGTGCATTGTCTGTATTTTATCACCTTAGAAAAAACCTGTTACAGTGGCCAGACTCTTTCTTTTTTTGCAACTTGTTTATTTATTTTAATTTATTTTCTAGCTTAAGATCTTGATGTTATGTATTTTCTATTTGCATGTTCTTTTATCATTCTAAGTTGCATCAAGATGATGTCTTCTTTGTTTTTGTTTTGTTTTGTTTTTTAATTTTATAAAAGGCTCGGGTTGCACCTCTTCTTGCAAGGTCCAATTTGCTGATTACTAGGGATATAGAATGGGCAAATCTTGTATTTGGTTTTGAGCAGGTAATTCTAAAACCCCAACCAATTAGTTCACATCTATCTATATAAGCATTTGATACACATCATAATCATCCCTAATGAACCTCCTTGCATAGGCAACTGATTCTTTTACGTTTTGTCTGGGTTTATTTGTCTTGGTGGTCTGCATCCTGCATGATGTATGATTTCTTATGTTTCAAATGTTGTCAAGATCCAAGTCAATTTTTATGAAATAGATATCAATGTTTGGTATGTGATACTTGATCCAAAGGATGACTAGATAAAGTTTATATGGAGGCCTGACTGAATATTGATAGAATACCCATGTGTTTGTGTGCCAGTGGAACAATCCCCCACCAAACATTGAGATATGATATGAATTATTGTAATAGGCAAATTTTTGGGTCTTTTTTTTTTTGTGTGGTAACTTACCGCACATGATAGAAGGATTAGTTGGGCTACATCCACTTTTTTTGGGGGGTAGCCTTCCCTTCTTCATCAATCCGAAAGAAGAGGGGTTCAATCCACCTACCAAGGGACTTTACCAACTAAACTAGTTGACAACTTCATCGTATTATAAGTTGTTTTAAAAGGTTTTGACTAAAGTTTGTGGGGGGAATTGTATATTCCTACACAATACAAAGGTATAGTTTTTGGTGTATACTCCGTGTGTACAAGGTTAGTGCCCCTTTGAGGCACTTTTTCTAATATATCTGAATTATCAAAAAAAAAAAAAAAAAAAAATCTGAATTATAAAAAAAAAAAAAAAAAAAAAAAACAATGAAGATGAATAATTTATTGGGTTTTGAGTCATACGGCAATCAGGTCAACAGCAAAAAAGAAGGCACTTATCTAGCCATGCCATCTTCATGAGAATCCAACCAGAGGTAGTTTCAACTATGATGGTGTATACTGTGGCTGATGAATGCATTGTTGTGTTTGACTGCCATGAGTACAAAATATATGCTCCATTTTGAAGTAATCTTTTAACGCCAAGGTTATTCACATGTCCATGTTTTACTGCATTATCATCTCTCATTTTTTTTTTTTTTTTTTAACATATTCAATATTGCTTGCTTCTAGTTGAGTCTTCACAACCAATTTTTGTGATATGGAATTGCAGGAAAACCGATATGCAATAGTAGACATCTGCTATCCCCAATCAGTATGTAGCTTTTCCACTTCGTTCCAACCTCTTAATGTTCAGTCATGGATGTAGTTGAGGTTTAAATAGATTGGCTTATACTGCTTAATTAGAGATTCTAGCAATTTCTGATAGTAATTGTTGTTTTTCAGCCTGCGGGTCTTATCCGTGAACAAAGTAACTTGATTGCCAGACAGGTATAACATATATTTTCAAGCTTGTTTATTTTTTCAGTTGTTCATGTTCATTTACTTGTTTAGCACAAACACGTTAATCCTCGTGATTCAATTTGTGTGAGTATTTTGTTTTTGGGGCCAGCTCAAACTATTATTCCCAATCAGTTTTCCATCCTAATCCTTAGATGTAAGAAATTTAATGTCTTTTGTTAAGAGATCACCTAGATGTTTTGCGAAATTCATCATCAAACACTGCAAGCTCTTGTCTTGTAGTTTTGAGCTGGTTTGTCTAAACTGTATCTGTGAACCCCTGGTTCCTCCAAATACATGTGCAGCATATTGTATTGATTAGTTGGCCACCTTCTATGCCACTTTTTTCTGCAGTAACCGCACTTTAATTTCCAGACTTCTATGTAGGTTACTTTTTCAACGGATCATAGGGACTGAAATAGTTTCCATTAGCAAGCTTGATACAAAGAGCAGATAAATTCATGTAGCTTGGATGACCTGAATCCAATCCATTAGAATAAAGGTCCCAAACCTCAAATATTGACCAGGGGTGGCGGATCCACATAGTAGTAAGTGGGGTCAACTAACCCCACTGAGTTTCAAAAACAAGAACAGTTCAACAGGAAAATTTCTATGATGTTTGGATTTTATACAATTTGACCCCACTTAAATCTACGGAAAAAATGAGTCCACTTCTTAATAATAAAATATTCTGTAAAAGTTTGCAAATCCTTTCAAATTTTATGAATCTTTTAATTTTTGTTTTTTGTTTTTTTGTTTTTTTCTCTCTCTCTTTATATATGCAATATTGATAACTATCTTTATGCCTCACGTCTTGCTCACATTCCAATAGACCCTTATTTTGGTAGAATAACATTTGTATTGTTAAAAATCATAGTTAATGACCTGAACCCATTGGGAATTTTCACATCATGAGACTATTTGAGACCATTTAGGTAGGAGGAAGTAATCTGGTATATGGTACTCTTTTTGCCGTTTTAGTTGGCATTTAATCACTGAAGGTAAACAATGATAAGAAGAAGACCTCGATCCTGTGTTATCAAAAAACACTAATACCCTAGCAAATTAAGTATTGGTACATGCGTTCCGAAACATGGTACACTTCCGTTCCAGAACGGTAAATTTAGTGATCCGAAACAATCCCAAAAGTTTTTTTCCAATATATTTCCTTAGGAGGAAAAAAAATCAAATATAATGAACTAAAATATGAAGTGAGTTAAGTTTTGACAAGACAAGAACATCAAAAATGAAAAAAAAAAATTAAAAATACATTTTATTAGATGCGTAATAGTTAAAAGAAAATTTCTCTAGAAGTACCTTAAATTGTTAAGTGCAATATATACAAGTCTGTTCCTGTCGTATCACATTTTAGAGCATGTGGCCTACCACGTTTCCATTCCTATTCCGTGTACTAGAACGATCCACGTTCCAGGTAACATAGCCTCGACCACTATCTCTTGCATTACGTTGGTAATCTGGCATATGACATTCTTTTTGCCGTTTTAGTTGGACATTCAATCGCAGAAGGTAAACAGTGATTGACGGGTATATGCTGATACTATGCCTCCATTATCTTTGGAATTACTAAAAATGGGATTTGCTTAACTTTTTTGGTATTTGCTTCTACTAAGTGCAATATTGTTGTGCTTCAATACAGTTGCTTCGTTCAAGGCGCCCTTTCGTGGCATACATAACTGATGCCATGGGCAATGAGCTGTTTAGGGTGAGGACGTTGTGCACAATTATTGCTATTCATTTTGTTTATTATTGCTGTTGCAGCTTTAGGGCTTACTTGATTCTACTTTTAGGTTCGAAGGCCCTTTTGGTGGATAACCAGCTCAATTTATGCAGAGATAGACGGTAAGGTATGGCAGTTCAAAATTTTATGTTGTACCATATTTGTGGTTTATTATTGAGCTGGTTATTCAAACAGTATGCAATCATAAATCTAGTTCTTAATATTCAAGTTATCTGTTTGTAGGAGGTTGGTGTTGTTCACAGAAGATGGCATCTATGGAAGAGGGTCTATGATTTGTACTTGGGGTAACTTTTTTGTGCCATTATTTGAGTTCATCTGTTGATGATTTATCTTTTCTTGTTCAACCAAGGGCATGCCTCCCTTTTCTTACCATGTAAAGTTTAGATTAAAATTGATAATTTTTGGCACTTTATTTGTCAATCCCTTGACTAGTAGTAAAGTAGCTAGAGACACAATGATTGACTCATAATTGGAGAAATTGAAAATGGGCTCTTCATCAAGTAGTATGAAGAGTCAAATTATTGATCCTACATGGCAAGGTTGTGCCTGAAAATATTAGAATGACATCTTCAAATTTAAAAAATATATATTTTATTTTATTTTAGGTGGGACTTTTGGAATTATTTAACAACCTTAAAAAAAATTCTCAAGGAATTCCCCATGATACTTTCTATGGAATGATGTTCTAAGAAGATATGGAGGAGGTTGTAATTTGAAATGCTAAGAAAAAGAAAGAACTACTGACTTTCTAAAACGAATTTTGTGATTTAAGTCCTAATATCATAAATTTGTAAACCACCCTCTATGATATGAGAAATAGAAAATTCCTATTCAATATTTTTTAAGTCTGAAAGTGTTGAGGCATTGCTTAGATTGATTCACCAGTAGATGCAACAAAAAAGTTGAGTCAACTCTTCTTTTCTTTTCTTTTTTTAAATAATTTTTTTTAATAATAATAAAATATTGGCTCTTTGATTTCTATTGACACCAAAACATACGCATACCCAATGCTTTGTGTATAGGATGTGTTGAGTTGATTACCATGGGACATCACCTTCATAACATTTCACTACTACTTGGCTTGTCTGCCTCTTTTGGGCCAAATGAAGTGCTTAGGGTGATTCTTGCTTGTTTTACAAATTAGAGATGCCATTTTGTTTGTAATCCATTTCTTAGAATGTGGGAGCTTCTACTCCCTGCTGAGTCTAATTCCCCAAACTTCCTCACTTCACCTCTGAGGTCCATTTTTGATTTGTAATTAATTTTGTTCAAAAGGCTTCTATCATATGTATCAATGGCTACAACTTTAAATCAATGTGTTGTTTGTAGGAATAAGCAGTTTGCTGTGGTTGAGAATCCTGGCTTTTGGAACTGGACATTTAATTTGAAGGACATTGATGGGCAAATGCTGGCTCAAGTAGATCGTGACTGGAGGGGTTTTGGTTTTGAGGTAGTCTCTTCACTTTTCAGTGTTTCTTATGTTTATATACTCAGTATTGAGATTCATTAACTTTATGTTGCCCCCATTTACTATTATATATTTTAGTAGTGTGCAGTGTCTATATTTTTCTATTCTTAAGAACAAATGCTTAAAATTTCTAATTGTTCTATCTCATGGTCTAAACTCTATTTGAAAGCTGGTGACTCATGATTTTGTTTATGATTAGATAGTATTATCATTTCCTTATGTTATGTTGGGCTTGAATTCATGTATGTGCTGTTCTTGGCCCATTGGTGTAGAGAAGTTGTAATCATGGTTATCAGAATCCTGATCCGAATCGTCTACGATTGTAGTTGGGTAAACGATCCGGATCACACTAGGATCTTAAAGTGACTATGATCCTAGTCATGAAATCGTGTAGAATCGCACTACGATCCTGATCCTACTAGAAAAAAGGTTCTTATTATTTATTTCTTATATATGTATGTATGTGTATATTTATATAAGAAATTTGACTATAAACTCTTTTTCTAAACATTTCCTCTATTATGTTAACATAAAAGATGCATTATATCAAATTCATCATTTTTCTTTAATGATTTTAAAATTATTTAAGATACATTATCATTATAGATAATTTTCTGTTTTATTTTACATTGAAAGTAAAATCTTACGATTAACAATCCTTGGGACTATCGGATTGGGGGAAAATCCTTGAATTAATCGTGGTGCACTTTCAGGAAACTCCTTGTTGAGGGCTTGTGTACTTTGGGGATTAGTCGGGTTTTGATCCGGACAATCCGGTGCCAATAAAAAAAAGTAGAATCTTACGATCATCGATCCGATCCTCAAGTCCTTCCCAATGATCCTACTTTGAATCAAGGTTGTTAAAATCGGGATCCTAGGTAGGATCGTTGAGAAGGACTTGTGGATCGGATCGTAGAATCGTAAGATTCTCTTTTTATTGTAAAATAAAATGGAAAATTATCCGTAATGATAATGTATCTTAAATAATTTTAAAATCATTAAAGAAAAATTATAAATTTGCTATATTGCATCTTTTATGTTAATGTAAATTAGAGTAGATGTTTAGAGAAATAGTTTATAGTCGAATTTATGATATAAATATACATATACACATACATATATACATAAGAAATAAATAATAAGAATTTTTTTAAGTAGGATCGGGATCGTAGTGCGATTCTACATGATTTTATGACTAGGATCGTAGTCATTTTAAGATCTTACTGAATTTAAGATCCTAGTGCGATCTGAATCGTTTACCCCAACTATGATCGGGATTCTAATAACCATCCCTAGGATCCTGATTTTAACAACCTTGATTGTAATTTGTATAGTGGTGGTGGACCTGGTGGTGACTGTATGGAAATATAGCTGCATGCATGATCATGTGGTGAACATGGTAAAAAATATTGTTAAATTGGTGTTGATATATTGAATTTAATGAGGTTCTAGATTTGGCTCATTTTAAAGACTAGTATTTGGGGACTTTTGGTTGCATTCATCACTATAATCTTTGTGCATATTTGTGTGAATGAGATACTGTGCAACATATGTGGTCTTTTTGTTTATTGTGAAGATATTAGCAAGCATGTTGAATGGTTTCCATGTAAGTTACAATATGATTACTAGGATGGAGAAAAAATTGAATAATGAAGAAAACACTCGTGGGACTCCATGTACAAAAGGGAAAGATTGAGAATAAGGTTGGCCATAAAAACCCACAGCCGCTAACACCATGTAATTTTACAAAATATAGGATTTTGATGGTTGGCTCCAGGATTAATGATTCGACACCAAAATCCGTAAGACCTAGAACCTTCCATATAATAGGTTTGGAGTTCAATGATTCTTTACCGAAATTTTGTTATTACATTTTACTTAAGTTATTTTGGCTCATTGGGATGTCATCCTTTTTTGTGTGGATATCATCAGGATATTATCCTTGTTGGATTATTTTGTGTGAAATTGTTACCAGATTTCCGAAGTATATTGGCTTTAAATCATAATTGAATCAATGGGCCTAGCTCTAACCTACAGGATGTTTGCATCTAGCTGAGCTCTTTGCTGTATTTTATTCTATAAATATGTTTTGATTTTGCACTGGTTCCTTAATACTGGCTCTTCAATGTTGCTTATATTTTTCTTGAAAACTATGATGCAGATCTTCACTGATGCTGGCCAATATGTGATCCGATTTGGAAGTGCTGATGCCAGCCCAAACATTGGTCCAGCCGGAGTGGTAAACTACCAGAACATATATTGAAAGAATTTTAGTTTCTGAATGTGTAGTCATTGTGGTAGGTTAAGGTTAGTGTTTTGAGATTTAGGTTGTGTTTGGATGATGGATTTGGATAAGAAAAGGCGAGGGAAATGAAGAAAAAAATTAGCTTATATTTCATCACATTTCCCTCGCTTTTTTCTTCTCCATTTCAAATCCCTATCCAAATTCATGATCTAAACACCGCCTTAATTGATAACTAGTGTTTGAGCCCCTTACTTTTAAGGACCATTGCTTGGTGCAATGGAAAAAGCACAGGACAAGCTTGAAAGCAGTGTTTTTTGAGATTGAGGACATGTACTTTGTGCAAACAATGGCAGAGTATAATTATGCAGTTTGCTTTCTGTAGGTTCAAGAGTTGGAAGTCGCTCGCCCCTTAACTCTATCAGAGAGAGCAGTAGCTGTTGCACTTGCGGTGTCACTGGATAATGACTATTTCTCAAGACATGGAGGCTGGTAAGTTCATTTCTATTTGTGTTTGAATATTATACTGCAAATGTGCTGTGTGCACTTCAAACGCAGACAGCTTCTTCCATCGTATTCTTTATGATCTGTTCTTTTTTAACTTTGCTATGTTATTGTATTTTGATTCTGCAATTTTTCATTGCTGTTTTAAGTTTTAGGGTAAATTACAGATACAGTCCCTAGGGTTTGCTTAAAATACAGATTGCTTCCCATGGTTTGGAAAATTACAAATATCTTCTTTTAGAATTTTTTATTTAATAGAATTAATTGAAAAAATGAAATTTCTAACTGTTCTCTTGTACAATAATGCCTGAATTACTAATTGAACATCATTAAAAACTGTTAATTGACTTGATAATTTATTAATAAAAGGGTTTATTTGTCATGAAATTAGAAACTCCAGGGGGTGAAGTAATTTCCCGAACCATAGGAGGCAATTTGTATTTTAAGCAAATCTCAGGAGATATATTTGTAATTTACCCTAATTTTATTAGTTCTATTTTTTCATAATGTATTCTTGGGGCTAGTCAACACTAGGCTATCGATGCTTTATGAGACAAAACATTGGGCAACTAAGAAGCAACATGTACATTAAATGAGTGTAGTTGGGATGAGAATGCTTAATTAAATGGATGTGCGATAAACCAAACCAAACCAAACCAAGCCAAGCCTTAAGTCCCATCAAATGGGGTCGGTTACATGAATCCTTCTTCTCCACGCGGCCCTATCAAAGGCCATTTCATTAGTCAAATTAAGTAGATTCATATCTCTATTTAAAACGCTAGTCAACGTTAATCTAGGCCTATCCTGTCCCCTAACACTTTTATCTACCGTTACAGTATCGCATCTCTTCACTATTGCCTCTGTTGGTCTCAGTTGAATATGACCAAACCATCTCAAACGATTCTCTCTCAACTTATCTTCTATCGGTGCTGCTCCTACCCATTCCCGAATACACTCATTCCTAATCCTGTCTTGTCTAGTCTTACCACACATCCACCTTAGCATCCTCATCTCAGCTACACTCATCTTATTTACATGTTGTTTCTTGGTTGCCCAACACTCCGTCTCATACAACATAGCTGGTCTAATAGCCGTTCTATAAAACTTACCTTTTAGTCTAGTGGGTATTCGTTTATCGCACAATACCCCAGACGCACTTCTCCACTTACACCATCCCGCCTTAATCCTGTGGGCCACATCTGCATCAATCTCTCCCGCTGTTGTGATAATCGACCCTAAATAACGAAAATGTTCACTCTTAGGCAATTCTTGGTTCTCAATCTTCACTTCTCCTCTGCTTTCATTGTTACTGTTACTAAATTTACACTCCATGTATTCTGTTTTAGTTCTGCTTATCTGGAATCCTTTAGATTCAAGAGATTTTCTCCTAATCTCTAACTTTGTGTTAACTCCTTCTCTAGTCTCATCCACTAGCACAATATCGTCTGCAAAAAGCATGCACTATGGCACGTCATCCTGAATATTTGTCGTCAACTCGTCCATAACTAAAGCAAAAAGATAAGGACTTAAGGTAGATCCTTGGTGTAACCCTACAGTGATAGGAAATTTATTTGTCTCTCCAGCTGGCGATCTAATAGTGGTTACCACCCCTTCATACATGTCCCTAATCGCGTCAATGTAACCTTTTGTCACTCCTTTCTTCTCTAACACCCACCATATTATATCCCGGGGCACTCTGTCATATGCTTTCTCAAGGTCGATAAACACCATATGAATGTCTTTTTTCTTTTCTTTATACTTTTCTATTACTCTCCTCAAAAGATAGATCGCTTCCATTGTTGACCTACCAGGCATGTGCGATAAGGCTAGAAAAAATAAAATTCGAAATGAACATAGTTGTGAAATGGTGTGAGAGTAGCACCTACTGAAGATAAGTTAAGAGTGGACATGTTAAGATAGTTTGGTCATGTACAACAAAGATTTATAGATGCAACGGTAAGAAAAAGTGATAGGATCACAATAAATCGAGATGCTGGGGGGAGGGGAAGACCCAAGTTGACATAGGATGTGATAGTGAAAAAGATATGAATTTAATTTAACTAAACATATGGCACTTTATAGAGTTGAATAGTGGAAAAAAGATTCATGTAGCCAATTCTATATGATTGGGACACAGTTTAGTTTGGTTTGATTTGGCTAGCCAACACTAGGGCTACCCCTTTCCAACCACCCCTTCAATTACTAGTGGTGCTGTAGTCTCTCATTAGTCTCCCAACAATGGGGAGGGTTGTGGAAGAGGATCATCTCTGGCACTTTCTTCCTCCAACCATCATCCAACACTTGATCCAAAGACTAAAAAATATGATAATGACTAGCTGTTAAATTGTGGCCATTGGATGAAGTGCTGAAAGATGGCCGGAGAAAGAAAGTGATGGAGAGGATCCAGATCCGTTGTGGTTGAGGCGCACAAGACATTTTTTTATGTGTAAGAAAAAAAAAATCATACAATGCACTCAAAAGCTGTGACAGGTTTGGTTTCTTTCTTATTGCTAGGAAATGATTAATTTCGTTTCGTTTCTTTCCAGGGCAATTCCTTTTGTTGCAGTTGGTGAATAACATTTTCAAGTTGCTGTTGCTGATATGCTTGTTATCTGCAGAAGACAAGTAGAGTGTTGTACAGAGAGAGATCTATGTTGTGTTTCCCTTAATCTGCTCCCCTCTTCTAAAAACTGCATCACTCAATTTCTATGCATGTATTTGTAATTGTTTGTTGCCAATGCCGTCATCATTGGCATTGATGGAAAATTTACAATTTTGAGGATTCTTAAAAAGGAATTTTGTAATTTTCCGTCAATTATAGCCAAGCTGTAATATGTGGAAATGAAATAATGGCAACATTGTAGACGACTCTCATTCATGTTGCTTTTGTTGTGTGGGAGGCCCACTAGAGACTGACTGTTTGGGGCGAGAGAAGATGTACTTTGATAGAAAATAAATCTGTGCAAGTTCGAAACAATACTGCATGGCTGCAGTAGCCAAGCATGCAAAGGTTTAACACAAATAATAGCAAACAATTGTTTCCATGTGTTGATGCAATTTGAGAATTCATTTATCTACATGCAAAGGTTTAACACAAATAACTAGGGATATGCGGTGTGATTCGGATGGTTTGAGAGAAATTATAAATTGAATGACGGACTGGTGGATTTCTAACTAATTATTTAGTATTTGCGTAATATATAATATTAATTTGTATAATATTTTTCATATATATAATATAAATTAATTTTACATAATATTTTTTATAAATATAACTACTAATTTGTAGTAAATTTTACATTTTAAATCTCTCTTACACTTATTTTCTCAATTAAAAAATCTAACTTCGAATTTTTTGTATTTAAAGGTTTAGGCGCTAATCTATTACGTCCATAAGGCAAGCTATAACAAAATGACCAAACCAGTCATGTATATATATTTTGTTTTCAAATCAAACCCCACAGAAACCAGCGTCTCTCTCTTTCTCCTTCTCCTGGACTTGTCTCTCTCTTGTTGAGCCGCAAGAGATTTGTAGATTGGCCATAGATATGTAAACCCTAACCACTATGCTGTTGCAGATTTATCAGATTTGAGTCTCTATTCGACACCACCATCCCACCGATCTGCCTCACCCACCGCCTCTTCCTCTGCCATGGTTAGTCGATATCGTGACCTCAATCATCGCCGGTTTGGATAGATCGATCCGTGAAGGCATATTTCAACATATGTAGTGCAATGTTTGTAGATCGTGATTGTGATTCTTCATGATCATGATGGTGATCCATGTATGTAATGTTTGTATATATATATGTAATATATAGGCACATTTCAACATATATATGTTTCAACAAATATATGTATGTATGTATATGTAATTTTTTTTTTGTCTGACCGATATGCAATATATGTCTGTATATATGTTGATATATATATGTTATATATTTGCTGGTGTTGATGATGATGATGATATTAAGAAATAGATTGCAACAATTTTTTTTTTTTTTTTAAAAAATGAGAGATATGACAATGGATCTGTATTTAACAGATAGAATTTAGTTTGATGAAACATATTTGTAATAGCATCAAATTCACAGATATGTTGTTGAGTTCTCATTTTTTTTTTTTTTTTTTTATTGTCGTTGGTGATGATGATTATGATGATGATGATGATGATGATGAATGTTATTGATGAAGAAGAACTAGATTGCAATAGATTAAAAAAAATTGGACAGATCTGTTCAAAAATTAGAACAGATAATAAAATTTGAACATATTAAATTCGAGAGAAAGAAAGAGAGAAGGGAGGTATACAAATTCAACAGATAGGGAGACATAAAAGGGAGGTAAAAATTCAACCTAGGAAGAGAAAAGAGGTGAAAAATTCAACAAATAGAGACAAAAAAAAGAAAGAAAGAGAGAACAGACAGAGAGTTTAAAAATTATGTGAATTTGAACATACAGAAAAAAATAAGTTATGAAAATTCAATAGATAAAAAAACATATAGATATAAATTTGAACAGATAGTCAATGAAAAGTCAAACAGATAAAAAAAATCCACAAACAAATTAAGAGATAAAATTAAAAATAAAATATCATTCCAAAACAACAAAATGACTTATCACCAAATTATTTCACAAAAGTTGATATTTTATGAACAAAAAATATTCACTAGACTTAATGCCTTAGGCTTTCCTTACCTTGAATTTTTCAACAATTTGCTCTTTTTATTTTGATATTTTGTTAGAGATTAAAATATATATATATATATATATATATATGTATGTATATTAATGGTAAAGTAGAGCGATTTTGAAAACAAATTATAAAATTTAAAATTTAATCTACGACTAGCAAATAAAACGGTACAAATTGATACGAATCGATGTGATTTTAACAAATTACACGATATTTTGCACAACCCTACAAATAACAAACAATTGTTACCATGTGTTAATGCAATTTGAGAATTCATTTATTATCCATAACGTAAAGTATTACAAAGGATTTCATTAATCTAAAAACTGCCTCTTTGTACCAATTGAGGTTATAACGTTGTCACACAATTTCTTTAAGTACTTTCATGCACATTGCTGATAAAATAATAGGTACATTACATTGACTACCCTTGAGATTTATTGGGGGAAAACCCTACAAAATTAACCTCTTTTGGAATGTTTAAATTAATGTAGATGGATGTAAATAAATTAATAATCAGCAACAAAATATATATTTCAATGTAAAAAAGATAATAACATGACTTGTCAATCCACATGACTTAACAAAATTAATAAAAAAGGAACACAATTAAAGTCTTAAAAGAGCATTATGCATTATTCCAAACTTGTAAGATTCGATGTATTTTCTGAAGAGATTAATATAATTTACCATAAAACAAAAGAGCAAAGGGGGAAAAAATGGCACAATCTTCAAGTTACCTCACTAAAAATACACATTTGTGCATCAGGGAAGGGAAAAAAAACAACGGTACTCATTTTAACCTTAATCTTAAATAGGCCTAGACAATACAAATAAAGCTGACAAGGCTAATCTTCACATAAAGAGTTTGTTTAATTAAACGAAAGCAATATGACCCCAATAGAAACTCAAACTAAATAGGATGACGATTGCAACAACTAGCTGTGGAATGTGAGAACTTGGGAGGAAGAGTCATGATAGGTTCATCTCCAGTCAGCTTCCTCACAGCCATTCCCAGTGCAAATCCCAAGGCACGTGCAACTGGAATGGCCACCGCATTCCCTACTTGACAGTATCTGCCCAATGGTACAATATAAGTCACATGTTTAAAAAAAAAAACTACGAATATGCATGGAATTTAGTAGATCAGACAAGCAGTGCTGAATTTGTTCCAAAAAAAAAAAGATTAATGTTGAACCAGTGGGTCATGCAAGTGTCATGGGAACCATCAAGTGTTACTTTTGAGCAGTTTTACGAATGATTAGGAACAGAATCTGAGGCCCACCACTGGTTGGGCACTATGAGTGTAGTTTTTTGTAAGCTAAAAGTTGATAATAAAAAGTAGTAGTCAAAAGCATCCCTTTAATAACTTTCCAATAATAAGTTTTTTTTAGCTTATTTAAGCTATTTTTTGCCTCGTAAGCTCTAATTGTTTGCCTTGTAACTGTAAGTAAAACTACAACAAACACTCACACAAACTCCCAAAATAAAAAAATAAAGAAAGAAAAGCTATAATCAACCTCTAAAAGCAAACCAAACAGGGCCTATGGAAGGTTCATCCGGTTAGAGGATCGGGAGCCGACATCCCTTCCCCCCTCCCCCTTAAATAACATATTATGTGATGTTCTCTCATGGACCAATTTTTTTCGTTTTAGAAGAGCATTCTAGTATACATGTCATCATTATCTTATGCATTGGATAAATTTTGGAGCATTATAGTTTTATACATCCTGAACGACAGGACTAAAGCTAGATGTAGGCCACAAAGCTGTATTTCCAAAGATGAATTTTCTTTAAACGCATAACAAATAGTCAGCTCCCTCATTGCTCCCGTTATTTTTCTTCGAAAGGTATAATCTGCCAATTTTTACTTTCTAGATGTGTGCACTTGCAAAAGAAATGCCATGAAATATTTTTCACAGAAATATAAAAATCATGATTCAAAAAAAATATATTTAGCATAATTCAGAATTATAACTCAGCAAAGGAAAATAAATACGCACCTTTCTTTCACACTTCCACAAAACTCGTAATAATCAGGAAACCCTTGCAATCTTGCACACTCACGAATTGTGAGAACTCTATCTTGCTCGGGATGTAAAATTGACTAGACAAATTGAGCACATCAGAATAAAATCTTGCTTACACTATTAGCTGTAATCAAGGGTGGCTCATACCTGGCTGTGAAGATCTGGTCGACACAGAAGAGTTGGCACTGTTTCATCCCACCATAATCGTGAAAATGGTCTGCATGTTGGTAATACATCAAACACTCAGGGAAAAAAAGAAAAAGAAAAAGAAAGAAAAGAAAATAAATAAAATACTGGCAAAGACATCTTCACCTTGTAGACTTTCCATCACAGAAATTTATTGCATAATCAGGTACCTAGATATGACCAGAACAAGTATAAATAGAAGGTAAAATACAACGCAAATAGTGACTGAAGGAAAAAAAATACTTTCATTCAACATGTACACAAGAATTTCATGGAAGGATAGAAGATAGAAACAGGCTCAAATGTACAGAACAGAGAATTAACTATATAAGAAAGACAAATCTATTCATTGATCTAAAAATGGATTTTCCTCTACCTAGAGAAGTTCTATTTCTCTCTCCCCACACCAACCACATCAAATTTAAGAGAACAAAAATATCATGTCTTCTTCCTTCTCCTCAGTTCTCAAGCTGTTGATCAAGAACAAAACAACTCCCCAAGCATCTGTGAGAAGACCCACATACCAAACAAGAGAAGGGGCAATGACCACAACTCCCTCACCACCTCAATGAATTACGACATGATTCACTGATTCCCCATTTTTCCTACATGTGCAACACCAATTCAAATGCACTTACCTCCTCTGAAAGCCACCGGTTCAATTTGTTCCTTTCGTTGACCAAATTACTTATGTTGTCACTAAGGGTTACACAAACATCTATTTGAGCTTTCTGCGTTCCAAACTCATCTCCCTTAGACTGTTCAGTTTGCAGGGGAGTGTTAGAGAGCCTCCGCAGCTTGTCCCTGACTTGTATTTTTTGAAAGATTTCATTACATATATTTAGGCCTAAGTTTAGGCTTGTAATAGACATTACCATGTATGTTTTTTGTTATCTATACTTCAATTGAGATGAATATATTTACATTGAATTTAAGCAATTCTTTCACTACTCCAAGAAGCTCCAATTATTTCTATAGGCAACACAAGATAATAATGGTTGCTATTTGTATAAACCAAACCAAACCAAACAAAGTCTTGGTCAAATACATTAATCCTTTTTCGTCATTCCTCTTTGTCAAGGGCTATATGCTTGCTTAAACTAAACAAATTCATCTTTTTCACTTTTTCCCTCCCTTTAACATTTTCATTTACCGTAATCATATTACTCTTCTTTATTGTTGCATCTATAGGTCTTCATTGAACATGATCAAACCATCTTAGTATGTTCTCACTTCACTTATCTTCAATTGGTTACCATTTCATGAATATATCCATTTCTAATTCTCTTTCCTTTTATACTTTAATCTTTTACATTCTTGGTACAAGTAGGAAAAAATACCAATCATAGACCCAACCCTTGTGTTTAAGCAAGTGGATGTTTTGTTCATATTTTAGTATTATGTATGCTGTCAAGCTATTCTAAAGAGAGATTGTTGTGTCCCTTTGGCATGCTATATCAATTTCAGATTCCTAGTAGCTGAAATTGCATTTCCATATGATGAAGGTGTAATAGAAAGTTTTCCATTAGTATTACCAATGGCTTTCCAGATGGCATCAGTATTGGCTCCACTGTCAAATCCCTTTGAACAACATTGTCAGCTCCAACAATAATGCCAGGGAGATCTCTGAAATTTGCTCCCTATGAAAAATACATATTAGGACATGATAAATATCAAGAAACCAAAAAAACTGTCATACTTACGTAAACTACCTTTCTTCGTGGAATTCGACAAACTCGCAAATAATCATCCTCACCCAATGGGAGAGGCCGATGATCACGAAGTACTGACTTTTCTGTTATAGGCGTACTGCAGGAAGCAGAGCCCATCATATCTAGAGATAAAAAATTACACATAATGTCAAACCACACATTTTAAGAAAATTAAGAAAATAAGATTGATAGAAAGAAGCTGATAAGTTCATGATACCAATTTAAGTCATAAAAGTGCAATCATCAAGTAGTGGAAGCACAACACAGTTTTGTAAACATGAAAGGAAGCTCAATATATATGAATGAAGGCGTATGTATATATAGAGGAGAGAAGACAACGCATGTTATAGCTTGAGGAAGCTCAATCATCAAGGACCTCAATTTATACTTCTAATGCAAAATATAGATTTTCTATCAATTGCCATTTGCCATGTGTTATAGCTTATTAGAGACATGCAATATATACATATATATATATTCAATATTCAGTCAGGAAGCAAGTACAGGATATTATGAAGATATTAGCATGATGCAATACACAATAAGAACGCGAAAAAGTAAATTCAAGAAAGCGGCTAAATAATAAATTTGCACGATAATGATTTCAAGATGGAACATATAGCAACCATGCATAGTCAAGTTACTATTCTTAGTAGTCTTATATGGGGGTTCTATTAGGTTAAATACGACTAGTTTTCAATATTTTTCTTCCAAGTTTTACAATCCTTAAGCCTAAACACATTAAAATCAACACAAGAACCAAACACATTGTTCCAATACTGTTCACAACATCTAGAACAACCACTAAACAATCCTTAAAACTTTCCCTCTTTAGTCCCAAAAGCCTACTCTTTTATTACCCTCATCGATACCCTTTAAAAGCCAATATTTTGTTGGAATGTGTCCCACATCAATCTGTGCTAGTTATAAGGTTTCAATTTTTCTCTTCATAATACCTAAATTTTAAGGAGAAATGTGGGTTGAGCTTTTCAATTTGGTATCAAAGCTTGGTATGTTGTGGTCCAAGAGGGTGTGTTGGAATGTGTCCCACATCGCCTGGAGTTGCCCCATCTGTATTAGTTATAAGGTTTTAGTTTTCCTTTCCTTTCCTTAACACCTGGGTTTTAAGGAGAGATGTGGGCTGGGCTTTTTGATTTGGTATTAGAGCTTGGTATGTTGTGGTCTAGGAGGGTGTGTTGGAATGTGTCCCACATCGCCTAGAGTTGTTCCTTCTATGTTCCTTATAAGGCTCCAGTTTTTCTCTCCTTAACACCTGGGTTTTAAGGATAAGTGTGGGATGGACTTTTCAATTTGGTATCAAAGCTTATGTTGTGGTCTAGGAGGGTGTGTTGAAATGTGTCCCACATCGCCTGGAGTTGTCCCATCTGTGCTAGTTATAAGGCTTCAGTTTCCCTCTTCTTAAAACCCAGGAGAAGTGTGGGTTGAGCTTTTTTCAATTTATTTTACCAACCATTGGGCCACCATAGATCAATTAAAATAGGCCTCTAATTTCTACTCTTTCTACTACATATCAATTTTTGCCCCATTAATTGTAGGAAGGAATACCATTCACTAGTCCTCTACATCATATAAATTCTATCGTTTTATTTGGGTTGATGCATACTCGTTCAAAGGTAGCGTAATAACCTTCTAAATCATGTTGCCCATATGCCATCCTAATTTCTTTCTTTCTAAGAAGCATGAATATAGACATGGAACAGAAATATGACATGGAAAGGATATGCCAACATGAAAGTTTCAAAAAGAGCGCATGACATAGCAAGGACACAATAACACGTCTATATATATGCATGAAAAATAATTTCATTTTTTGTCACTGAGTATTGTACGCACCGATATGATGAGAGACCATTTAGAGGTGGATGGAGTGAGAGATGAGGCAATGTTAGGAAGAGAAAGAATGGCAATGGAGAACAGAATCCTCTAAAAGCTTGGCAGAGAAGAATAGCATAGGGAGTGGGAACAGGAGTAGGGGAGCAAGTGCATATAAAAGTTTCTAAGATTGGGACTGACTATGGGAGGGTGTATTTTTTTTTATATATTAAATATAAAATATAATCTAACAATTAAATTTTCTTGGTTAGTTGTAATGTCAATGTCCCTCCCAAACACATAGTAATGTGTACTAATTGGGTATTGTTTTTAGTTGTAATATCAATGTCTTAAAATATGAATAAATATGAGAGATTGCCAATTATAAATTTCTTTGCTAAGTGTAAATAAATTTAAGTAGAAACTACTACGATAAGTTTGAATTGTTTTTCTTTTGTTTCCACAAAATTTGTATGTTTGATAGGTTTTATCTCACTTGAGAGCGAGTTTCTAACTTAGGAGCATGGGATCACGTTTTTGAGCAAGAAAATGCCACCAAAGTAGGAGGTTCCTGCTACTAAGGTGGAGACAAAGGGATAGGTGGCCCAACCTCCCTGGCCCAACAACTTGGTGATAAAGACCACTATTGATAGTGACGCTGAAATCTTGAGGGTCTTAAGCGGTTGCAAAGGTGGTCTGGTGTGCTCCTCATGTATGAGGAGGAATGGTTATGGAGTTATCTTCTATGTAGGCCTCCCTCTAAGGCCAATAAAGGTGAAAGTCCCTTGCACATGTTCTCTCTTCACTGTGTCCATTGCTACATATACTTTGTTTAACTATCTATCAAAGCTTTAATGTAGGGGAATACAAAAATCTAGTACATATAAAAATTATAAACATGAGTTTGTAACATTTAAAATTGAGAAGTCTTCACAGTTATAATGCAAAATGAGCCCAATCAAAGCCAAAAATAAAACAATAATGCCACACTTACCACCTTTGTATACCACCTTCAATGTTCCACCTCATGTGTTAACCTATCATTGGTGTAATGGGTCCTACCACTCATGTTTATGTCAAATGATGTGCTAACATATGAGGTGGTACATTGATGGTGGTATAGAAAGGTGGTTAGTGTAGCATTACTCAAAATAAATAGATTAGAATGAGCATGTGAACATGTGTGAGTGGAGAATGGGAAAAGAGCCCTTTATAAAAATGAGCTAACCTCATGCTTGGGATGGCCAAGCTCAATTATGGTAAAGTTCCAAATCGTCTAGGCTAGTGTTAGATTGGTCCGACTTACAAGACAAGTTAACATTTGCATAATATAAGAAGATAAAAAATAATGCTATCTCCCACAAGTTAGCAAGAATCCTACCTAAAAAACTTTACCAAGAATGAGGAGTGTAGAAGGATAACAATAAGAGGCCATGGTGAAGAAGTTTAGCATGACACTATAAGGTGAATGGTTTTTATTTATAGATGATATACAATTATCAACTTGCACTTTTTCTATGCAAACATCATTGACCATTTTCTTTGGCTATGCTATGAGAATTGTTTGTCTCCAGAATATAACATTATTAAAATATGCACTGCATTTTAAAGACATTTAGCAATTAACTCAACTAAAGAGAATCTTAATCCCCAAATACTAGCTACATGAATCTTTCTTTAATAAGCTCTATCAAGAGCCATGCCATCTATTGTGTGCAGGGAAGGTGTCTATCCGTCATAAACTTGACCAATACTCTTTTTGGCATTCTGCCCTTCCATGATTGCTTTCAACTTGAATCAAATTAATCCTTTATACCAGTTCATTCAGTGTAAAAATGATTTACACCCCATTTGATGGTATGGTGGCTTCTACTGAAGTGTGTTTTTGAGTTAAGAGCATTCTAGAGAAAGAGGTTGTTGTAACAAAGTTGGCATTCTGCCCTTCCATGAGTGCTTTCAACTTGAATCAAATTAATCCTTTGTTGATTTACACACCATTTGATGGTATGGTGGCTTCTACTGAAGTGTTTTTAAGTTAAGAGCATTCTAGAAAAAGAGGTTGTTGTAACAAAGTTGGGTATTTGATTGTCGCACTGGAGAAGAAATTTTACATCCTGTTTTATGTTAAAGCATCTTAGTTACTACTTCACTGACAAACCTATAAAATGTTGATGCGCTTTAAAGATGCACTCAAACACAACCTAAAGCACTAAAAAGGTTGGAGAAGTACCTCCAAACAAAACGCACCACATTACCAAACAAAAGGAAAAAAATATTTTAGTACCTATAGATATAAATTATGGAGATATCAAAAATTGCAACCACTATAGAAGAATTAAGTTGATGAGTCATACAATAAAATTATAGAAGAGAGTGATTAAGCGTTGCCTAAGAGCTACAGTCTACAACAATAGTATTAGAGAATCAATTTAGATTTACTCCCGGTAAATCAATGATAGAACCATAGATCAACTATGAAAGTGATATTTTATTAAGAAGATTTATAGAGAAGTACAGAGACGAGGAGGAAGCTTCGTATAGTATTTATAAATATAAAAAAAGCTTCTGATAGAATGCCTAAAGATATAATGTGGTTGGTGTATGTTATTCAAAGATAATATTGTTCTACAGGATGAAACTAACACTAAATTAGAAAATTGGAGAGAAGCACTTGAGTCAAGTAATGTAAAATTATAAATAACAGAAATATAAACAACAGAGAAGTGAACATAAAAAAATCAATAGATAACATAGACAGTGAACAATTTCATTAAGTAGGGTCAATTGTTAACGATGGAGAGATTGAAGATGATGTAAACCATAGAATCAATATAGGTTGGAATATCAACAAATGAGAGGGAAAAAAAATCATAGCACAACTACAAAGCTAATGATTTTTATGGGGCATAAAGTTGGGACGAAAATGCTTAAATTGATGTTGTGGACCAAGTAAGATAGATATTACTCCCTCCGTCCCATAATATTAGTCCCTTATTCCATTTTTTATTGTCCCAAAATATTAGTCCCTCTTCAAAAATCAAGTACAAAAATAATATAAATTTCCCATTTTGCCCTTCTTTTAAATTCATAAATAATATAAAAAAGACAATTATGACATTGATATTCTCAAAAAAGTGTACTATCAAAGGGTAATTTTAGAAAACCAACTTTTTAAAAGTACAATAATTGTACTACCAAAAAAAGTTTGATTTCCCAAAAGGGACCATTATTTTGGGACGGAGGGAGTATTATATTCGTGAAATGGTAAGTGTATTTCATTAAGTAGGGTCAATTGTTAACGATGGAGAGATTGAAGATGATGTAAACCATAGAATCAATATAGGTTGGAATATCAACAAATGAGAGGGAAAAAAAATCATAGCACAACTACAAAGCTAATGATTTTTATGGGGCATAAAGTTGGGATGAAAATGCTTAAATTGATGTTGTGGACCAAGTAAGATAGATATTATTATATTCGTGAAATGGTAAGTGTAACATCAATTGAAGATAAGTTTAGGAATAATAGACTAAAATAGTTTGGTCATATACAACGAAAACTAGTAGATGCGTGTGAGAATATTCATTCAGATTATGGAAATATATGTTTTAGGTTGATTGTATCTTTTAGATTGATTGTATAGGGTTATTTCCTATTTTAGATTAGGTTTAGGATTGCTATATATATCGGTTGTACTCTTTGTTAATTATCTTCAAAAAACTTATATGGTATCAGAGCTTGGTTCGAAAACCTAACCTCCACTGTCTCTGTCTTCGTGTACGAAACCCAAGCTTCTCAGTCTCGTCTTGGGTCGTGATCATATCATCAGCAACTCACGATCAGCTTCAACCCCCTACTTCGTCACGACTCAGTCCTGGTACTTCTGGTTCGCAAACTCAGTCCTTCTGGTTCGCAAACTCCATCGTTGTGGTTCTGATTCAGGTCGTGATCGTCTTCAGCCATCGTGACTCCACCCTGGTCTTTTGAAGCTTCTTTGGTTCGCAATCAGTCCTGGTATTGATACGTATAACTGATTTGCTAGTATTTACACTTTGACCCCAAAAATTTCATTAATTATTACACTTGGACTGGTTCTCTCGTGACTCGCCTTCTGCTACACGGCTGGTCATCTGAGTGACTAACCCTTTTGGTTCGCATTGCAAAGCTCTCTGATTGTTCTTCACTGATTGCTCGTTTGTCTTTTCTAGTTCTCTGCTTCTGTGGTCTGGCCTACGACAATTCACTTGTGATATTAATTTTCGAGTTATTACAATTTGACCCCTCAATTTTCTGGTTATTAGACTTGAACTTTTGGTTTGGCTATTTTGCTCAGTTTTCTGGTTATTAGATGTCTCTCACTTTGGATGAGTGTGCCTTCTACCATCAGCAGGGTCATTGGAAGTATCACTATCCCAAGAAGAGATGTCTGTCTGGCTCGTCTTCTCAGCAATTTTCGAGCAATTTTCAAGCTTCCGTCAGTTTTGTTGCGTCTGCTCCAGCTCTTGATCCTGACTTGGCTTTCCTTGAGAGCTCAGATTAATCAGCTTCTACATACACTGTCTACCTCCCAATCCTCCCCGTCTGCCTCCATTGTTTCCTCTCTTCATTCAGGTTTGCTTGGGACTTCTTTAAGTATTTCTTCGTCTGTCTGGATTTTTGAATCTGGTGCTTCTCATCATATGACTCCCCATCTCTTCTTACTTCAAAATTGTACTCCCCCTTCCTCTCCTATTACTGTTAATGCTGCTAATGGATCTGGTATGTCTGTTATATCTGTTGGGTCTGTCTTACCATTTGTTATGTTTGCTATCTCTATTCCATCTGTCATTTATGTTCCTCAGTTATCTGTCAGTTTATTATCTATCAGTCAGCTTGATTCCTCCGATTTTGATAGTCTTCTCTTCTTCTATCTGTTCTGTGCAGGATCGGATGTCCAAGCAGCAGATTAGGACTGGTCGTAGAGTTGGAGACCTCTATGTGGTGGAGAGCCTACATCTGCCTATGACACCCTCTCCGACTGCCTTATCCTCTTTTCAGTTAGATTCTTTGTCTAGTCCTTTCAAGTTATGGGATTCTAGATTAGGGCATTTGTCTGCTAATCGCTTACGGCCTTTAGCTTAGTCTGGTATATTGGATAAAGTTTCTCTTAGTGAACTTACTGAGTGTCGGGAGTGTAAACTTGCCAAAATGACAGCCTTACCTTTTCGTAAAAGTACTTCCATATCTGATATACCATTTTCTTTAGTTTATACTGATATTTGGGGTCCTTCTCTTGTTCTCACCAAAGGGGATTCTGCATATTATGTGCCCTTACAATGCGATGGTAATAAATACTGATAACAAAAAACAATAATATGAATTTATTAATTTAACTATTATAATAAATTTAACGGAGGGGAATGACATAAAATGAATCATATACATGGAGTCTTCAAAATAAACCAAACACCCATGTTGGACATCAGACACTTGGACAAAGGTGATGTATATGCATCTAATACTTTTCATCAAATACTTTTTATATATTTGTATTTAGCACTATAATTATATCTACATATTATTACATAATTGCTATAAAATGCGTTAAAATGCCTTTTTGACACTATATGTTACATATAATACCATTTGATCTCATGTAATAGATTAAAAATATGACAATTTTTTTGTAGAGTCCACGTGCCCTTAAATTTGATGTTTTTGAAGCTTTGAATAATCAGCTTAGGGTATGATGAGATATCACCCCTTATTTATACATGAAGATTAGGGTTTACAAACAAGACAATTACAAGATGATCCCTGAGGGCATCACAATGATTACAGACCCAAGTGCCTTTCGGCTAATAAAATACTAAGACTTTCGGTGATTATAATATGCCAACAGTTTTATGGGTCCGATTTCTAGATACGCATACTTAAGTAATCTTCGTACCCAAGTTCATATAACATAACATATAATTGACCCCACTTGATAGGGATATAAAGCTTATCTTAGCATGGTCTACAAAGTACTTGCATCCTTAACTCATTTTTTAACATCAATGCCAGAATATCAAATTCAATCATGAATGTTCCATACACATGTTGGGCCTAAAAAATTATACTCCCTCCGTCCCAAATTGATAGTCCTTTTTGAAAATTTCAAACTTTTTAAGGAAACATAATCATTACACTTTGAATTTAAATTTTAAAGAGTTAGTTCCAAAAATACCCTTTTATTCTCATTTTGAAATATATTTATAATTACTTTACAAGGGGTAATTTTGGAAACTTTTAAATTTAAAACTTTGACTTTTCAAAATGGACATACATTTTGGGACAACAAAAAATGAAATAATGGACCAACAAAAATGGGACAAAGGGAGTAGTTGATCTATAATGTGACAAAAAAATTGTTGACATTGAAGAACTCATACTAATCATACGAATACTCTAAACTTCAAGTGGTAACCTTCAAAATTAATCATTCAAAGAGTGCAAAAGACAAAAAAATAAATAAAAAGATACTAACCATACATAGTTACAGGTAGCAAATGAGTATGCCAATAGAAAAATATTGATTCAAAATTACTCTTAAGTGATGATCTACAATTAGCACCTATGATCAAGAATTACCCCCACATTTATTATTTGGAAGACAAACAGCTTACCGCATTTAGTTACCCTAATATATTTTTGGAACTCGGTTTCTGGAGGCTTTTTGTAGGACATTTTGTCTTGAATTTCATGATTTGATACCTTAAGTAATAAATCATAATATTAGTAAGAACTGGTGATTTGTTCATGGGAAATAAGAGCACAAAACCAGCAAGGTAAAAAATAAAATCATAATTTGCCAACAAAAAAAAAAAAAAGAGTAAATAAAAGAAGAAGAAGAAGCAGCTTACAGGAGGAAGGTCACAGATGGCATCACTAAGAACAAGAGCTTTTTCCAACTCTCGAGACTGGCCTTCATCATAAGCAACAACACAACGCTGTGACATGGACATGCATTAGCAACAATATTAAATTAGTTAAAAAACCTTTTCATATAAGCAACAAATAAGCACCTCAAACTCCCTTGGAGCCCCATACTTCAAAACCACATCATGTGTGGGAAGTGGAAACTGAGGTAATTTCTGCAAACAACACAGCAATCATGAATAAGTTTGTCATATCATTTTCAAACAAAACAAGTGGTTACTTGCCTCATGGGAATGAGCGCCCCACAAGAAAACACGCAAACGGAATTGAGGAAGACCATAACACCCAGCAGCCATAATTCCTAGCCTTGCTTGGTAGTTCATGCGAACCAAGCGACTCAAAGCATATCTTCCAAGGGTACCCTTAGCGAATCTCAAAATGTCAATCACATTTTCCATTAGAACAAACTTGGGCTTCAAAAAGTTCACGATATCCATGAAGACTACGATTTGACGATTTCTTTCATCATCCAATGGAGAACCAACATTTCTAAAGCGGTTATAGCCACTTATTCCTTGGCATGGGGGACCACCACAAATAACATCAACATCTCCCTACAATACATTGTTGATAACAAAATAAGGAGAACATCTTCATAAGAAAAGCAAGAATATATTACCATGAAAGGTGCAAGATAATTATGTAATGTACGACATACAAGTCTTTTTGCAAATCAAATGTAAACTAATAATATCATTTATGCACTTCACGCAAAAAAATCTTACCGGACATGGCAATATTTTTCTCTTAAATCCCTTTAGTACAAAATCTCGTATCCGATCTTGGCATTTGCTAACCAGAAACAAAAGAAAGAACTCAATAAGTAACAATCTCAAAAATGAAGAAAAAACCTTTATAACGTAAAATGAATAGCATACCTTAACCCCTTAATTGACTCCCATGTATCCTCACTTGAACCATATCCCACCCAACGCACCTAAAATGTAAGTAGTAGTTAAGGGAGCAACTATAAAATCTATATCATAGGATAAATTTTATGATCCACTCATTATATAATTAATCTAGAATCAATTAAAATTACACTAACGTGCCCTGAGGTATCTAACCATTCCAATGACCTCACCTAACACACTTATCAGGCAAAAATGGGAGCTTTCTAGATACACTCGCTAAATTCCTCTATGCACCTCACATGACCAATGTTGCTCCACAAGGTACAAGATTTACAATGCAGTGTAGAGAGAGGAATTAAGTGGGTGCAAAGCTTGCTCAACCAAATTCCATACAGAGAGTGTTCTTTTGCATTTTTACCCTTAGTTTTTTGTTCAATTAATTGTATGATGTAAAGATCAATGGTTTAACACCTGATTTCACCCACTTTTCAACCCACCTCCTCTTCGTTATAGTTTCCATCCACTCCATTGCAATCCCCCACTACAACTCCTCATTGCTCAATCTACCAAATCCCATCACCAACGCAACCCCCGCAACAAGCTACCACTCCCAATCTATGAAACAAAGATACTTCTAAAAGGGAGAAGTATTCGTTTCATACCTGTATTTGATACCGATACTCTTCGGATACTCATGGATACATATATGATACTTCCTAAAAGTATCCAATACTTGGTATTCATTCTAAGGGGTTGTTTGGGATATCCTAAATAAGTATACTTTTTGTCTTTTCGGACTAAAAAGTTGAGGGAAAAAATATGAATGTTTTGGTTGACTTTTTGACTTTTTATGAAAAAATATGTATTAAAAAATTGTATAAATAAGTGCGTAGGAGAAGATAGTGTACTAGGCCGTACGAATTGGCACTGCATTAGGCTGGGTGAGTAGATGGGAAAGATTGCCTCCTTTGCGGGCTTTGATTGGACGGTGTTATTCGGCCCGTGGAGACCCACCACGGGTCCCGTTTTTCTAATCGGAACCCTTCCATGTGTAGAACTCGTTGAGTACTATATGTTTGTAAAAAATCACGTTGATTGAATATCGATAGCTATCTGATTGTGTTAGTTTTTTTTGTCAACTGTTAACTATAACACCATCCAATTTTTATATAAAACTGATTTGATCATGTAGTTAACGATATCCGATAGACGTGATTTTTTACAGGCATATGGCACTAGACGAGTTCTACATATTAACGGTTCGAATTATCAAAACGGAACCTATGGTGGGCCCTCACGAGCCCAACTTTACCATCCAACTCAGTGAATGTACACATGTAATTTTTGTTTCCCCCCTTTCACTGCAGTTGGCTTGACGTCAATACGTTAATGGGCCAAAAAGTTGATTTGTATTTTAATATTTGTATATTAATTTTTTTATAATTTTTTTTGGTGAATAGTGATAACTTTTTAACTTTTTTGGTAACTTTTAGACTTTTTTTAAACTTATCAAACCAGCCCTAAGTGTCAAATATTTTTTGAACACTCTACGTCAGATATTAGGGTAAATTACAAGTACATCCCCTGAGGTTTACTTAAAATACTAATTACATCCCATCCCTTAAAATTTCTAATTGCATAACAAATAACCCCTTTTATTAATCAACTATTAAGTCAATTAACAATTTTTAATGATGTCAACAATATATTTCAATTAACAATTCCAATTATTTCATTGTTGTATAGGAGGATAGTTAGAAATTTCATTTATTCTGTCAATTTTATTAAATGACAAATTTTGTTAATTTGGTATTTGCAATTTCCATAACCATATGGGGCAATTTTGCAAATACTAAATTACAAGTACACCTCCTGAGGTTTGCTTAAAATACTAATTACATCCCGTCCCTTAAAATTTCTAATTGCATAACAAATAACCCCTTTCATTAATCAACCATTAAGTCAATTAATGGTTTTTAATAATGCCAACAATATATTTCAATTAACAGTTCTAGTTATTTCATTGATGTATAGAACGATAGTTGGAAATTTCATTTTTTTCTGTCAACTCTATTAAATGACAATTTTTGTTAATTTAGTATTTGCAATTTCCAAAACCATAGGGGACAATTTGTATTTTAAGCAAACCTCAAAGGGTGCATGTAATTTACCTTATTTATTATTGAAGAAGAAAATAGTGAGATTAAAGTAATATCTTACCTTTTTAGATTTTATCAAATTAACATATCCACTAAAAAAATAGTAAATTGACTATTGGCACTTAAACTAAAATCTAATTCATAGGAAAATAATACAACACTAAAAATTATAATAATAAAAAATTCCAAGTATCTTGGTTGTACTCTTATATTATTTTTTATTTTGTCATATTGCCTTATTCGTATTGTATTGTATTCATATCCGGTATCCGTATCCATGCTTCATAACTCCCAATCCACCAAATCACATCACCAAAACCGCACTACCCAATCCATCAAATCCCACCACTCGGTGATTACTCTCTTAACCACATATCATCAATAAACATATATTGCTAGATTAATAGTAAGTTGATACCTAATTTTTGTCTAAAACCCTCTCTAGTAACCACCTCTGAACCGTCTATAGCCGTTGAAGAGGTAAATGAGCCATCTTTCTAAAATATTTAATAAGTTCAAGAAACATGGACATATATTTGTTTATTCTCGTGGTCATATAGTGACAATGGGGTAGTGATGGCTAAAGACGGCTTATGGAGGGTGGCAATTTTGGTGGCTATAGTGGTGGTTGTGGTTGGCAGAACGCACCCCAATAATGTGGCTAGCAAGGCTCCAACACAATTGTTGTCCACAACATATTGCAATTGATCATCAATGTAGGCGGGTTACATTGGTTTGTGAGGGGTAGTGCAACGTATGGCAATTAGAGTCAAGCTTAGTTGATTTTTTTTTTTTTCTTTTTTTTTTTCCTTTTTTGGGGGGGAGGGTGATTGATCAGGAGATAGTAGTGCGTGACGGAGGTTGGGTGGCACTGTGCTAAAAAGGTGGTGGTGCACAATGGGACATTGGTGGGGTGGGTTAGGTTGTCCTACTTGCACACGGTGTACCAAAACAATGAGGAAGAGAAACAAAAATAATATATGTAATAAAAAGGGTACACTTCAGACAAAGACTAGTGAGCAGTCAAGTGAAGGCTGACTAAATATTTTCATAACAATTAGGGGCATTTTGGCCAATAAAAAAAATACCTGAAAATGAAGGCCACGCTTGCCTGTTTCATTGGGATCGCCATAACATATATCAACTAGGCTTGCAACTTCATATTCACCCTTTCGAGTCTTATGGTCATTTTTTGAATTTACATCTTTCTTAGCTGCTTTCTTGACAATAGAATTTGGTTCATGCGTCTTTGAAGCATTACTGACTACATATTGTTTGCAAAGTATGTTCCATTCATTTAAGAGGTCAAGGAAATCCTCTGCAGATTCATTCCTAATCTGGAAAATAAGCATAACACAAATTATGCATAAATCTTTTATGTAAGATCATTAACTAGGACCTCTTTCAATAATTTTGAGAATACTGACTTGTGTCGTTGGGTGATTCAACTTCAAGCTTTCACATGCCGATTTATCAATGTCAATTGCCCACTTCTATAAAAAATACCAGTAAAATAAGTCATTATGACATCACACAAACAAACATGCCACTGTAAAATAAAGCACATGTCGTAAAATACAAAACCAACTTAAGATAAATTACCGTCACAAGATCTACACCACAAACTTTCGCACCATAACATAGCCCCGTTGACATTCCACCACAACCAGAATAAACATCTAACAATGCTAGCTCTGATTTGTAAGGTTTATTACTGAATACTCCCTCAAAATTATCGTTAGTATTATTCATGTGAATTGCCCTCATGGGAGGAGATGGATACAAATAACTACTATCTGCAGAATTACCTAAACCAAGAAAGATAAGTAGATGAAGTACAGATGGAATATCTTGACATGGCATTAGTACAAATTTCAACCACCTCAAAAGTGGAGGGGCGAAAAAAAAAAAAAAAAAGAAGCTTGTAACAATGGCGTGAGGCATATGTCAATGGAATCAATAAATAGGAAATACATGCTATAAACTCATAAACTGGCATTTCAAATATGAGGGAACGGTAAATGAGAAAAAACAATTGAGACAACATTTAGAATTTTTAAGTTACACATGCAAAAGTTTGAATTACACCCAAAATGATTAGGGTGTATTAAGTAAATGATAGGATCCAACAACAATTGTACTCAGAAGCTTATCTGTTATTATGATATTAACTTTTTGCAGTACAAGCAATTAACATTGGATTGTATTGATAGTTTGTAGAGTTGTAGGAGTTAAATTGTCAAGTAGTCGAACAATCTTTCAAAGTTGGTGAATGAAATTTGGACAGACTGTTATCATAAGTTTCCAATCCAAAGTGCAATTAATGATGAGGCTGCAATTAAATTTAACAGGGATCCAAGTACATCCAAACTTTAAAAAATAGAGCTTCAATATCTAGACCAGATAAATTTTGGACTGGCGTGGTATCATATAGTTCCAATCCAAAGCCTACTTACACCTGAAAAGATAGCAACTAAATTGCGGATCCCTGGAGATTCAATCTTTTAAGATACAAATCCAATAATATATCAATGAATTATGTACCATGTTTCATTCTCATGTTTTTTTTTTTCTTTCTTTCTTTCTTTCTTTCTTTTTTTTGGGAACCATTTTACTTTCAAAAGTTACCAAATCTAACAAATTCCAATGCAAGTTGTGTTCATATGTAATTATGATAATCATGGTGTTTTTAAATGCACAAATAAGTGTACATTTAGGCAAGAAGCAAAGAAAAGTGAGGACAAGCAAAGCAAGGCCAAGGTGGTAACTTTTTATTTTTATTTTTATTGTTTTACCGTTATGATTTGATCTCTACCATATATTTTAAGAGTAGTAATAAACATTTAATGTTGTATGTACACCCAATCATAGCTTATGGCTATATTTCTAGACCTTGTCTGAACTCTAAGTTGACCAAATGGCTTTCAGAGAATGCTTTGAATATGACTTCGTTGATCAATTCTATGCGACCTGCTATTAGTCGAATTTTTCCATTATTAGATACTGATAAGATTTGGACCACCGTGACATAGACATACTCTCAAAAGTGTAATGATGCACAAGGGTACAAGTTGAGGAAGAAGATCGTGGCTTAGATCGAAAGGATCGATCTCTTGTTGAGTACCATGTTGAGTTGAGTAGCTTGTGGCGGGAACTTAATTATTACCAGAGCTTTCCGGTTGTCTATTCTAAGGACGCAACTCTGTTTCAAAAAACAATGGAGGAGCAAATTTATGACTTTGTTGTTAGCCTTAACTTGAAGTTTGATCAAATTCGGGTTCAAATGTTGACTCAAGCTCCTTTTCCCACTTCGAGAGAGGCTTATGCTCTTGTTCAACAGGAGGCGAGTCGGTGCAGTGCCATGGTGCATTACTCCAGTCAGGATCGCTTTGTTTTGTATGTTACTCCTAATCCCCGAGAATGCAAAGCCAGTTAATCTAAGTTTGGCAATAAGGTTATTTTTATTGATCATAACCTGCTGAAATGTGGTTATATGTGGGAAAGAACAGCATGATAGGAAACACAATTAAAAATTGAATGGTTGCCCTACTCCGGGTGTGGCCATGGTGGCACAATGCATTCCCAAACACATGTCACTGTTTCTCAGCGTTTGATGGCTCAACTTGATACCTTGAATACCGCAAACTTTTCTTTATCTACTTCTCATTTTGCTCACATGTATTCTTGCTAGTGCACTCCGCGCCTCTTCTTCAACCTTTTGGATTATAGATTTTGGTGCCACTAATCATATGACGAGTTCTTATAGTTTTTTCTATTCTTACTCTCCTCTTCATTTTCTTCCCTATTTGTCTTGTAATTTGCTAATTTTTTGTTGTTACACATATTTGTTGCACTTTAATCAACAAAATTTAAATCACATTCTTGGAATCCATTGCTCTTACAATCCGCAAGCCTATTGCTTTGTTAATACTTAAAAACCCTCTTCTTGTCCCTTGTGGTACAGCCCTACAATACAAAAACATTAGGCTGTCCTGCATCAAAAAGTATCAGGAGGTGATTAGAATGAAACAAACAAATATTCAAATGATGAAATTCAATATCCCTCCGTAACTGTTAGAATCACAAGTAGACAAAACCTTAAAAGTCAAGCTAATACTTTCCCAAAGAAAACCAAAGAAAAGGGGGGAGAGGGCACAACTTGGTAACATAATAAAATCCAAATTCATTATCACGAACTTACCAATTTCCATTGTACAAAATGTTGAATAGTCCACTGAATATTTCATATCATAGTAAAAATCACAGGGTGGAATAGATTTTGGTTTCAAGTTTACCTGCCAAAACAAGCCAATTACCAACAAACAAAATAATAAGTGAAAAATAAAAAATAAATGAAGAAATATGTTTAACAAATTGTTTGAATACTTAATAAACAACCTTTTCACCCTAATTACTTGAAGTCAATTACATGGATCCATCCTCTCCAGTTAGTAGTAACTGAATTCATAACCTCGTGTAAATCCAAGGTAATCAGGTCCCTCATCTCATATTCAACACAAGTCCTTTCAGTAAGTGTTAATGTACACCTAAACCTACTCCACTAAACCTAACCCACTACACCACTCCACCTCTACTTCACCTACTCCACTACACACTCCACTTCACCTACTCCACCACTCCACCTCCACTTCACATCTCCATCTCCTATATAATGTACATACAATACATCAAAACAGATAACAATCAATAATACATCAATAGATATATTATTCTTGGTGGGTTAGGTTTAGTGGAGTAGGTTTAGATGTACATTAACAGTAAGTATTGGTGAGGTTGCAGATCATTTGCCCGATTTTGTACTAAATAGCTCCTTCCACTCGCTGCCCGCTTTGACTTTCCCAACCTACCAACCAAAATATTTTGAATAGAACCCATCACTCTCCCCCTTTTGCTTGCACCTCTCCTTCTCCATTTGTTCCTCCTCTATAAGTTCACCTCATGCTATAAGCCATTGCCTCCACCTTCTTCCTTCTAAAACCACTAGTGAAAAGAATTAGAAAAAGGACCATCTTCTTCTATTTCAACATTGTACCATAATACAAAAAGGCTCCAACATCTTTCACTACGTGCTTCTATTGAGAGACACCACTTCTCAATAGAATTCCCCCAACACCCCCTTCTTGGAGGACCTATTTCATGACTAAGTTCCTGCCTCTACCTCTGAAAGAGATTTCCTCAACTTCAACATCTTCTATCCGACAAATATTCAGTTGTTTTGTTTTCTCTCATACACCAACAAAGAAGCTGGCTTAGGTTTGGGCTTGCTATAAATAGCTAGTTGGATCTCATCTCTAAAACCCTTCGACACAGAGTTCAGTATGACATGCTTTATTTCTAAAATAGGTTGTCCAAACACACAAAACAAGCCTCTTGTTTGTAGTACAAGAGTTCTCAAAGTCTTTCTTTTTCTATTGAGCTCATAAGACAAGCAACGCTATTCTTATCCCAAATCGTCTGTTCTCCCTTCTCCACCCAAGAAAATCTCTTTTGGCCTAACTCTATTCCTACACCAAACCCCCCTAACCCTATTCCTACACCAAACCCCCCTAACCCAACCCATCTTTGGTTGTCATTGTGGCACACTAGAGACAACTATCATCGATTCTTTTCCAACTATCTCTAATTCATTTCAAATTTCAAACCCTTTCCTCCCTTGCTGCCATGCAAACCCCCATAAAATCCTACAGTCCCAGTGCCACATGCCCTTTTCCATTAGTTCACAATGCCACCTTATCTAACCCCAGCACATTTGTTCGGCCTAATATCACAAATTGGAAAGAAACATAAGGCCCAACATAAGGCCCAACCTCGAGACATGCATAATAGCACCTCAAATGGCATTGGACCTATGCATCTTACTTTGAGCTAGGAAAAGACTCCCGTACCTACGGAGTTTGGACACAAATCCCAACCCACCTAAAATGTGAATTTTGGGGTTGCTTCATCCACTCCTATAAAACATCCATGTGTCTTTGATTGATCAGTGTACTTCTTGTCCAACAAATGAATCTGCAAGCTCTATTCTTGAAACAACAAGTGTAAGCCCACTCTAAGATTGCCTCATCTTTAAGATGCCTCATGCGAAAGCATCTGCACCAATTAGTATTTCTTGTACTAATCACACCATCACCCCCTAAATTATTGTCTAGTAAATTCATCAATACTAATAACAATGCTTATTACAAAATTATCATATGATCCCTTAACCTTACACTAACTTGATTAATACTATTCTATCTCCTTTTATTTTAACCATTTAAACCTTCTCGGTTTCAGTTTTCATAAACAATTATCCCAACCCCATTCCATGATCACGTTTTTCTATCCTATCCTTTCTTATTTCAAAATTTTCTAGTACCCAACTTACGTCTTATAAAGAAGGTATATTAATTCTCCTTCTAATGATTGCATCAACTAATTACAATCCTTTGATTGCGAATTTTCCTACATCACAAGTTCCCAAGTGAACCTTTGTTGGTTTGCCCACTTCTATAGGGCACCCTAGCATTAACACAATACTACAGGTAAATGGCCATAGCACCAAACTAACCTCTACCCATATATTACCACAACGTGCTCAAATATGTGTGCTAAGTAATGAACACATCAATTGGAAACTTGTCAAGACCATAGTCTAAAAATTTTAGAAGAACAAATGGTAACAAAATATCTAACTTACAACAAGATGAGCATCAATTGAAACGTACACTAGGTGTTATTTGTACAATCTTGACTTTTGAAACAATGCAATCTAATAAATTATCATTCACTAGAGTAGAATAGAATAGACGCTTCTCCTCATGAGACTTTGCTTCTTCGTTCATTACCTGAATATAACACATAAAATTGGTAAGCACAAAACAATAGCAAACTTGTAAAATCACCCAATGAAAGTAAGTATTCTCACCGTATCTTCAGCTCTAAAAAACCATTGAACCCTAAAATAATCTTCACCATCCATTGTTTTAAAAAATTCTAGAATCCTTCCAACATAATGTTGACTTCCTTCCATACCCTAAAAGACAAATAAAAAGTTGCCATTATTATGTTACATGGAATTTTCTAAAGAGTTGGTAACAAATAATAGGGGAGTTAGGCAAGATAAGGTCATCATGTTTGTGTTAAATACAAACACTTTTTTTTGGATCGGCAAAAGTCGGTCGTTAGTTGATAGATTAGCACTAACACTTAGTTGGTATCAAAGTGACACGTGTTGGTAACAAATAATAATGTCTGATAAGTGCTAACACTTTCTAACACATGTTTAACACACGTCCAAACATCATTGTTCTTATTTTTAACTTTTTAGACCTAAACACACTTTGAACGCTTTAGAGACTTTGGGACACATATCCATCACTCAGACGTGCATAAAACACAAGTTTGAATTCAATAACATACAATGATAAAAAGAAAAACAATAAAAATTTATATCTATTAATCTCTCCTTTAAACTTCCAAAAGCAACTTAAAACTTAGAAGCTTGCCATTTCCACAATGGTAATTGTATAGATTTCTTGTCATCAATGCACCAAATCTTGCATGTGGCATATTGCATGGTAGTCTTTCCTTTGCATTTGTGAATTATATATATATATATATAGCATGTTGAGCAAATGCTTGACACATTCACATTTGGGAGGCCACCCTAAGACCAAAGCTCCAAAAATGCCAATTGTTTGGCTTCTCCTTCAATATGGAAAAGGAAAATTTTATACATAATTTCTAAGGAGTGCAACCAAAGACATTTGAAGAAAACTGTACATACTGTCCCAAAATGTTAGTTCTTTCAAAGTCCAAAGCATAAAATTTTACAATTTTCCAAAACTCTCTTATAAGTGACTGAATATATTTAGGAAAATGATCTACAATCTGAAATGTAAACTAATTCCGACTACATGAAGGTTCTAATTGGCCATTGTCTTGTGGGCTCCACATAAAAACCAATAAAAGTTGTCATTTAAGAGAGCAACATTGCTTATATATTTAAGAGTGGGAATAAAGGGACAATTTGGGAAACCAATGCCTTTTGATTTGAATTTAAATGCATTAATTACATGTCCCCTCAAGAAGTTGAAACTCCCAAATAGATTGATATTGTAAGGCAAAGGGAGTAGCAGTTTCCATAAAGCATAAGAGGTTGGACAGTGAAAAAAAGGGAGCTAAAGCTCTAATTATTTCATCTGGGGAAAAAATAGGGGGTTTAATAGGCCCCCAACCTGGGGCACCTCATTACTAATAATTCTCAAACAAGAAGAACAAGGAACCTAGAATTTGAAGAAAACTACATCCGAACATCACCGTGCATTCAAGTTATATACAAGGATAAACACAAATCTTTAAGAATAAAGGAAAAAAGAGGGGCGCAGCCAAAACTAACATTCCATAAAGGAATCATATGAAAACTACCAAGTCAACAGCAAGAAAAGCTTAATCACAGCTTTTTTAACCCAGTGTTCTAATGTTTAGTTATACCAAATTTACATAATAACATATTCTTTTAAGGCTTGGGTAAGTTAAAAAGTATAGATTTTTAATCACAATTTATATTTCTTCAAATTCTAAGGTATATGTAAATTGTAATTAGGAGAATAATCTAATTCTCCTACTATTTCCTATTGGGTAAGCTATATAAACTCTCCATCAAATCATCATTGATTCTCTTAAATCAACTTTGTCATCACACTTGCGCATTAAGTGGAGACACCTCTGCCATATACATGTAAATTGAAGGTAGGATAGCCTATCATACCTTTGCTCATTTCTCATAGTAATTGATTGCATCCTAGTAAACCCCATTAGTTTAAGGGAAAAGTAAACAATGGGATCAATTTTATGTAGAAATTAAAGATGCCTTAATAAATCTAAAGTAAAAATATTGCAAGGGTATAAAGTTGAAATTGTGCATCAAATATTTTGATATACATCATGGCATTTACAATAGTTACAATTGCAAGAATAATTTTGTAATAAATTACAAGAAATGTAATTCTTCTTTGAAAGTTCAATCAGAGGAATCAAACGAAAGGTGAAAGCACTTGCCTTTACATAAGCACAATCTCCAAGATCAAAAACAACCTTTTCAATCTCAGCTTGAGAGTAATGACATTTTACATTCAGCACCAATTTATCTTCATCATCACTGCAGGAGTAAATGTGATATTTAAAAGCAAAGAAGCAAAAATGCACAAACAACAATGCTTCAAAGAAGAAGATAAGTGTAACTAAACAAAACCACTAACTTGGATTTCAAGCTTCCGCCCTTGATTCTCTTGACCTAGATAATCCAAATTGAACGGCAAATAAAAGGTTAATACAATTAATGAAAATTGTGAAAGAAGATAAGAGAAAATTCAAACCATATCATAAAGTGGGGAAATTTTTGCAACAAGATATGAATAATTGATCCCAAGTCCCAACAAAATTATCAAACAACTTCAGACTCTAGAAGCTAGAAACTATTCTAACCCTTCACACGAATGCCAAGTGCCTAGTTACTAGTTGGATAATGGAGAGTTCTCAGTGATGCAGAACACCTTAAGAAAGAAAGAAGAAGAGAGGAGGAGAACCCTAACACATTGGCCACAACCTAAAATACTCAAATTCTCATTAATCAAAACTAACTATTACAAATTACAATGCAAAACCCCAAATAAGAGAAAATTGACAGAATGTTGAGATTGAAACACATCGGAACATTGAGGGGCAAAACAATGTGGGTAATTGGGTACCAGTGTATGTGCAAAGCAATAAATCAAGAGAGTTTCAAACAACAATTTCATTTATGTTATGTTAATTGGAAGTGACAAAATTACAATCCAACCCAGAACACAAACATGACAAATATTTATGAATAAACAATCTGACCCTCAGTGACATGAATCGCACTAGGAATATCAAAAGCATGTAGCGTAAAAATGGCAATGCAGCTCAAAACATTTCAAGCATGTACAAATTATTACTTACAGAAATGTACGTACCTCATTCATATACCGCCAAGGCCATCTCCGTCGAGCTTCCTCGTCAGGGACAGGATCACCGATCAAGAAAGACACAACGTCGGATGAATTTCGCTTCTTCTTCTTCGAAGAATCACTCATCTTTTGCTTCTTCGAGGAATTCGGTTTTTCGAGGCTTTTACCACCATTACTTTCTTGATCAGTGCGTAGTCTTGGGGATCGTCTGAGAGAGTTCAGGTTTGACATTGTTGTTGAAGAAGAAGAAGCAGAAGAAGCTTTGGAAGCTGAGTTATTAGGGTTTCCATTCCGGGGCAAAGGAGACGGAGATGGGGATAGTGGAGGTTTAGAAGATAGCCTTGGAGAAACCCTAGGGAGATTCTCCGCCGCCATTGTTGGGGACCAGAGACAGAGAGAGATATTTGACCTAAGATGGAAACATTATCGAATTGTTGGAGTGAGTGAGTGGCTGCGTGGGTGGGTGTTTTCTAAGGGGAAAAGTTTGGCGGGAATTTAAAAAATAAAAAATGAAAAATAAAATCTGCTTTCAATAAGCAATGGAGACAGGCTGTTTTATATATGGTATATATTTCAATTTGGTTGATTATTTTTTGTATTAATTCCAAATAAATTTTAATTTCTAATCAAATCAATCTTAGCTATATTAGCTTTTTTATTCACTCTTAAAATGTAAATAACCTTATTGAGCCAACTTTTAAACTAAAATGTATATATTACCCGATTGAAAAAATAAGAATAAAAAGAATACAAGATAAAACAATAAATACTTGTCAAATGCATCTTTTGCAATAATACTCTTTGTTACATGTCACATCAGCATGCAAAAAACTTAGCTTTGTGGCCTGTTTGTTTTGGGGTTAAATAGATGAAAGGGGATGACGATGAAAGTGTGGTTATTTAGTATTGTGCTTGTGTTGTAGAGTTGGAGAGGGGATTAGGATAGAAGAAGTGATATAAATAGAGGTTGGAAGGGGGATTGAGATGGAAGAGGTGAAGATGGTATTAAAAAGATAATGAGGGGATTAGAAATTTTTTTATTTTTTTATTTTTTATATATTGAGAATTTTTTTAAAAATATTAATGTTTAATTTTTTATATTTTTTTATTTGTTTTATTATTTTATATAAAAATAATTTAACAATTCCTACACTAACAATTATTATCAAAACAAACGCAATTTTACTTAATCCCCTCACTATGAATCCCCTCCATTCTACCTCTAAAAACAAACGGCCTAAATATAAAGCTCTTGACCTCCTTCCCTTACAAACCAAATTTCAATAGGAAGTTCCGTCTATAAAATTTGTATCTTTTAGAATAAGAACAAGCCATCAAAAACCCTAAGGGGTTTGTATTTGATCTACACATTTACAAAGAACTTGGGAAATTTGATTTGCGAAGAAAAAACAATAAAGAACTTGCAAATGAAATAGAGGGTGGTTTTAAAATTTATAAAAAAAAGAAAAAAATACACACACACACACAAATTCTTTCCCTTCTCTTTTCACTGCACAAATGTAAGATCCCAAACACAACTTGAAAGTGCCTATGCAAATAAGGGATTGTTTGAAATGATCTAAATAAACGTACTTTTTAACTTTTTATGAAATATAAATTGAGTTTGGGTTGAGTTTGAAGTGATGTGTTAGAGAGGTGATGTGACGTAAATAAGATGATGTGACTTAAATAGGATAGTGGCTTTTTGACTTTTTGTCCTTTTCAAGACATGCCAAACTTGGCCTAAATCTTAACCTCACGAGTTAAATTTTAGAGCAAAGCAAAGCAGAGAAATCATAGAAAGTAAAGTAAAGTAAAGCATGTATGTATATAACCTACAACACGGATCTGCATACTACATTTGACCATCCACTGCTGAGGTTCTTATATATTTAAATTAAAAAAGAACCTTGCAAAATACATGATTTCTTTAGAAAATACAATGTACATTAATGTCTATTTAAGTTTCAGACAACTACTCTGGGCTAATGAAAGTCTACACTTTCTCTTTCTTATGCTTCCTCGGTAAAAACCCATGTACAGAAACTGTGACATCATCCCGAATCAAGCCGGCTTCCTGCCCTGTACGAGGTTTCATCGGATTATTGAAGGCTGTCCCAGTCTGCACAGTCTATGTCCTCCCAATCCCTGCAAATAAACGTAGGGTGGACTACTTTAGCAACAGATGCATAAGTATTAAGATTATTAATCTCATTTAAGAATTTACAATATATCTATTACCGATTACTTTCTGTAATATGCATTGCCATTCACAGAAGCCCCCATGACCGGGTTTTATTGATGGCGACCAACCAACTCCTCATATAACCTACTGAACACTAGTTTAACAGGGATACAAGCTACTGCAGTGGGTCCAGACTCCCCTTTGATCAGCCCATCATCTTGAAAATTGTTGTTACCATGTTTCGAATCATTACCAAGTTTCTGTTTCTGTTTATGTTCTGTGCCAATTGACGACAGAGTTTTTATCTTTTGGCTAGAAGATAAGCTTATCTTCTTCGGTGCCTTTCTTGAAAACTTCCGGTCCATTGGAGGACGGGAAGCATGAGGGAGGCTCTTCTTCATCTTACTTCCCTTGTGACCAAAATTCCCCACATTAGATTTCTTGAATAGTACTTTCTTGTCTTGATCCACATATTGAAAATGCTCTGCTGTTTCTTCTCCGTCCACTGTTGCTGATGGATTTAAGCGTGGGACACGGAAATTGGCCGTCCTCCTTGCAGTTCTCCACACTGGAGAAAGTGCAGCATCGTTATCCAAAGTTTCTGGGCAAATATCATCAGCTGCTGAAAGAAGAATTTCAGACATACCATTTTCCATTGCTTCAATTTGGATGGGGTGGCCCACAATTGCCTGACCATTTAACTTACTCATCAAAGAAATCATAGGGACATGCTCTCTTTGATAGCTTGACTGAACCTTCAGATCCACATCTATCAACATGGACTTCATCTTGCCACCAATATTATGACGGCCTACAAATATAGGATCAAAGTAATTGCTTGAATCCTCCCAGTATCTTTTTTCATTCCAAGCCAACTCATCCCAATCAATTATATTGTGTGTGATATCATCTGAACGTTTGGATGTGGATTTTGAGGTTAACACATATTCACGGTTGTCAAATGCACGTCTTTGGGTCCTAAAGTTCTTTTCAATTAAATCAGGCTCATCACAACCATTGCTTTCCATCTCTTCAAGATATGTTCCATACATGGAACCTCTCGAAACCCTTCTATCAGTTACATCACTGGGCCTTTTGGGAAGACCACGATTGTTCCTCTTCCCTTTCAGTTGCCATTCAGACATCCCCATACTAGCCAAAACAGGGTTGCGCGGGCTAAGGTGAGATGCATCATTGGCACGTACTAAGTCATCAGGCTCCTCACTGCTCATGTTTCCATGTTGAATTTGTGCTCCGGATCTTTCCATAAATTTTGGTTCCAATTCTGCGAGTACAGCAGCATCTGAACAACCAAGCAGAACGAGTTACGTTGCCGAGCCATCAACAATACCATAAGCATATACTCAGAAAAAAAAAAACTCAATAATGTCAATAAACAGCAAAGAATATCCCAAAAAATACTTGTAAAACCAGTATCTTACAGAGAGATACTGGTGGTACGAGAGAGATACATAGCTGACTCATGATTACTAGGTGGTACGAGACAATGAAAAGATAACAGATTCTAAACTGTATTCTAAATGCAATTTACAGTATTCCCATACCAGGTGAGTCACCCAAAAAATAAAGCAAAATACACAAAGAATCAGGTCACCATCATACTACTGGCTGCAATTCAGAATAGCCCGAAAAACCAACAACCATTTTACACCCTGTGGTTTAGTTTTGGAGCACTTTACCCCCATGTGATTTTGTACTAAAGTGTAATACAAACACTGTTAACAGAAAATGTAAAATGACCTTAATGCCTCTCAATTTTTTTCCTTTTTTGCTTTTATTACCTTCTTCTTCTATCTCTTTTATTATACAATTAATTTTAAAACACATATCAACCAACTAAACCACATATAATAACTTAATTTCTAACTTCTTAATTTCATGAGAATCAAACCCAATCAATTATAATTGCTCACAAAGACTATCCAATATAAACCAAAATTGATCTTATCCTGTTAGCATCGTCTACATCACCAACTCAGCTGGTATAAATATTCCTGCATTTTTCTAAAAATTATTGGGCAGCAGACAAAAGAGATTATTGGGTAAATTTCATTCACCTCTCTGACTGAGGTTTTGTGAAATACACAAAGCCACAGTGCGTTTCAAAATAAGCAGGGACCTTTCCAACAGTTAGTGAGGATAAATGGAATCTTTATTACATAAAGAGTTGACCAAATTCACCATATCAAATATCTCTAATACCCCCCGAGGATAAAAAAATTAAATGAAATCTCAATTTTTACCCTCTTAAAGAACAGCAAAACTTCCTTTGTACTTACAATTCCTGCATAAAGAACTACCTGAACCTAATCCAATCATCTTTGATTTACCATTGATTCCAGCAAAGCACATCGTCTCTCATCTCCTTCTTGTCCTCACCACCATTAATCAATTATCAGCCCAATATCAACGATATTATTAATTAAATTCAAGTTATAAGCATTTTGATAAACATCACAGTTATGTTTCTAACATTAGAGGGGAGGGATGCGGGATCAAAACACCACCCATGAGCAGGCTATTAAGAGCACTTACCACTGGACCAACTGCCTTGCTCTAAAATTTAATTTATAATCACTTTGTTTCTTGGAGAAAAAGGAGAACGAAATAGAGAACATGTGGATTGAAGGAAACCATTAGAAAGAAATTAATGGCTGTGAAGATCAGTGCATCTCTTGTGTGGTAGGCAGAGGTCCAGATGGCATCAAATCTAATCGCCAACAAGGGCCACAACAAAAGTGAAGTGTTAGGACGTCGCTGAAAAGAATGGTGGCCGCAGCAGCAAAGAGTTATGGTGATGTTCACATGCTCGTACATTGGGGAGAGAGAGAGCGAGAGAGAGATGGTGGTGGCAGCAAAGAAGAGCTATGTGGTGTGGTCTCACATGCTTGTATGTTGGAAACTTGGAACGACAACTAGATTGAGAGATATAAAGAATTGAATCTTGTGATGTGGTTCAATTAGGGAGGTCCCAGGGTATTCTTGGAAACGACGGTGGCCTGGTGCATTTGAGCTAATCTTCAGGAGAAGTCATCGAATTTTACCTCAAATGTTATTACATTAACGATAACATAAATAGGTGATATGCACACCTAAATTAAAATTGGAGAAAACACATTAATGATCCAAGACAGGAAATATCTTAAATAGAACACACAGAGGACGCATTATCAGCATAAAACTAAAACAAAAACAATTCTAACCTGAAAGTTCCAGCTCCTCATCTGCATCTGAATCCAGAGAATCAGTCTCAGAAGAATCAGTTTCAGTATTTTCCATAGATTCAGAAGTGTTCTCTTCACCCAAAGCAGCAGGATGAGGAGAATTACTCACTTCGACGCGGGAAGGTGACATTGCAATCTGATCGGAGCAAATTTTCTTGTCATCCAAACAATCACTAGACTCGCCTGGAAAGTAAACACAATTGCTCGGCTTTGCATGTCCTGTCTGCTCCTCTCCTGACACAAGGATAGAAATAGTATCATTATCACGTTTCAAGGAGTCATGAACTGGCAACTTTGCACTACTCTGCAGTACTTGAACAAGTGGACGGCGCCTATCACGTCTCTTAACTAGGGATTCATCAGGCAACATTTCATGCGACTTTCTCTTTTTATCTAAAGAACTTTTACTGTTGGCATGAACCGTGTTTTCTGTGCTAAGATTGCTGCTAGGAATGGCATGGGCATTATTATCATGTTCAGGTTTATGAGAGCCATTCAGAGCAACGGAAGAAGAAAGCTTTCGTTTTGAAGGGGCAATCCTGAGACCTAAGTCATGCAAACCTCTCATCCGGGGTATTACTTCAGAATTATCCTCATCCGCTGCCAGTTGACCTCCTTCTTTGGATTTTTGTGCATAGAGAGGATGATCCATGCTCTTGTCCTCAAGGGGCGAATCTAGTTTCTTCGAATGTGATTTGGGGTGCACATGTCTTCCATTGCCATGACCCGAGGATTCTAAAGGTGTCACTAACTCCTTTTTCACAGCATCAGAAGATTTATTGGTCTTACCATTAGAAGAACAATCTACTTTACCATACTTATCCTCCAGCAGCTGCTTCTCAAGTTCAAGAGCATGAAGAATAGCATCTTCCCGACGTGCATATTTCTCTCTTTTCTTTGGAGGCATCCCCTGGGAAGATTCAGCCCTTTCAATACAATCATCAAACTCACCACATCGGAATGCCTTCACACGCTTGGACTTTTCCAAATTGTACCAGTCCCTGATAAAACACGACAACAACAAAATGTTAACCAACAAAAACAAAGAAAACAAAGACCTAATAAAAGGTACATTTCTAGGAATTCTTGGGAACTCAACATTCTTCATCAACACTTCGGCAAATATTGTCTAGTAAGAAAGAACAAATCATAAATATCAGCATATTTAATTGATAAATAATATGAAGAATTTCCTTCTTGATATGTGGAAAGAAAACATTCAACTAATTAGTGTCCCAGACTGTCAGTAAGTCCCCAAAAAAACAAAATCCTCACCCTAGAATTGCTAATGACCAATCAGATTTGGTAGTGTGATGGCAGGGGGAAACCTACTTTTGTGCTTTAAAGGGGATGGAGAAACGTGCAACAGAGTGGGTAATGGAGAAGATGGCAAGCATGGAGGACAAAATATGCAGCACGGGGGTATGCAAAGCCAATTAGCTTTTGGAATTTCTTAGCCCCTTCCAGTTGCACCAATAAGGGCCTAACAACTAAGATGTCTCTATCCCAAACTATTTTCTACAGAGCTGGTGACCAATCTTTGCCTACCAATAAGCTATCAAGCCACATCTTCAATCTAATAATCCAAGAGAGCATTGTTTATTTTAATCGATATGAAACGAAAAGAAGATTTCAAGCACAACTTCAACCCCCACCCACACATCAAACCATCACAATGAGAAAGAATGGCACACCCTCCAAACAATTATCATATGGGCATAAAATATCCATAGCCTAATTATATAACAACTCTACTCAAGACAATTTGCAGATTCATACTGAAAAGGCACCCTTCCTGCTATATATCAAAAAAATAAAAATAAAAAATGAACCCATTAATCACAACAGCTGATCATACAAAGCTTAAACAAATACCCAAAAATTCACAAACCACGGTCAATTTGCAGCAATGAGCAAATGAACATGGCTAAAAAAGTGTAATCACAAGATACAAGTGTAATATGCATATATCATGTATACACACCCACGCACACAGAGAGAGGGAGAGCGAGAGGGAATAAACAGAATTACACGCTGGCATCTTCCCTTCCAAGAAGCTTTACTGGAGTCCCAGATCGCGGAGACATGAGATGAGCAGCTGAGAGCTCCTCAGGACCGAGAATCTTGCCAGGCCACCACGAGCCATTCCGTCGCCGAACCCAGACAATTGTTCCAACGCTGCAATCAACCACACCTGTTCCCTTATCCGAACTGCCCATCTCTCTCTCTCTCTCTCTCTCTAACTGTTCTCTTTTGCTATCTGTAACCAAAATCACAGTTGACAAACTCTCGTTCTAGTCTCTAATAACGGGTACTGTTGACGATCCTTGACAAGCTCCAAATCAAACTCTATAATCCAAAAACAGAATGAACTTGAAAACAAATTGAAAAAGCACCGGTGCTCAGCCACCAGAAAAGAAGAGAGAGAAGCGACGGAGCGTCCAGATGATCGGAAAACCACCACCTTCGGAGGTGGCTGGGATTAAAGCTAGGGTTTCCATTCAAATTTGGGGAATTGTCATCTCTCGGGTTTTTGGGACAATTTCATTGATTGATCGGCCCTCTGATTCAGAAAATCGATCGATTGATTCTCTCTGCAAACGGCCACATTTAGAGGAAACGAAGGATTGGGGTTAGGGTTAGGGTTAGGGCTAGGGCTAAGGCTCTCATTCAAATTTGGGGGAATTGCATTTCTAGGGTTTTTTTGGAAACAAATTCAACGATTAAATTGGAAATTGGATTTCAAATTCAATCAAGATGAGAAATTTGTTGATCTTTGTATTCCTATATAGTCTGAAAAATCGCTGGATTCGACTGTGTGTGTTTTGGGGATTGAGAGAGAGAGAGAGAGAGAGGGAGGGTATTCTGAATCACCGGGGTTGACTCGCTGGATTAACAGAGGAAATCACACGAGTTAAGAGTTGGGAGTAGTACTAGTGTGTGCGTGTGTGTACTCTACCCAAACGCGTGGTGCGCATGCCTGCCCCCGGCTCACATTAGCTTGCCGCGGAGATTGATTGTACTTACTTACCACCTACGGGTACGAACCCGGACGGACCTCAACTCAACTCAACTTGTTTGTTCGATAAAATTGTTAAATTAAAAGTAAATAATTAAACGAAAATTGCATAATATGAAATGAAAAATAAATAATTACAAAAAATGTGAAAATATTACACCTTACATGGAAATTTCCAAAAATATATATATGATTAGAATTACATTCTTATCCGTTAAATTTTTTTTCCATGATCCTCTCTCTCTCTACTCTGTGCTTAATTGAGTCACATCCTTTTAAATTATTGTCGCCAACCCTATTCATGCCAATTCTTGTCCGCCTAAAAACCCCCTTCTCCAATCCCTTTTTCCACTCTTAGCTCTAAGCATGCTGCCACCACCATCTCTAACTCTTGCTTAACCTTCCCAAGCGTTTCTTACCCTCAATCTTCCCAAGCCTTCCTTACCCTTAATCTCTTTTCTCACCATTACCGCCACCATCATTGCACCTCCAATTATTGCCCCTTTCCTTTCTCTATTTTAAATTTTCTTATCTATCCTATCCTAATGCAACGATGGCCCTCTTTTTTTCTAAATTGACTATTTTATTCCAAACTAGATTTGGTGAAACTAAATCTCCTTAGAATTGCAAATCGATCATGATCTCCATGATCTCTCTATCTCTTTCATTACAATCTCACACTACTGCTTATCGCGATTTGTCTTTTATTATCTCATTCACAATGGCAATTGTGATGGATGAGAATCAAGTTAGGGAGAATGACTAATGATTGTTAAATGGGCTAAGCAAGAGTTGGGGAAGAGGATGGAGTGAAGAAGAGACTGGAGAGGTCGAAAAGAATTGGTCGAAAGTTGAAAAATGTTTTTTTAAAAAAAAGTGGCTTGTGGTTGGAAATGGTATGGGAAAAGTGGCCAACAGTTGGAGAAGACAACTAGAGAGAAGATTAGGACAAAAAAATGTAGAGGTCAATAATGTAATTTTGAACATGTTTTTGCAAATTTTCTTAATTTTTCAATGTAAGGTGTAATTATTTTGGATTCTCATTTTTTTTTCCAACTATTTCTACTTTATTTTCCCTCTATTTTTTGGCAATTAAAAAAAAAATTGCAACAAAAATGTTTAATATATACAAAATCCTTTTTAAGTACCCTAGAGTAAGAAGTGGATAAAAAAAAAATTATAAAATTATAAATAATTTACATTTTTTTTTGTTCTTTATGTTTTTCACACTACCTTTCTTTCTCCTCTTCCCTCTCTCTCAATCCTCCACCTCTAACTTATCTTGATAGCCATCACCACTGCCCTCCTTCCTCATTCATCCCAATCCCCTCTTAACTCCATCACCACCCTCCCCTTACCACTAGTAGCTCCTCCATTGCCACCACACAACACCCCCAGCCCTCCCCCTATCCCTCATGTGCCACCACTACACCTAGCTCAACTGTGACTATCATCTAGCTCTAGCTATGAGATTATATTCAAGTCTCTCGCTCCTTTTTTCACTTATTTTTCCTGCTCACGATTTTAGTATTTTGATTTGAGATCTAACTAAAACCTAAAATGGGAGAAGGCAAAAAAGTAAAACTATATTGATTTTTTAAAAAAAATTCATTAAATAATCAAAAGAAGGTGCCAATTTTTTTTGTTTATACCAAAGTTAAGAATTTGCTGATGTAAGTCTTTTTTCTCGTCACGTTTGATTTGTCCATAGGATTAAGCAATATAAGCATTCGGCAAAAACTTAATTCAACGAGGATATTTTTAAAATTTCATGATTTTTAAAATAAAATGTTTCATGACTGACTGCCCTTGAACAAAATAATATTGCATATACAAAATAAAAGTTCACGTCAAGATTAGCTACAAATGTTTAATCAAATTCCTCCACTTATGGTGAATCAAACGTGACCAGAGTATATAAAATACTTCTAAAGTATTATGTAATATTTACTTACATGGTGGTTCAAATCAATAGCGCAGCTAAAAATTTTACAAGTGAAACATAATAACTTTCTTTTATTCGGTAGTTAGAAGACAAATGATAATCTATTTAATGTGAGTTCCGATTTCTCATTTGCCAAGGATACCATATAATACTCTTACACAATCTAATAATTTTCCTTCGAATACCACCAACTTGTTTCTGAATTAAAGTCCTAGCATTCATGGTTCAAATCTTCAAAGTTGAATCCAATAAATTTGTATTTGCTTTTTACCTGGAGATAAGCCTAGATCTTCTTGTAATTAATGAGGGGCAAAATCACACGGGGAAGGAGAGAGATCAGATGTTGAATAAACTTTGGCTCACATGGGTAAAACTCTTAATCGTAGTATTTTGGTCACTATTTGAGTACTACATTTAGCGCTTTCAAGTTAAAAAAGTGAGGCCCAATTCTGTTGCGTGGGGGGTGCCAGAGAGAGTGCAAAAATACAATCCACCTACCTTTATATAGAACATGTATGTGCCAACAGAACTAATCGACGCCAATGGCAGGGCCGTGTGACCATGTTGTAATATACAATGAAGGAAGTGACAGATCAAAATGCCATTTAAGGCCATGAGTAGACACCAAATACACTTCAATAGCTTTCAGAAACACAACCCAGAAAAAAAAAAATATCATCTAGAGTTCAAGACTTGTCAAATTGTGAAATCACGAGATCTTCAGCTCAATCACAAACATCAGGGCCTCAACACAAGCCTGAGACATAGGTAAATACGAAATAAATCAAAAGGAAGCTCCGAAACAGATGATTTGCCAGTTTGCCAATTCCTTAGACTAGAGGACTGGCAAATGCTTAAACTTGGTTTTGGCATTTTGAGTGAAAAAAGAGTGGCTAACAAAACTGAAACGATTAGCAACCAAATCAGAAAGCTGTTTTTTAAGGGTGGTTAACATTACTTGCCAAACAGGGAATATTAAACAGGACCCAAGTTCAGGGACTAGGAGTTTCAACCTGATTAATCAGAATGCTGAGGTGCCCACTGAAGAGTATCCAGTGGCTCTCAACTCTTTGAGAGTGCTAGATAACCAGTCCAAGCCCTCGTAGAGGCCATCCCCTTTAAGCGCGCAAGTCCCTTGCATATGCCATTTTCTGTTCTTAAGATCATAAAGCCCTAGTCCTTCGCAAACTTCCATTGGAGTCATTGCTCCTTTCTGTACAGACAGGGAAATTAATAAATTAATAACACCGGTATTTTCCTGTGCTGATGCACAACATTTAGAAGCAGTTATTTATTCATTTATTTATTTTATTTTTGTTAGCAACAATTATAAGGAGTCAAGACAAATGAAAATGTATTTCCACAAGTTGATAGCAGAGACAGTCGGTTATGCATGATTCTCTCTTACAATGAATGTGGGAAACATACTGTAAAAAGATCAGCATTATGTAATTATTTAGAGGAAGCTATCAAATAGGTCACAAAACAAAAGGCAACAATCATTAGGTGTCTCTAGAAATTACTCCTTACTTGCATGGAGTGGAAGCGGGGCAGGGGCGGAGGAACATATAGAAGTTTTTAAAGTTGGGGGCGCCCATGGGAGTGTATATATATCTTATATATTAAATATATAAATATATTCTAACAATTATTTTTTCTACTTAATTGCAATATACGTGTTAAAATATGAATATATAGTTAAGATTGATGTCAACCACAAATTGTCCTTAAGTATAAATAAATATGGCATAAATAGAAAGAACTAGAATAAATTTGAGTTTTTATTTTTATTTTTATTTTTTTTATTCCCTTAGTGATTTTTTTGTTTAGAAGGTTCTAATATCTGTTGGGAGCAAGTTTCATAGTCGACCAAAATGAGTTTCTTACTAGTTTCATACTAGGGAGCGCAGAATCGCGTTTCTGAGTAAGAAACGTCACACAAGTAAGAGTTTCCTACTATTAACCAAGGTACAAAGCTTTAAGAACCATATGAAGACGGATGAAACTTCCATCTAATGTTGGTAAAATCAGTCAAAAATCCTGGCAGTAACAAGCATCTCTACAGTTCAAATTTCAAACTCAAGATACAAAAGATAAGGACATGCATTGTTCTCGAAGTAACAAGCCGAGTAGCATGGTATCTTCCATACTACCTACGAGGATACATGTAATGGGCCTAAAAAGCCTAAGCACCCCAACGACGACACAGCAACATGAAATGGTGCCTTACTGTCTTGGCAAAAGGAATTTACAAGATTCAACTTATGCTCCTCCCACAAAGCAGAGCCAGTTAAAACCAAACTTCAGTAACATGTAAATTATAAAAATAAAGTTTAGGTGGAGAATTTCATTGATATCTTGTTGGGAGAGGATGAGGATGCAGAGCATCTATACAAAAAATGGTCAAATTGGGTTCATAGAAGATATTCTTCATACTAAAAAAAAAATAACACCCAATTGGTACACATTAATGTGTGTTTGGGAGGGAAAAAATTGATGCATAAAGTGGTTACCCCGAGACTTGAATCCATAACCTCAAGGTTATTAGGCCAAGGTTTTACTATTGAACCAATATTCTTCATAATCTGGCTGATGATTATTTATTGATGGTCGTCTCTGGTGGGGCAAAACATAATATGTATTTCCAATAATAGTTTAATGTTGTGCGTCTTGTTGACCTGTTATAAAATAAAAAATAAAAAAAAGGTTGTATATATCTAATGATAAAATCATTTTATAGTTGTGGTCATGTTAAAGTGGAGAAAACACCATTGTCCTTATTGTCCCTCTAATTTAATTTTCATACTTGGGTAGAAATTTGAATGTTTTTATTTATTTATTTTTTATGAACAATTTGAATGTTTTATTGGTTCACACGGGGGGTTTGGCCACATTTGAAGTTATGATTTTTTATTTTGACTTCCAAATTCACATGAGATTCCTCTCTAACAGAAGGAAAACCATTAAGAGGGTTTTTTAGTTATGATTTTTGTGCATATAGATCAAGGGGAAGGATGCGTATAAGTTGGAGAGAAACAAATTCTCAGTATTAAAATTTAGGCAACATGCATATATATATAACATATGTGCATAACATTACAAGGAACTGAAAAAGAATAGATTATCAACTTAGGATATCTAGAAACGAGCAAAAACATTAATGGTACCATGACTAATGTCATGTAACACAACAGCACATGTTGCACAGAAATGATTATATCAGGGAACTAGTGTTCATTGGATGGTTTATACGTTGTCCATGGCATCTGATTCCATGTAGCGAGTATGTGAACGTGACATTGATTCAATACAATAATAACAAAACAAGTCCAAAATATATGAAAAGAGTGAGGAGAAACATGTTGTGGCATGATAATGTTTGATATTTATAGAAGTGCAGTTATAATAATTGTCGCAGACATGACTATACAGTATCATTTGAGGTTCCATCTTTCTCAGACCTCTCTATTCTTCTCTAATTTGAAAATGTACAAAAAATGGGTATGTTAGTCTCAATCCTAATGTTGTGTTTGGATCATGGATTTGTAAAGGAATTTGAGAATGGAAAGGAAGAAGGAATTACAAAAAGTGAAACAAAATTAGCTTATGATTCAATCGTTTTTCCTTTCCTTTTCTTTTCCCTTCACATATCACTCCGCAAATCTAAGATCCAAACACAACGTAAGAGTGCCTGAACAGCCCATGCTTTTAAGTTTCTCATTATTCACCCAAATAAACCTACTTTTTATCAAAAGGAAAAACAGTAAATATAAGACAAAAACAGAAAAAAAATTATGAACTAAATGGAAAAGAAAAATGTAGTATTAACACTAGTATCTCCCATGTATAATTTAATATTTTGGAGGTAGTGTTCCAGATTTGTCAAAGACATGCACCTGTTGTGCATCCTCATTAAATAGGACTAAATATACACACAGATATTTACTTCATATGAAAAGACAACAAATTCGAAACTAATAATGTAACATACCATGTCTTGTTTGTTTGCAAACACAAGGATGACACTGTTGAGCATAAATGGATCTGCTATGATTGTCTGAAAGAAGAATAAGTAAAGTGAATAACTATACTCACAACTGGATTCCTAGTCAAAAACTATTTAGAATATATGACCTGAAACTCTTGTTTTGCTTTCCCGATTCTCTCTCGGTCCAAAGAGTCAACAACATAAATCTGAAAAATGGAATATAGAATATGTCAATATACGTACATAACTCAAACTTTAAAAATTGTATCTAGACAAGAAAGGGACATTGAGACAAAACTACTACCACACATACAAACTATTAGGGCATTAAACCAGCTAAAAAAAGACATAAAAAGTTCACAAAGAAGCACCAATGATTTTAATGATGGAATTTGCTTTTGAAAAAAATAACCAAGAAGAGACCATATCAGTGGCATAGGACTAAAAAATTAATACTTACCAGTCCATCAGTGTTATTGAAATAATGCCTCCATAGTGGCCTTAATTTCTCTTGCCCTCCTACATCCCACACTGTAAATATCACATTCTTATACTGCACTTTCTCCACATTGAAACCTACATAAGACAAGAAACAATGAAATCAAGTACGGCCAATATTTTAGTTCATCCTTACCAGAATAATATACTAAAATATGATTTTGACCATCACGAGATTCTGAATACACAAAATAATGTAACATTTGGAAGACAGTACAAGAAATACGATAATGAAATAATTATGTGAACCAAAGGAGCAGTCCACAGAATCCATCCCATGCCACCATTCAATATTTGAGCAGATCCATAACGCCGAGGCTAAACCTGATAGCTGATGGTCTTAAATAACAATAACAAGCACACTAGCATGGATTGATGCAGAAGAAAACCAACACTGGCCACACCCTCTCTATAATTTCTTTTATAGTTGTGGTCATGTTAATTAATAAGCATGAGAATTCTAACTAAAAGTGTGAAAAAACGTCTGGGTAGCGATAGGGCAGACGAATTGCCAGCACAATAGTGGCTTTTGTCAAAGCAGAGTACAATTGCTTAGAGTATTCAACATTGTACTAAGCTCAAAAGCTAGCATTGTTCTGGCAACAGCTGTAGCCTAATATCAAAAGAGCCAAAAGTATATAGTAAAAACCACACTCCCAAAAACATATCCATTGCAAAGTTTTAAGTATACACCAAAGGCCATACATGTGGCATTGCAAACACAGTTTGACAAATCATTGGAATTTGGAATGCATCCTGCACAAATTTCCTGATTTACAGAGTTTCCACACAAGTATCAAACACAGACCCATTGTGGAGTCCTTTCATTTTTCCTTCATAAATGAATAATAGCAATAGGTGACACCCAGTGCACAAGCACAAGGCTCCCGCATAAAACAAGGTATGGGATATGTAGTAGGTAGGCAACCTTCTCTGCCACTTTTGTGGAGAAGTTGAATCCTGTAACTCAAACCCATGACACATAGCTGGGAATCTGGTAGTACATACACTGGTAATTTCATTTTATAGACTTCCATAACAAAACTCAAACATTTTGTATTTTGTGAAGAGTGTTTTAAGGTGCCACCAGTCAATAAAATACATGGACTTTTTTATGCGGAATGCCTCCAATATCTGGAGGCCTAATTCACAATTTTATTAATTAATGTCTTCTAGTATTTAATATTTAGTTTCTAATAATTATTAATTTTCCTATTTTATTAGGGTTGTTACTCTATAAATAAGAGCTTTTGGCATTGCATTAGGAACCTTGAATTAATGAAATTGAGAGTCATTTAAGGTTGTGGCCATTGTGTGCTTCTCTCCCCCATTCTCTCTCCTAAATCAGTTTCCGTATATTTCTTTGATTTTATAATTGACAATACTTACTACCTAGAAAAAATTGTTTTTGACTTTCATGCCTTTCATTATAAATCCACAAGTACGAAAGAAATCCAGAAGATTGAACATTATAAAGTGACCTGTACAGCAACTCAAAAAAGCAATAACGCTTATAAAAGACTTCTCATAGTCAATGACATACCAATTGTAGGAACAGTTGATAAAACCTCTCCAATGTGTAGTTTGTACAAGATAGTTGTTTTACCAGCAGCATCCAAGCCAAGCATCACAACCTGCAACATTAAAATTTTGAATCACGATCACAAAAACTATGGAACATAGAAGTTTTTAACAGATAGTAGGACATACCAGCAAACCAATTCAAATCACCTTAAAAAGTCTGCATGTGTAAATGGATGCTAATCAATGAATGATAATCCTACACAATACAATACAAAGGAACCACTAAAGGCAGGGGGGCTATGAAGTGGAGCTAGCCCAGATGCAAAATTTGAAGGATTCAACATTTTTGTTAGGGACAAACCAAAAGTCTTGTGCATACTAAATGTTAGACACAAGCACTTGTTGGCAATTGTTGGTGAGTCAGCAGAATGTGAGTCCACTGGGAATTATGTCAAGCACTCAGCTTGCACAAGACCATCAAATAGGGGAGAAGTGAGAGCCAAGACAGTCGTAGAGAGAGAGAGAGAGAGAGAGAGTGTGTTAATAGAGGTTCAAACTTGCTAGAGGAGACGACATTTTCCGTGTATATTTCTTTGTGTGGAGATGGAAGCCTCCTTTAAAGAAGGGTACTCACCCTTCCCAAGTGTCTAATGCTCAACGGTATGTGGCTCTCCCTCGTTGGCCCAACTGCACCGAACACTCAAACCTTGGGAGTCATACCAAGAAGATGTAGTGATGAGTAGGTATGATACACCACATGAAGTATTACGTGCCTTGGCCAAAGTCTGGCTTTGTCCTCGTGTGGAGACTTCTCTTAGTTGTGTAAGATTAGTCAAGGTGCAAATCCCCTCAAGGAAATGATGAGACAGCTCAACAAACCCTCAACTCTAGCCTCCAAAACACACACCCTGCTGTGATCCCCAGTGGAGGTCAGGGTTGCTCAAGCGCCCTATGAGCAAGGCACGAACCTCAAGGCGATTCCTAGGCTTTGCTCCCTACCCGGGTTGGCATGGCAACAACAGGGTGCCCTTCCCTTCCAATTATAGCTTACAATGAGTGAGGCAAGTCAAGGCACAACATAAAGCCAAGGTTTAAGTCAAGTCTTATGATTTGAAGGGGCGGTTGAAGCCAGACCAGACCCCACCACTTTGCAAATCCATACATGTACCCTACAACACTAAATGAAAAACTACCACATACACCAAAACAATGAAAAGCTACCGTTCCACAACACAGAAGACGAATGTAAATATTTTCATAAATAAGTATATCATCTCAAAAAGAAAACATAACAAAATCCCATTAGTGATGGACACTAAAAGTGCAAAGACATGCAAAAGGTCAAACCTAACTTGAAACATGGGTTCCTTCCTTTTGAAAGGAGAAGCAAGAATATGGATTAGATAGATAGATCATAAAATTTTAATAGAAAATGCCCATCCACAATGGGCTATGTTACAGAAAATATCATTTGATCCTATGAAATAAAAGAAGAATATTAAAAATTAGAAGTAATTAGTGGTCATGTAGTTCTTAATCCAGTCTATAGGTCATACCCAGCAAAGCCGCAGTTTATCCGATATCATTCTCCAATAAATTACTTTGAATCTCACACTCCAAATTTTACAAATCCTTGGGGATACAATACAACCACCTAACCTTGAAAATTGACATGCAAGGGGAGGGTGCCTAAGAGCTTATATTCAGAATTTCACATTGCCAAGCCCAAGCTCTCTCTCTCTCTCTCTCTCTCTCTCTAGCAAGGTGGTACAAATGTTAAGATCAGATAAATTATCAACAGTTAATAATGTTGGAATGGAAATTAAATAGTTAACATGAACAAGAAAATAAAACATATGGAAACAAAAGTAAAGAAAAAAAGAAAAAGAAAAAAGTACCCTCATCTCAGTATTGCCGAAGAAGGCATCGAAAAGCTTCCGAAAGGCTTGTCCCATTGATGAATTTTGATCACTGATTACTCTGTCAGTCTGTTTCGGAGGTCGAGAAAACGTCAACGATGGAACTTTTCTTTGTTCACAAGGGAGGAGAGAGAAGATTCTTCGAACTGGAATTCACGATCAGTAAGCCTGTAGGCTGTAGATATATATATACTAATTTACAGATTGATATGTATTTCCAGCAGCAGTAGTAGTATTGGACGATCTGTGTGCGTGTGTGACAGAGAGAGAGAGATGAGAGAGAGAGAGAGAGATTGTTGATCAATTGGGGGAATTCGAATTTTGCTCTTTTTCCCTTTTTGTTTACGACGCCTTTGCATATAAATATCTTCTATTGCGTCTTGTTTCCCATAATTTAAAAAATTAAAAAAACACTACTCTAGTTAAATTTTATTATTTTATTTAGGGATTGTCGGGGTTGCCTTAAATAAATATACTTTTTATCTTTTTACATTAAAAAATTGAGGTTGAAAATATGAATATTTGAGTTAATTTTTTGACTTTTTATGAAAAAATGTGTATTAAAAAATTGTATAAATTAGTTTGTAAGGGAAAATCAGAATTTGGAGTTGTGCAGCCGTAATTGTTGAATTTTGATGAATAGTGATAACTTTTTGACTTTTTTGAGACTTCCCAAATGTGGCCTTAACTTATATTATCTCTCTATCACATCATTTTAAATCTAACTTATATTTTATAAAAAGTCAAAAATACACTTATTTATATCATCTCAAACAACCCCTAAAAGTATAGGTGAACAGCGGATATATTGATCCGCCAAAACAGACCGAACCGATCCGATCCGATCCGATCCGTCACATTTTAGATGGATGCGTGATGACAAACGGACAGTTGCGAATTGATTTTCTCCAATCCGCCAATCTGGTAGACGGATGGCGGATTTGAGATTCCTTTGGCCGCAACCAAACCGCCAAACCGCGAGCACCCCTAGTAATTTATAAGACTTGGTGTTTTCAGTTTGTTTAAATATTCTGTTTGTGTTTTCAATTAAAAAAAAATTAAATATTCCATTGAAAAAAGTTTTTAACTTGAATATCTTTTTTGAATTGAAAAAAATAAATGTATTATTTATCTATATTTTTTGTTTTTAAATCTATCTCTAAAAATAATAAATAGAAAATATAATATATCGTAGTTGGTTTTTGTTTTCAAAAATAAATATAGATGTAACAATATAGAGACATACAATCTCTACTATTGCTCTGCTCATGGTTTTGGTAGTTTGAATTGTTTTTATATTTTAAGAATCACAGATTGTAATATTTTATGTGGATAAGGCATGCTGTGATTGTAGTATGTGGATGAGGCATACAGTGATTGTAATATTATAAAGTTTCGAACTTTCTTACTTTGGATAAGGCATGCAGTGATTATAATATTTTTTTAAATCATTGACTGTAATATTTTTATTTTTTTTTTGAGAAAGTGTACAAGTTTAATTATGTTAAAAATTTATAAAATTTTAAACCGCCAAACCAATTCGCATTCATCCGCCAAACCATCAATCCGCTCAATCCACATCCGCCGGATTAGCAGACGGATTCGGATTAATTTTCTCCAATCCGCCAATCTGACGGACGGATGGCGAATTGGAGGTTCCGTTACCACAACCGACCCGCGTCCACCCCTACATAAAAGTGTTGGTTTGACAATGATTTTTTTAGTTAACTTTTTAGTTATTTGACTTTTTTTAACTTTGCGTTTTTTTATTTGTTTGGTTTTCTTATTTGATTTTTTAACTTTGTTTTGGGGCAAATTTTTTTTATCCTCATGTCATTTTTTACTTCTTTTTTTTTTTTTTTTTTTTTAATCCTTTTGCGATTTTTTAGCATAGCTCAAAAACCAAACAATCCCTTATTTAATTTATACTTATTTCTTTTCAAATTTTTTTTAAAAAAGTATAAATATATGTCAACTTTACGTAAAATATAAATTATTTTATATAATTTTAAAAATTATGTCTCACTATTTTAAATTTTTTAATTGTATAATCAATGATATCTTTTATTAATAAATTATCAAATTAATTAATTATTTTTAATGGTTTCAAATATATATTTCAATTAGCAATTAAGATAATTTTATTGTTGTATAAGAAAATAGTTATGAATTTTATTTTTTATGTTAATTTTGTTAAATAAAAAATTCTAACAATAAAATATTTGCAATTTTCAAAATCATAAGAGGCAATTCATATTTTAAGTAAATATTAGCAAGTATATTTATAATTTAATAAAAAAAATAGAAGTTATAATGTTGATATTATTACACTAATTTTTTTTAATAAGGTTAAATAGAATAGAATTAATGCACAAGAAACAAAGATAAATATATATATTTTCAATATGTAAGAGATAAAAATATCATTTTTCTATTTATTTAGTGAGTGAATTATTGATAAAAATGAAACTAAATATTATATAAATTTAAAATTTAAAAAATTCAATCTATTATATCAAAATTATAAAATTTTTAAAAAAAGTCAATATAATTTACTTCATTTATTAATAAAGGGTCAAATTAAAGAGAAAATTAATTTAAAGTCTCTATCCCATTTTTAGTAATAAAAGAGATTCACAATATTATTTTAATATTTTATAATATCTAAGGTTACTCAACTCCACATCCATATATCATAGAGAAATTTAACTCTCTCAAATCCAACCTCAATTCTCTTTCTCTCTACTTTGATATTGTTTAAACTCTAGCCCTCACTAATCTTCTCTTTCTCTTTCCACAAAAATGGCAAACAATAGTCGACCCAAACCAGAACCATCTTCTGAGGAAGAAGGAGAAATTTCATCAGAAGAGAACGAAGATCAAGAAGACTCTGAATCTGAACAAAACCAACTCAAGAACACTTCTTCATAAAAAAAAGCCCTTATCGTCTCTGAAGAAACCCGTGATCGCTCAGACCTCAACGCCAAATCCCTAATCTTCATCTGAAGACGATTTGGGCTCTGAATCGAACCCGAATCGTGCACTCCTCCCACCAATCCTCGCATCAAGCCTCTTGCTTCCAAACCCATGGAAGAAGATCCACTCAAAGTGTCACAGGTCCATTCCGCCCCTAGTAGAATGGTGTCGTGATGGCTAGTAATACGAGATTACCAAAGGCCAACTTACAAAAATTCACACACAATTAGAGTATACATATGGAGCTTACATGTGCGGAAGCAAATTTAAATCTAAGTAGTCCATAAGAGCTGTGTATAGATCAAATGAAATGATATACATCTTAACATGATTTTACAACTTGAATACAAATAAAATATAGTACATGTTACATCTTGATCAAAAGGCTTCTCAAGCCAAAATATACAAAAAGAAATGAGTTACAAACTAAGAAGCATAATCTTTAAGATTATGCAAAACATGAATCAAAACATCTTGCACATAACATCTTAGGCGTCACCGCCTTCTTGCTCGTCACCTACATATATATAAAGGGGAAGGTGAGCTTGGATACTTAGTGAATGATATTAGTAATAAAGGTTTGAATGAATGATATTCGAGATCTTTATCAAAACAATACATATCATAGCTTGTAACAAAACTTAGGATGAATCAAGTTCATCAATCAAAGTCTTTCAAAGCTTCTTGGGATGTTTACTAACATCTACATAATACAAAGGATGACATTCCTGACGAAACAAAGGAATAACTGTCCCGGAGTCGAAGCACACCCGTTCATGACCGTTGGTGGCCAACCTGGAATCGGTTAGACAACCCACCCGAAAAACCGTCGGTGACAAAACAAAACCCACCCGTACAAGACCGTCGGTGGTACCATCCGTACATGACCGTCGATGGCAGGAGATATCTCAAACAAAGGTGCTACATAAGCTTAACGTCCCCTCGCACGAAAAGACTTTCCAAAAATGTCATCAAAACAAACATAATACTTGATAAAAAAAACTAGTGGATAATCATTCATTCTTGATCAAATACTTTTCCAAAACAAAACAAAGCAAAGCAAAGCTTTATCAAAACATTATAACATAGCTTTATTAAAAATACCACTCATATAGCTCTTCAGATGTAAGGATTAAGGCAAGGATCCAAGACCTACAAATACATAATAAAACTCCACTGAATGCACTCCAAGAAAACAATAAGGAATGCTCAAAGATGGTTATGAAATGCACTCTCAAAACAAGCTTTACATGAGTGTAAATGATCTCGCATTTCTTTCCAAAACCAAGTTAAGACAAAGTAAAACATGTGCTGGAAGTCAAAATACTCTTTTTCTTCTTGGAAAAGCATGCTGGGTACCAACCAGGTCTTGAATGGATGCACAAAGACGATCTAGGCAAAAATGGCCTTGTTGGGTGAACTCAAGGGGTCTTGGCCGAGGTGTAGTCTTCTAGGCCTAGGTGTGCGGCTGCCTGCCGAGATGTTATAAGGTGCCGGCAAGGGTGTACCAAGGTCGACCTAGGTGTGTGGTGGTTGGCCTAGGTGTGTGGTGGTCGGCCTAGGTGTGCAAGCAAAATAGGCTAAGGTGCAAGTGATCGTGCAAGGTAGGCCAATGTGAGATACAATACTTGGCCTAGGTGTGAGATCTAGGCAAGAGTGGGTCTCAGTGACCACACTTAGGCAATGAAGTCTGGAAATCTGGGTTTCCTCCTGAAGAACACGAAGAACATGAATGCAAAAATCATAACTTCTTATTCAGAATCTGAGATTTCATGATATAAGTTCGAAATCATGGACCTGGGTACCCATAGTTGAAGATTTCTTGAAAACAAACACAAAAACATGGAACTTGTTACAAACTTTCGGATCAAAACAAGGCTTTTCTTGAAGAACACAAGAACTTAATTTTCTCTTTCTAAAACCAAACTTTAAATCAATACATGGCTCATGAATCATGCTAGATCATGCAATGTGATCATATGAACATAAAGAACAACAAGAGTAGATCAAGAATCTAACCTCAAAACATGGATCAAACAGCTCAAGGTGTGAAGATCAAGCTTGGAATCTAGCTCTCTCACTCTAAGAACTTCTTCCTCTTTCCTAGAGCTTCTCTCTCTTCTAGGGCAAAGATATAGCAAATGATATGTTGTCTCTACTGCTAGTTGACTTAACCCTCTTCTGGGATACGTGGCAACGTCTGGTTAGATCTCCTCAAAAAGGTGCCAGAATGACAAGACAAGAGTATGACAAAGTGTGTATAACAAGTAAGGTGACATGGGCACTCTGATAAGGCAATGATCTTGGATTAGGACATAGGCTTCGTTAAGTAAGGTCTCACTGATCTCGACTAGGAAGGATAGCACTTGGCCTAGCTGTGCCACACCTCAGTCTAGATGTACCACACCTCGGTCTAGGTCATACTAGTCCAGGAACAAGATCACTAGGTGCAAGGATCAAAGATCTAGGATGCCTAGATGATAACATCTCGGCCTAGATGATACACATCTTGGCCTAGGTGATGCACACCTCGGCCTAGATGATGACATCTCGGCCAATATGCCTAGGTGATGGTGAAGGTCAACCAAAGTGGTTCCAGGATGATCCTAGGTGTGAGAGATTCAAAGTTGAGACCTAGACTTGAGACATCAAAGATAGATGGCCTAGGCTTAACATAGCAAGCAAGGAACAAAGCAAGCATATAACACATAGGCAAAATACATAAGCACAAAACAAGACAAGGACCTTTACTTAGGCAAAACAAGACAAAGTCTACAAATACAAACTTAACAAGACAAAAACATACAAATGCACATGAACGTGGCTAAGACAAGAATGAGGGTTATTACACAAAGCTACTAAGAAACCTAGATCCAAGCCTGGTTCGGCAAAATCTCCAACGAAAAGGCCTCCGGTGAGTGAGAACAACAGCAATCAGGAATCAAAGAGGGCGAAGAAGAAAGTTGTGGATTCTGATGTGGTTGTTCAAAAGGACTCAGCCAAGAAGACTAGTGATGATTCGAAAAAGCAATTGTTTCAGAGGTTGTGGAGTGAAGAGGATGAGATTGTGTTTTTGAAAGGTATGATTGAATATACTGCGAAAAAATGGTTTGATCCACTCGCTAATAGGAATGCTTTTTATGATTTCATCAAGAAATTGCTGGGTTGAAGAAGAAGTATGAGAACAATGCTAGCAAGAGTAAAATGGGCGAGAATCGGACTTTTTCGAAGGCATATGAGCAAAAAGCGTATGAATTGTCGAAAAGATATGGTTTGGTGGAGCTAATTCTGCAGGTGTTGACAATGCAAAGGTTAATGGGAACGCAAGGAAGAATCAAAGTCAAAGAGCTATTGCAGCTTCACCAAAGGTTGATAGTGGGAAGGAAGAAACAAAGATGCAGGTTGAGCCAAGTACAGGGGTGTCTCTCTCATAATTTAACTTGGTTTACAATTTCTTCATCCATGAACTATGTTTTTCTACAACCTGTGTTTAGCTCATATTCACTGTAATTTATGCAATTGAATAGGAATTGGTTCTTGCTCTGTTTTGTTTCTGTGAAATTTTCCCCCCAGTGTTGGTCATATTGAATCTGAATTATGTTTGTTTGTGTTTGAACTTTTGCTAAATTTGTTTTTTTGTCAGATTGTCCTTCTTTACTCTTTTGAGAATTGTTTATTCCAAGGCATATTTTGAGAAGTGATTTTGTTTTGAAATTTCTCTGGAGGAAGAAGATGATAAAGGCTTGAATTAGGAATTTCTTTGAGAAGTCCAGAATTTCTCTGGAGAAAGAAGATGATGAAAGCTTAAGTTAAGAGTTTCTCTAGAGAGTGGGAAGTCCAAAGAAATTCTTAATCGAATTTTCTCTGAATTAATATTAAGAAACTTTAGACATTATAAAAATATTAGATGTCTTTTATGCTATAAAATCTTAATATTAGAGATCTTAAAAAAAATTCTCCAAATTAAAATTCATATAAATGCATAGTTCAAATATGTTTGTGATATTAATATTATGGAATATTTGTTGAAGGGGTGAGCTTCCTTCCAATTTCTTTTGATTTCACGGTGGTCCCCTTTCTCTATTCTATTCTCTTCCACCATTCACCGTCCTTGGTGAAGTGATTCCACACCTACAATGTGAAACTCATTAAACTAATATATCAATGATACATTAAAATGAATTTAAAATATGACCTTCCCAAACATTATTGTCTAATTCATCATCAACGTTTTAACTTTTGACTTGGCAAGTGACTTACCTTAAGACAATGACACGCCTTCATTTTTTTTTATATTTCTTTTCTGGGATTTGGAGATTTTTTTTTAATAAAGATTCTCACTTTTTTCCCGTTGCCTACAGATTTGCTTTTAACCAGGTAAATTCAAAACTTGTGTTGCAATTATTTGCACTCACTCAGGTCCCATCTTTCCGCAAGCTTCAAATCTCTGGCCGTGCAAGGTGTCCACCATTACACCATTGCAGCTCCAATCCTATCACAATTACATAGGAAAGATTTCTCGCAGAATCAGTTGCACAGTAACTCAAAACATTGAATAAGACAAAGATGGTTGACACATCTCTTATAAACACCATATTATGTTATCTCAAACAAAATTTTAAGAGAAACAAAATCAGATCTCTTGACTAATAATACCAATACCAAGACACATATCATTCTAATCTCCACCCGATTAAACAAAGAATTTTTCTGCACATGCCAAAGGTCGTATACATTACACCCTACTTTGGATCTCATCAACATTGATAAAATGTCATTTTAAACGGTTTCTCTCTCTCTCTCTCTCCCTCTCTCTCTCTCTACCTTTTCTCATGAATTATAATGCCACAAGCTGACTGAATTCAGGAACCCCATACAAACGACGACTAACTATAATCATCATCCTACATTAGAATTCTCTAAATACTCTACACCAACCCAGTAGTTCCTTCCATCAGTAGCCAAGCCTTTGCACTGGGACACCGCCATGATTTACCCGTGCAAAACTAAAGAAAATTCGGGAAATATGAGCAAAAAAATGGGGAAAAAATTACTGAAGTGGTAACCTCCAAAAATGTATGGAAGAGAAGATATTCCAGGTGTCCACAGCAAATCTGGAGTTAAAAACCCATGGAAACTGTTTCCACAGCAAATTAGACGTCTATGAGTCCACCATCTCATCTTGTATCTCATTGGGCGCAATAAGACCCGGAATAGTGAGCATCCGCTGTCGCTCCCTTTCTTTCTGAGCAGCAGCTTCTTCTGCATAGAGATCCTTGTTGTCCTGCGAAACAGAATGAAATTTAAAATTAGAAAATCATCAAACTGTAGACCAAGAAAACAATTGATCTTTAACCACAATGCCAACCTACTCACTGAAAGCCCTAGCATCTATAAAACTTATTACCAGTTTGACCATCAAGGTAAAACTCACCCTCCATGTTATACATGGCACAGATTGGGAAGTTCAGTTCCCATTCCCCCCCCCCCCCCCCCCCCCCGCGGCGGCCGCCTCAAAGTTCAGTTAAAACTCACCCTCCATCTCTATTCAATGCTCAGAGAAAATGAATTTCTGAGCAAATTAAGCAGTGAAAGCTCAAGTAATGATGGTGTTTACCTGAGCTGAGAATTCTTTTGACTGCACAAGAAAGTCCCGTATGTGATCCTTAAATGTGGAAAGATCATTTCTTGACTCGAACAGTCCACTCACAAATTGTGCTACCTGACAAAGTCCCCTCAAATAAGTGGGTATCCAGAGAGCAGATAAGGATAAATAGAGTTTGGATTACATACCTCAGTTGCTGTCATGTTGGGGAATGATGTGCCCAAAAGTTTAATAGTATACTCACGAACAAACATTGCATTATTTGGATATGTATAAGTAACAGTCGTCACATCCCATAAAGGTTCTGTCAATGAACCAGACTCTGCCTGTAAACACATTTCCACAACTCTATTAATTTTTTTGAGGGGCCAAAACTATGACGAACTTGTTTCTGAGGCATAAAAAAGAATAACTACCAGGCAAAACAAGTGCTGCAGCACCAAGACATGCAACTTGAACCCAGGTTTATGAAACGTGTCTGTTAAGACAGCAAAAATTTCTTGCTCGATTGTCACGAAGTAAGTCCGGTAGAATTGATTACAAAACTCAGAAGTCTGCAAAATAACCTCATCACGGTAGAGCCCTTGCATTGAACATAAATCATTACAACTCAAGAGGACATAGAATCACATGACAAATCACACCTGAAAGTTCTTCAGCATCTCCAACAAAAGGTTTAGTCCAGTTTCAGCAATGTTCCTTTCAGTATGTCGGAAAGCCCATATGATAGAATCCATAACAAGCTTTAGTTGCTGATATGGATAAAAGAACATTAGAAAGACTAATAAGCTCATTGGAATTGAAGAGGTGCACCAGAAAAAAGGAAATGTTTAAAACTGGAGCATAGATATACTCACATCCAAACAGAGAAAGCTTCTAAGATTTGTAGAGTCAAACATTACAAGATCCACGTCAATTTCTCAATATGGGGAATAAATATAAACACAAACCTGGCTTGACAGACGAATCAAAGCAGGAAAACAATGTGTAGCAATGGCACGAAGCAGTGAAAAGAACTTGAGGCGATGCTCAGGGTAATCTTCAAAGTTTTTGGTGATCATCTGAAATACAAATCAACAAGACAAGTCAACCACAAAAGAAGTACATGGTCTAAAGCTTTCAATGATACAAAGACCTTATTCAAGACTCAATAGTCAGGACAAGAGGGTATCATCAAGGAAAAACCATATCTACAACCAAACACAGAGGAGTGGAAAAACAATGTTGATGGCAAGATATCATAAAAAATAAACAAAATAAACATGACGTGTTGCATTACTCACAGTCCACACATGAAACAGAGCCTTTTCTGGACATGCATCAGCCAACAGGATAGCACAAGCAAATCACATGAGCCACTAAACAACCCATATGTTGAATGGTAAGATCAATAGCTATGTTTTTAATTATTGCCTCTAGCTTCTGACTATATACAAATCAATTACCTCCCAGAATAAAGGAAGAAAACAATGAACTTCAATATTCTCTAGAGAATGTGCAAGCCAATTATAAAATTATTAGGCCAAACCAGCACCCCAATTGATCTGTCTTATTTTATTTATTGTTTTTTTAACCATAATAGTGCATTCTATACTGCTATTTTTCAGTTATTTCCAATTTATTTTCATATTTCTATTTTCATACATTACAATCCAAATCAAAACACCACACGTGACAGCAAAGATAGAACTGCCAAATTGAAATGGCTGGTGAATGCAGTGAGTTTGGCAAATTATAAGAACATCTCCATCAAATCAGTCAAATCTTTAGCCAATTTTTAGCTAAAAAGTAACTTTAATCACTTTTTCAAATACTTCACACAACAAACTCTCTATCTCCTTTATCTATACTATTAAAATACTTTTTTTTCATCTTTCTTTATTTTTTTTCTCCCAACAATTGCATTCTCTTTCTTTATCCTCAAAAAAATGAGAAAATTTCAAATTGGAGCAAGAAATACAATGGGCACGCATGCAACTAACACCAGTAGGCAAAAAAACAAAAAAGGTCACAAACTAATACATTACATGAAACGTATGAGCAATAGCAGATTATCGTTTATTCATTATAGAAAACAATCATGGCTTCTGTCAGGGTTTTTTTTTTTTTTTTTTTTTTTGAAAAAGTTGGCAAAAGTGGGGCTTTTGGGCTATTTTATGGAAATAGGCTACAATAGCCTCGTTTGAGGCTTCCCAAACAGCGCCTACATGAAACGTATGAGCAATAGCAGATTATCGTTTATTCATTATAGAAAACAATCATGGCTTCTGTGAAGTGAAGCGAAGCAATATTTCACTATTTTAATGCAAGAGTAAGTCTGGTGCTAGCTACATATGGCAAGGGAATTGAGACTCGTATAAAATGGAGTGTATGAACGAGTTCTTGTGAGTTTTCTTGACATAGCTAAGTAGGTTTGGTGAGCTTGGTAAAGATGCACTAAGTTGTATTAAAGTCCAACCCTTTGACAACCTTACTAATAGAAAGGGCAAAGTGCGCTCAAGCAATGTTCGCATCCCCCGAGTCATAATCGAAGTGGTCTCGTGCAATCTCATGGTAAAGATGCACTAAGTTGTATTAAAGTCCAACCCTTTGACAACCTTACTAATAGAGAGGGGAAAGTGCGCTCAAGCAATGTTCGCATCCCCCGAGTCATAATCGAAGTGGTCTCGTGCAATCTCATGTGCGGCCATCATTACATCTGGTTCACTCACCGTGAGATGAGGTCTGAACTTCAAATCAACATCATGAAAGCTTTTAAAAAAAATTAATTTTAATACAAGTAAATGATAAAATAATAAAAACCCATTAACAACTACTAACAAGTTAACAAAAGAATAATTTCCACAAGGTTAATTAGAACAAAGAAAGCACTGGTATCATAAAAAAATGTTAACAACATATTTGGAATTAAACCAAACCAAACCAAGCCTCAAGTTTCACCAAATGGGGTCGGCTACATGAATCCTTCTTCTCCAATCGACTCTATCAAAGACCATTTGATTAGTCAAATTAAGGAGACTCATATCTCTATTTACTGCATTAGTCCACGTCAATTTAGGTCTGCCCCTTCCCTTAATACTTGAATAAAGAAAAACTAGCCACATTGAAGAAATCTTTCTGTTTCTAAATACCTCATTTTTGCAGTGGATATAATTAGTTTTGGATCAAGCCAATTCATTTGTAGTAAATGGAGACAGGATGTCCTCTTAGTGAATTAACCAAAAAAATTGGTTAACGGGTAGTTTTATAAGAGCAGTAGATTGCAAACATGTTCCCCCTCAGAGGTGTACAACTCATTGGGTTAGACCAAAAAAATTAAAAAAGTGCCTATTTATGCCTCAAAGATCATCTAGCTTTCTGAAGTGAAAGGCTTCTAAGAAGTGCCATTTTACTTTCAAATATCAGAGCAGTTTGCTCTCGTTTTGCCTCAGGTGTCAACTTCACCTTTTATAACAAAAGGAACACACTAAAACATTTATTTTTGATATGCTAATTACTTTTATAACTAAAGAAACTTCCATCCTCACCTCCAAGGTACATTGAAACACAGCTTCAAAAATTCGAGGCACATCCTCTATCATTGCACCTTTGTACCTATAAATAGAAAAGATAAGGAAAATGGAATGTTACAGAATGAAAAACTGTAGTACAAGGCATCAGACCTCAAGCTTAACCAATAATGCATTGTTTTAAAGGTAAATTACCAATAGGTCCTACTTTTGGGACTTATTACCCATTAGGACCTGTAGGTAAATAAGTCTAATTAATATGACTGATTGGTAAGTGCCCCTGTTTTAAATCACCAGTAGTAGGTGGTCACATAAAAACTCGGGAAATGGTGGAAAATAAAACGACAACCATTTTCCGGGCAGCCTAGAGTCTAATTCAGTTAGAAGCATGGACATCGCAAGGTCCGGTGCCAGTGCTGTGTCCTCAAAACCTAGGTTGCGTTTGGTAGAGTTTTGTAATTATGATTTGAGTGTGGAAAATTTGTTTGGTAAAGAGTTTTGAAAAAAGTTTTGAATTGAGTGGGGAATTATTGATGTGACATTTGATATTTGATATAAAAATTTACAACTCATAACCAAACATACAACTCAAAATTAATTTAAAGCACATAAAAATTTTTAAAAAATTCAGAAAATATTTTTTTCGAATATATAAAAATTAACATATCAATTGCAAAAAAAAATAAAAATAAAAAATTCACTGTTCCGGTCAACCGGCCGGACGACCGGTTGACCAAATTTGAAAAAAAAAATTCCGAAAACCGCGCCTCAAACAGAGTGTTTTGTGCGGAGTTTTGGAATGTGTTTTAAGAACTCTAACCAAACATGATGTTTGAATCAAGGTGTAGAATCATGATTACAAAACACAACCAAATAGAGCCTTAAATAGTATCCAAAAGTGGTGCCGCCACCATCCCATCAAAGCTTGAGTATCAAGGTCAACAACTAAAATGTCATTTAAAAATTCTGAGAATGCACTTATATTTAGCAATGCTAACTGCACTTGTTGACATAAGCAAGCATTTTCCAATGCAACATATCACCCCTCTTATTAGTTGGAAAACAAAAATTTACATCAATAAACACAATAAAAACAGGTTGCATACTTGTTAATTATTGTAGCAAAAAGTGACAAGACTTCAGATTCCCTTGCATCAGGCAAATTCCTAGCGTAATCACCAAGTACAGGGTCCATCATTGGAGGAACAAATTGTTTTCCTATTTGCGGTTGATCTTCAGCCTTGTCCAAGAATGTCTCAATGAGCTTAAGAGTCTCCCTTTTTACTGAGCTGTTTCAAGAGTAAAATAAAAAGAAAAGGACATGAGAAAGTTCAGAAAAACCAATACAAAAAAATCCCAATTACTGAACTCACCGCAGAAGTTTTACATAAGATGTTTTAGATGCAAAGGGGCCCCCTTCTGCAATGGTCGTCGATATGAGCTCACTGTACATTCTGTTCCAAACAATAAGAGATCACACAAATCACAACATTACTTCATGATGGAAGACCAAAGAGAGATTTCTCAGATGTTCACATAAAGAAAGAAAAAGTTATATAGCTGAAAGTATTTAAGTTAAAATTGTAATCCGAAATAATACCTGTATACATTAAGCATGTCCAAAAAGATCAGTGATATTTGAGATAAGAAATATGTTCCAAGTGAACTGGCAACACTTGTATTTGTCTGCCATGCAAAACAAAATGACTTTATATGAATCATGCTTCAGCATGAAGTGACAGTGATATGTATAAGAAAGCCTATCAAGGTTAAGAATCTTGTATACAGATCCACAATCTGCTATCTAAAAAGCTAGGGAAACATAGAACAAAATACTTTTTAAGAAAGGTACAAAAAGAAATAATCTTGAAGAAGGTGACCCAAAAAAGAAAGCTAAAAGATTTAGCGGCAAAAAGTATCCAATGTGTTTCGCTAAATATATTACCAATGATAAACCATGAGTCACGGTTGATGAATTTTACTCCTTCAATGGATAAGTTCTTTAATTTATCACAAAGTTCAATCCACAAAGTGAACCTTTATTCACATTATAAGTTACTAACAAAACAACCATTTGATCCAAATGATACAAAGAATGGAACCCATTAATAGCAAATTACAATAAATCTCTTGCGATATGTAATATTAGCCAACTCCCCGCCATAGCCAATGCAGAGGGAAAGAAAGAAAAAAGTAGATAACAATGACACTTACATTTCTTCTTGTCAATCTAGAGCATGTCTACAATTTTTTGTAATGACACCATTATTATGTTCAAATATCTCCATGCTAAAAAAATAAATAAAATTTAATAAAATAAAATAAAATAAATTGTGTATTCTGTTGCAGTAAAACAAAGTCAAATAATAAAGCATGGGTTGCCAAAGACTCCCTAAATGGTTTCAATTTCACATCAACTCAAACACAGCATACCCACCCCACCCCCAAAGAAGAAGAAGAAGAAGAAGAAGCTTAGAAAAATAATGCTCTATCTCATGAGAGAACCAAGTTCTCAACGTAGAGCAAATAATGCAATTTCATTGACTCAAGAAAAATTGTCTTAGTTGTAAAACATACCTGCAATATATTAAGGACAGTCCTGATTACATCTTGATCTTTCAAGAAATCCACACTATGGCGTGCCTGTGCTATAATTTCAACCCATTTCTGCACAGAAAAATGTAACCATAATGACTACCATGGGGCTTGAACACATGCACATGCATTCCTGGAAGTAGTAGCATTTTTTATGTGAGCTTGCCTGATTTGGAAGCTCCATCAGCCTTTTCAAATATTCATCCCTCTTCTGAGGATCAGATTCTGCTTGAATCATATTACCAACCTAAAACAGTAGAACAGCAATTGTTACTTCACGACCACCCTTTATACAGTCTAATATTGGGGCATCAGACAAACATACTATTTATCAAAAAATCAGACAAACATACTGATTCATAAAATGAATGAATCTGATGGGGCTCAAGATCAGCTATAGTTGTAGGAAGGCTTGTTAGAAGCTCAGATACAAATGGTTCGCTTTCTCCAAGCTGGAAACAATAGAAGAAAAGCATGACACATTCAAAGTTATATCCAATATGGAAAATTGACATTTGACCAACAAGATTAAAATAATATTACCTGTACAATAACAAATTTACGCTTGCACTTCTGAACAATTTTCAAGAATGTGTCACAAGCCATATCCTGTCACACACAAATTTTAACTTTAGTAATTTACTTTTCCAAGATTAAAAGGTAAAAGGCTGGCCATAGATGATGAACAAGACAGGAATTACAATACCCAATTAATGTAACACCACAAACTCCATTTATGATATAAAGAAAGGCTATCGAAGTAATTAACTAGAACAATTGAAACAATATAAACACTCCAAATTTTATAACAAAAACTAGAACATAATTAACAAGTCTAAAATAAACGCATGGATAGGACAAATCAGCTGGTAAACAAGAAGTTACAATTGATAAAATCCTAACCTTAAAATGTGATCAAATGGATTTCAACACATAATTCAGAATATTGCACATATGCCCAAGTATGCTATGACACTATAACCAATGCTAAGGCAAATATAGGCTGAACTTCCAGAGCTTAAAACCACAGCACACTGATACTACACAGCAAACAGCAGTATATTTCTATAAAACATGTATCATACTCCTGGGAAACTCATTTTCAATTGTAACAGTCTCCCTACACTTACGATCAAGTTGCAATGTCATTCTTCCGTGAGGGCCAGTAGTCCATGTAACGGAAACTACCAAAAGGTTGATATTGCAACTTGACCATTAATGTAGGAGGGTTGATTCTTACAATTGAAAAACAACAGAACAACATGGAATTCAAGGTAGCCTAGGGGTGTAAACTGTATTTAACCCAAAATTATTAATTCACCTTCAAATAAAACTAAGACTCTTGAAGCTGCCATGGCATATAGAAATGCTTACACAACCTTTCTGAGATTAATTTGGTTTCAGTATAACTCTATGACTGAAATTGAAGAGGGAAACGAGAGGCTTCTCAGCAGACACTTGCCCAGCAAAAATATAGTCAATTTGGAAAACTTTCGGGACTAAACACGCCTAGATTTTGGAAGCATATATCACAAGAGTAATACTAACCTGAACTCCGGGATGCGTTTCATGCATGAACTCAAACAACTTATTCACAACAGTCTTCAAGAACTTCCAATGGGCCCTAAGAAATCTTGGGTACTGTCCAACAACATACCTGAATATGCAATAAAAATAAGAACACAAACGAATATAAATTTTGATCATCCTGATCAAACATTTACAGACTAGATCCCCCAAGGTCCAATTATAATAGTTACTACAGTTGACAACTACAGTCTGCAGCATACCAAGTTGTACTACTTAAGAGGCAGTAATATCAGGCAACAGAAACACAGTAAATGAAAAAGAAATTAGATTCTCTAAAGGCTTTTCAGCCAGAATGACATCAAAGTTCCAAAGCATTATTCTGTCCTGTGACAAGATTGGAAGATAAAGAAACCAGGAAGATTTTAAGTGGAGAAGAGAATTTAACTAAAGATTCTTACATAATGTTACTTGCAATAACAGCTTTGTTGTCCTTTCCTTTTGTGATTTCACACAAATTTAGTAGATCACGAATTACCATCACCAGAAATCTGTTTTCCTGAAAAAGACAATTTTAAAAAAAAAATGGTAACACACATATGTCCTGAAATAATTAAAAAAAGAACGAAAAATCACATGGCTTGACAATGACAAACAAATTTAAAAACCGCACATTGCAAAGTTTCAACATTCTACATATCGAGAACTAAATAGGCAAGCTGTACAATCAAAGGAGAAGTAAAATGGATTACTTAAAACATATAATAGCCATCATCACATCGGATGACCCGAAATTGTCTCAGCACAATAGCAATCAATATTTAGAATCATAACAAATAGTGACATATATGTTACCCACATAGATGATAGTGGCATACATATCAGCAATCTACCTACACTAGCTAAACAAACTAAACACAAAAAGGTCACATACATATCAACATCATAACATAAACCACCTCATTAACCATGAGAGCTTATATGTTGCTAATAAAATGTTACGATACCCAAAACAATTGAAGAAATTGTGCTATAAGTTAAAGAAGCATACCTGCTCCTCCATCATGGACCCAGATATAGATCCTATTGCCCAGCACAATGTGTTTAAGTTGTTCCATGTCCAATCCTCACCACTCAGCTGTTTATTCAATTTCTTCAGCATCTATATCATCCCAAAAAGAAAAGAAAAAAAAATTACACATTACTAGATTGCATAATCCGAGTTTAAGCGCACTGTACTGCACAACATCCTACTCCAAGAACATAGCCATGATGTGCTGAGTGAATAACCTTACAAACCATTTGAACTCAGGAATCTGGAGTATTAAAAACACATACTAATGAAAACACCCGCGGGGGGTGGAGGGTCCTAACCAATGAATAAGAAAGCTTATCAGATGTGGGTTGGTAAAAGTTAACAATAAAAAGAAAATTTTGCTAATATTATAAAAAGATGAATTCTTCCTGTGAGAACACCCTTTGGGTCAAATAAGAATTCAAATGAAGATCAGTTCACATAAGATTATTATGGTTGATAACTCAAACCTACAAATCTATTTAAAAACTAAGTAAAACCTAGTTAGCTATGCTGTAAAAAGAATCAATGGCAAAGCCAAAAAGAGAACCACGATTACTTTTTATGAACTTTTAGTCTAGACCACCAACTAGGAAGCATGGAGACTCCAAAATAGGTGTTGTGTCCGTGGCCGACATGTGACAAACACAAACATGGTGCAGACACAAGAGTCCATGTGTCGAACGTGCCACATGGCACGTCAATTTTTTAAATTATTATTTTTTTACAGGTCACCTCGAGAACACTTCACAAACACGCATGTCTTGTGTCTAGACGCCTCAGGACACATTCATGGATTTTTTTTTTATAATTTTAGAAAGCCCAAAAACAAAATGGGAAAAAAATAAAATAAAACAAAGACAGCCTCATATAAATTGATACCTCCAAATTGCTATGCCCTAAATTTATATTCATATGCATAGCAAATAAAAATATTTTTTCCCATATCCCCACCATGTTTGTATCCTAATTTTTTGGGCTTCTTATAAGTTGGCTATCACAGCCCAATCACAAGTTTGCAACTAATCCAGTCCATGCGCCATCCATAAAAAAACGCATAGTTATATCATCATCATCCCATAATTGTAGGGTAGTGGTAGTATTTGCCTTAGTTTCTTTTAAGTCTTAAAGAATAGAGGCATTTGTTTACATTGTCCAATGAATATTTTAAGTTGAACAAAAATAATATTTACACTATTTAGGTCCTTCAAAAGAACACCGTGCTTATCAAGACTCCATCATCAGGATAATCAATTGAAGTGCATCGACCTTTATCTCTCACTCATGTACTATTTTTTGTTAGAGATTTAGTTGTTGATCATCAATTGTTAATCCATGCCACATGAAGACATGAAACCAACAGAGTCACCCATGACAAGGATAAGGTATCAGCCTTTCATGCTATTGGTATCAGAAAATGTATACAAAGTACCACTATATATTGAACATTGGAGACAAAGCAGAACATTAAGTGTTGTATCCTTACTAAAATGAAAACATGGAGACAAAAAGGGTCAATGTAAAGTGTAAACTATTACCTGCTTTTCAGTATCTTCATGATCAAGGTGTGACAAGTAGATAAGTGTTTCCCTCATGATCTGTTACGTTGTAGTTTAAATTAGAAACAGCCACTGGAGGAGTAACAAAGACATAAAGAAGGTTTCCACATATTAAAATCCTTAGGTGATTCTTGATAATTGCAAGAGAGGTGTGAACAATCACAGTTTTGTATGGCCATAATATTGAAGAGAATTGATGAATTGCCAAAAACTGACTTACTTTATGAACAAGTCCTAGAAAAGTATTTTTACTTAATTAAAAAAAGAACCAGTACATTGCTGTCATTCAAAACTCAAGAACCATAATACCATTCCCTCCACACTAATCAGGACCTCCCACTGAAAAAAAATATATATACAATTTATAGGGCACTTCAAAAATTCCTTCATTGTTAACCTACAAATATGACACACACACAAAAAAAAAGAAAAATAAAATAAAAAATCAGACAATGCACAATTTCTCCATCTTTCTTCCCCAAATCTTCCCCAAATACAGATAAATTCAAACTTTCAAACACCAATGATGATATAGTTAACCCAAAATTACACAAGATAGCCATATATCATTTTTATATTTTTGAGGGAGTAATATGCATCACTGCATAGAACATATGGTGTCTGCATTAAAGGTTTAACAATATAATTGACAGAAAAAAATATAAATGAGAGGCTAACCACATATAAAATGAAAAAGAGAGAGGCCAACCACATATCTAAGAAGAAAAAGAGAGGGACCAACCACATATCTAAGAAGAAAAAGAGAGAGACCAACTATCCATTTTATAAGGTTTCAACCACGAGGTTTGAATTCCTATCTGCCAAGTACAGATTGCACACCTTATATTGAACTAGGACATCATTGTCCTTCATAGTTTCACGGACTATATTCCCATTTTCATCTTCAACAATCAGAACCTCTTCAGGCTTAGCCATACGGCAAACCATAAGTAATCTCAACTTTGACATTGGACCAGCATAAAGCTGCCGTCGCTGCACCAGTTGTGAACCAAGACCATCAACAATACCAGGAAATGGCATCTGCCAATTCAACATTCACAGACAAGATGAGATCAATTAACTTTTCCATAGACAGGAAACATAAAGTGATGTATTTAATAAACCCCCCATTCCCCAAAACCCAATCAAAAGTAAAGGAAAAAAATTCACAAAACTTTATTAATTGTTTTACATGGATTTGCCATGGCTTTAATACTTTTTCCACTAAGAGAATCCTCAGATATTGACATGTAATGTGATTAGATCAATTGGAGACATGCCAAATCTTTTTCTTAGTATACACTTTCCTCCTGTATTGGGTAAGTTATCAATAGTTCCTACTTTGGGGACTTATTACCCATTAAGTCTAATTGATAAAATTATCAAGTGATAAGTTTATCAAGAGAAAAATTTATTAGTCTCTCTTGTTTTTATAAATAAATTTACAGTGATAAATTTATCCGTCAGGACATATAGGTAAATAAATCTAGTTAGTAGGACTGATTGGTAAGTGCCCCAAAATTTAAAACAAAACAAAACAAAAAAAATCCTGCAAGGAATTGTTAAAAGGGGGTTATGAACTTGTGACAAGACAACCACAAGATGGAAAAGCATTATGTCCATGTTAGGCATATTAGGGGATAATAAAAGAAGCTGATACAAAAGGTAGAAGCCAGTGATCCAAAAAACTAAAGAGGAACTTTTAATAAATCCACCCACACAAATACTAAAGAACCATAGGATCATCATCTCTAACAGAGAATCCATCTTACCTGCAGTCCCATCATGTTTGCGATTGCTGCAGGATTATCCAGATTATGGTGAGCCTCAAAAAGCTCCAGAACTAAAGAGTTCCAGTAGTCCAAGCAAACCTGTCAAATTAGCACTAATGAGATCAGAAAATATTATTATACTCCAAATGGGTGGCAAAGAGATGTATGTAGTAATAAACATACCTTAAAAACCTCGGTGTCATCCACATATGAAATGTTAATGAGATACTCAAGACCCAATAGGAGCACAGATATATTCTCTTGTGAGGATTCTAGCACCCGAATATGAGACTGCACAAACATAGCAAATATCAAACAAGTTGCCAGGTTGCCCTCAACTCAAGGCTCTAAGCCTTCATCACCGTTTCAGCAACACACAAAATTGTTAATACTAAGACCTGGCACAAGTAATTAAAAAAAATTATTGTACTGATGTACTGGTTTAAAGTACATGTTTTATCAAAGCTTTAGCACATACATACCTATGCCATGATGCATAGTTATTAATTCCTATTTTGAGTGACAATGATGCACCCAACTATTGTTGTGTAGTTATTAAGCCCACTATTGGAAATAAATTTAAACACCAGCCGGGAAAATAAATAAAATTATCATGCATATGCTTCAAACAAAGCAGGCACATGTGGGAGGCATGTTCAAATATCAGTGATGTTCTTCTAGCTGTTCCCAGACTGGTAAGGTCCAGGATTGCTTTTAAAGGTGAATTAGGCAGGCCATAGAAAGCCTAACAGAAGCTTGTTATATAGCAAAGATTTTCGGATGATATAAGTTGAAATGGCTAAAATATGGCAAAACTCTTGATCAAGCAAGAAGCTTCGATACATTGTCCTTTAGCTGCCATTCTTATCCTCCTTGGGAAGAATCAGAGTTTTCGTTTCATAAGGTTTCTGGAATCTGGATTTCATCATGCAATTATGTGTTCTTGATCGATAAAAAGCAATCATTAGTTCAAGTCTTCAATTAGTAAGTGCCACATTGAAATAACACTGTGCTCTAGCACTTGCTGTTGCTGACACCAATAGATGATGAACTGGCAATCCTTAGAATTCACAACTCACCCCAAAGATTAATCTATGGAACTTGAATTGAGCTGGCTGCTTAAGTTTCAAAAATTTTATACAAGGATAACATGTAACAAGAAAAAGACTTGCCTTATAAAATGAGGTGAAAAACAGAGCCAGGTTCTGAATGAACACCTGAAAAAATAACCACAAGCAGAGAATGAACTTATGGAAGTATATACAGATTTAAGACCAACTAGGATCATATGCATATGAGACAGTCACCTGCTCATCGCTAGTACCAGCCGCATAAGCATCGGGGATGTTAGTACTGGAAGGAAGAATGGCCTACGGAACATCAAAAATCACCTCAGAAGTCAATACATAGGTAACCCAAAGACATAGATGAAAAAAAGATAAAATCAAGAACAGAATTAAAAATAATAATAATAACTAATTCAAAAATAAATCAATAAAATTTGACCTAAAGCTCTAAATTGTTTTTTAGTAAGCTATTTAAGTACCTGCAATTGCACCATGAATATATTATACATTTTAACATACTGCATGTTATAGAAATCCCCAAAATTAAGGGCTGCAACCTGCAAACATCAAGAGATGAAATGAAGACTGTTGAAGAATCACAGGAGCACTTACGATTCCAATTTTATATAGATAAAATGAAACAACAACATACCTCAGTCAAACATTGGAGGGTGAGATTCCGATAAGACGGCACAGGAAAAAAGTTCAGGAGCGTTTCAAGCTGTTAGATTGGGAGAACAACACAGGGTATAAAGACAACATTCAAATATAGAGTACCAAACCCAAATAACGCTTTTTTGTTTTGTTTTCTTTGGATCCAACAACAGCAAGGGGAGAGAAAGCTGATGATAGCCCCTTCCCTACCCATAAACTCCCCTGAACCCATGTCCATTAACTGGGACTTGAACCATTCACATTACCTAAATTAAGAAGTAGAAGTTACCACCTGCACTAGACACTGGGTGGCAGTATTGCAGCTTCACAACCAACATTTTTTCCATAAAAAATTGACATCAAATATGCAAGAAGAATGTACGAACCAGTGGAGATTCAAATATATATCCCAGAGGAATCCATGAAAGGAAAGCATGCAATGTGGCTAGTGTAGCCCTCATAAGCTCAGTTCTTTGAGATGCTGCTGATAGTACATATAGGCATAACTCATGAATGAGTTGAAACTCACTGTAAACAAATAGCACAAACCTCTTGATAAGATAGAGTGAAGAGATATTATAAAGTAATTAGGTAACTTGAACACTCAAGAAACAAAAAAGTAAGGTAAAAAATAAAATCAAGAACTATATAGCAAAAACACAGCTTGTGCCAGTGTCAGACCAAAAAGGAACTTACGGAGGGAGGTAATCAACCAAATGGCAACAAAGATGTAATAAATATAAAAATATATACAGCAGAAAATTGACACAAAAAATAAAAATCAGAAGATGCCCCACTTGTGGGCCAAAAAAGAATCAATATAGATAGTTCAAAAAGATTAAAAAGCAAGAGCACCACCCAAGAACACAAAGTAACACTCAGATTGTTCTTTACAAATTTTCTCTTTGAATAAATAAGCAAATATTGCCAAACATCTGAAACTTGCCGTTTTGCATCTCCCAAAAGTTCACCATTAGACTTATAAACATGGTTATCAGAATCCCGATTCGGATCTTACGATCCATTTGAGAACAATCGATCCAGATCGTGTAAAAAAAAATCCTTATAGGTAAGATCTTTTGATCCTAATAATGGGATCTTATAGGATCGTGGAATCCCGATCCGAATCCGATCCTATCTGATCCAATTTACAAGCCTTGTTTTGTATTGTATGACATATTTTATTGTAAATTTTATGTTTATTGTCTAAATACCCATTTATGTGGTCAAAATAAATAATAAAAATTAAGTAGTATTGAATCAAATAGACGAAAAAAAATAACCTAGGAAACAAACATTCAAATATTGCGGTAATTTAAGAAAATTAACTAGTCGGAAAAACAAACTTAGTTTTAACAGAGTCTAAGGAGGGTAAGATGATTGCAACTTTATCCCAATTTTTGGAGAGATTATTTTTGTTATTCGAATCCGCTCTACCAGGAATGCTAACGATAAACCTTATCATTCGGTTAAGTTGCTCTTTTTAGTTCTTAATCTATTTTCATATCCAACTTTGTTAAATATTTTTCATTACTTTTTATGCATTATTGTAGATTGTAAAGTATTTTGTTATAGAATTCTTCTTCTTCACCTTCTTTTTTGATGAAATACAAAACTTTTACCATCGAATTTTCTATTATATAATATTAAATGTATATTTAACATGGAGTATTATAGCCTTGTTTGGTTTGTGTTTCTCAAAAAATTTTGAGAAAAATTCGCTATAAATAAGTTTTCAAAAGTAATCAAACCAAACAAATTTTTCCAAAATTTTTTTCCAAAACTTGTTTGATTTACAAGTTTTCCAAACAAATCTCTCTCCCATACATATCAAATCAATCACTTTTTCTAAAACTCTCTCAAAATAATTTTTCAAAACATCTTTTGAAAAAAAAACCAAACCAAACAAATTTTCATACTTTTTATCTCAAAACATGTTTCTCAAATACAAACCAAACAAGCCCTATATTTTTCACAATATCTTCACTTCTTTTTAATAGAATATAGGCTCATTTTGTGTATACTTTTTAGGAAATATTTATTTAAATTAAATAATTATGTAATTTGTCTTTTTTGGTAGGATCTTACGATCCTCGATCCGATTCTATAAACACCTCCAATGATCCAACGTAGGATCCTGATTTTAACAACCTTGCTTATAAAATGGCCATCTACAAGTACAGCCTCCTAAAGCAGTATTTTTGGGTGGAGATGGGGGTTATAGAAGTAATAGCAACTCAAGGAAATACCATCCAGAAGTTCATCACAAGACACAGTCACATAATAAGCTACTTGACAAATTACCTGTTCAGTGATTGTTTAAGCTCTTTGATCTTCTGCTGCGTCATTTCACCCCTTGAGAAATCGAAAACTTCTTCGCTTAGAAGCTGACAAGCAACAGTCCATGTCACCAAAAATGCTAGCAATCAATCCATTAGAATTAAAAATAATAAATAAATAAATAAATAAGACTTACTTTCAATATGGCCATGCAGTTCTCACAAATAGTTTCACTAGTTTTTGCTGCAGCAACAAGATCGGGAATGAAGCTTCGCCATCTGGCTGGCCACTCGTGCTTCAAAATCTATATATGAAGAGGTCATGTATACAGAAGATTACATTCAATAATAACTCCATATGATAGAGTCCAACAATCCTTTAACAGATATATCAAAAAATCAAAACTAAATGCAAAGAAAGATATCTTAAAAAATAAATCAAAAGGGGAAAAAGGCAAAAGCTACTGCCACGACACCTTTGAGCAAGACTGACCAGATAAAACACATAAAACATAATAATCTTATGACAGTAAGGAAGTCAACATATTATGATTATCATTTTGTTATACTGGCCTCGTTTGGGAAGTGGTTATTTTACAGGCTTTTTGGCTATTTTAGTTTTTGTGTTTGGGAAGATGAGATAGATTTTTATTTGAGTTGTTTTATTGAAAAATGTGTTGAAATGATGTTTGAAGTTAAAATGACAAATTTGTCCCTAAGATTATAATTTTTAAAATTGATATAAAGGGGCGAAATTGTAATTTTCCAATTGATTTAACAATCTGTCAACTGACAGTGTAGTGCCTACACTGTCCGGGGCTGCAGCCTTTCTTTTCTTTTTTTTTTTTTTTTGAAAAACTTTGAACAATTTTGCTTTTGGGCTTATTTTTCATTTTAGGCTATAATAGCCTCAACCCACTATTCCCAAACAGCGCCACTGTGCATTTCAACACTTCGGAAATTGCGGAACGCAACACCTATATTTCAAACTATTATTAAAATGCAGCATACTAATATTTACCTGTACCAATATAATATTAAGTTTGTTGACATACAGCCTTTCCCGCCGAAAAGAGATCTCATCACTTGATAGCTAAACACAACAGAATAAAGGTGAATTAAAGAATCCATCATAGACTAAAGAGAGAAAAAAATAATAATGACAACTGTCAATTAAAAAAAATAACTCACAGAAGAAATTATTGTAAACCAAAATACCTTTACAATGACATCAGAAATATAATTTTTCATTCCATCTCGTTGTTCAGCCGGCAATGCATTCCATTTGTACTTAATTACACCTTCCAGAACCTGAACATAGAACACAAATGTTCTCACATCAGTGTTGAATAACTTGATATACATTGTTGGGCCCATTTCCTAATAGCTTAAAATTTTGGAACAATCATAACATGGAATCAAGTCTCTCCATTTGAATTTGGTCTCCATTTGTATTCTCTCTCTCATTTGCATTCTATCTTCTATGTATGAATGTTTGTATCTCCACGTGCAAGACAGGGTTGCATGTGTGGGAGGGTGTTGACTAGCTTGATCTTCATTGTTGGGCCCATTTCGTAACAGCTTAAACTTTTGAGACAATTGGTGACTTAACAATCAACTCATTAGAGCAATAATTTACGTTGTTCTATTTTACGCACAGTTTCTCCACAATTATCCTGCTAAATACATGCTCTTTTAAATTACACATTATTATTCTCATCAACAACCCACCATACAACAATCACATCAACAAACAAGTCAATGTAAACCATGACGTACTGCAGAAAGGAAAGTTTTGTTTGTCTCATCAACAACCCATCATTTTCTTTCTTTCAAAAAACTGAAAGGAAAGGTTAGTCACATTAAAAAATACTCTTCCATAAACAATCCCATTCCACCACCTCTCTTCTTCATCATCATTAACCAAAGAGTGCCTTGATCTTAAAATATATATATATTTAAATCGAAGGGAACTTGTTTAGAAATGCACACCATATTCCCATTAGTGAGAGAAACAAATCATCTCCAATACAACAACACAACTCAAGAAAGCCTGCTAACACAGGTCAACTACTCCAATATTTACCATTCCACGATACCTACAACCTGTAATCCAAAGCAGAATGCAACATCTAAGCATTTGCTAAAATATAAGATCCATATTAACAAAATATCAAAATCTACAGGGCAAAAACAAACCTCATAAGGTGCCGCAACTATACAAAATGTGTGTTGGATACACTCTCAGCATGTGTTCGACATGTGTCCAAAAGTATTCTATTATTTATTTATTTTTTCAAAACCTAAAAAATGGTGGAAAACTTACCATCTATCGCTTGAACATTGGTACATGTTTGAAGAGACAATATGAAGGCCAAAGATTAGCATTCAACTAAGTATAGCTTTATACTTATTAATCCCTCATTTAGGCCCCAACAACCTACAATTAGTTTATAAATACATGGGCCTTCTTAAAGTATGACATTAGTGCTTTTTATTCCGACCTTTTTATAACATATAAGCAAGAAAATAACCAATTTGATATCATTTTCATACAATATACAGATACTTCATACACTACCAAGTGTTGTGATGACGTGTGCTTTATACGGTGGTATAGAAATCTACACGTGTTAGCCTTCAAGGGAAATGTGTATGGTCCATACGGTCGGTCCTAACTCAGTGCAATAATGCCCAAGGCCTTAAGTCCTAATACTTCAATTTATGAAGCTTGCAGCCTAATGTCCCATAGGAGTTGGGCCGCAAACCCATCATACAGTAACAGAAGTCATATGTCGCAACAGCTCTGTTATCAGAATCTTACGATTCGCGATTCGATACACAATTTTTGCAAAATCGATACGAATCTATGAGTGAATCTATTTTGGAAGTGAATCTCTAGTGAATCGCACGATTCACAATCGATTCACAATTCGATTCACTTTTTACGATTCATGCAATTTTTAAAATTATTATGTTCGACATATTTTCGACTCATTTTTTCCATCTTTTTAGTGAAAATAACATAATACACCTTCTAATAGCATTTAATACCAAAATAACCAACATATATATATGATTTGTTGTTATTTTAGTGATCATGGAGTTTTTTATAGGATCCAATCAGATTCAGTCAGACCTAACATATTTTTAACATTTCTTCTCATTTTTTTTCCCTTCAAAAAATTGTACTATATCTTCTAAAGATGTTTAAGATTAAAGTTACACTATGAATTATCTATTACTATTTTATTAAATTGAATATTACATGTGTAAGGTCAGTTATACCTTTTAAAATGTTTTAGGCTTTAAAATAAAATATTCTAAATAATTCTTTTTTATTATTTGCTTACTCTTACTTAGAAAAGTATATGTGCTTATTGTCCAAATATCAATATCGTTGTTAACTATTGTTACTTTAGAAATTAATAGTTTGTCTATTTGGTTATTATCTTTATTAAGAATGGTTGATAAAAAATATCTATAAAAAAATTAAAAAAAAAAAGGTAAGATGGTGATTTTACATAGGAATCTTTGTTAACTTCTTACCTATTAAATTACGTGATTATCATTCAAAATAACATTTTTGTTGATTTAAGTCTAAATATTTTATATTCATAAGATATATTTAACATTTAAATGTGTAGATATATGTTTTTAAGTAATTTTAAAAAAAATGACCGAATCTTTACGATTCACGATTCGATTCGCGATTCGGTACGAGGCCATTTCGATTCACGATACGAATCCCAATTTGACAACTATGCGCAACAGTAATACCACAGGAACTACTAATAAGTGTTTCTAGTGTTATACGAAGCCACTTAACTGCCTAATCCAAGAGTCAGGGTTTAAGTAAGCCAAAACCTTTGTCAAACAACATGGAACTCTAATGTGTATTGTGTCCACGGAGGTTTCACCCTACCACAATGCCCCATGCAAGCACAACTAACTTAGACTAATCACAGAGAGAGAGAGAGAGAGAGACTAAACCTAATGTACAAAATCTCGGTAACCTGATATTTTCTAACAATTTTAAAGAAATCCTCAAAAATCTGAACAATTAGTTCCAGTCGAATATCTAACCTTCTATAAAGAGAAGGAAGCACCACTTACATTAGAACCTTTCTTCTACGGCACAACCTTTAAGAGAGGTTGATCTTAAACTCTATACTTTGAGCACTCATATTCTATTACCTCTCTCTTGACTGGACTAGACTAGACGACTACATCTATTCCCCAATTATCCTCTAAGCCCTGCCATCTGACATGTTCTGCCACTACCTAGTAAAACTCTTACGGCCAACCCTTCCTCAAATTCTCTAACTCTCAATGGCACCATTCAATGTGTCCATTTATTGTCGTAAATTTGTAATCTTGAATAATCACCAAATTTTATATAATGGTTCACACATTAGCCTTGTGCAATGCAACAACACATACCAACGTTTAAAATTTTACAATATTACCTAACAACAATTATCGTTCACTTTAAGGCCTTGGATCTTGGGGTGTGCTTCTTCCAAAATTTAGGGATCGAAACCTCTTAAGTTCTAACAATTCCTTGGGACCATCAGACTGGGGGAAAACTCTCGAATTAACCGTGGTGCACTTGCGAGAAACTCCTTGCCGAGAGTCTATGCACCCCTAGAGATTAATCAGGCTTTGATCTGGACACCCCCTAGTGCCTAACCAAACCAAACCAAGACTTAAGTCCCATCAAATAAAGTCAACTATATAAATCCATCTACCGTCACTGTATCGCATCTCTTCACTACTGCCTCTGTTGGTTTTCATTGTATATGACCAAACCATCTCAATCTATTTTTCCCTAACTTATCTTTTATCAATACTACTTCTACCCGTTCTCGAATATACTCATTCCTAACTCTGTCTTTTCTAGTCTTTCTACACATCCACTTTAGCATTCTCGTCTCAGCAACACTAATCTTATCTACATGTTATTTCTTAGTTTCCTAGCATTCCGTCCCATACAACATCGTTGGTCTAATAGCCATTCTATAGAACTTCTCCTTAGTCTAGTGGGTACTCGTTTATCACACAGTATCGCAGACGCACTCCTCCATTTAAGCCACCCAATTTTAATTCTATGGACCACATTCGCTCCAATCTTTGCAGCCATTGTGATAATCGATCATAAATAACGAAAATGTTCACTCTTATGTAGTGCTTGGTTCCCAATGCCAATCAAAAAACAATTCATCTGTGCATATTCATGTACTTGTATATAGGCACACATCTCTGTGTATATGTACCATTTTACATGTCTTTTATCTTCTTTACATGGCCATCAAAATTTGGGCAGGGGAGAGGGCTGCCGATGCCACTGTCTACAAGCCCAACAACTAAAAGATGTGAAACCATGATCCACTATTTCTGAAATCATCATCACATCATAATGCCCAAATTTGCAATTTTCTTAATCCTATATGGATTGCATATGATACAAAGAGAACCACAAAACTAATTATTGGCAACACCACCTCATAGATATTATTTATGGCTCTTTCCAAGTGGTGGCTCTACAAAAACCACTATCTAACATGACTAGCTTCCTTTAAACAAGCTGATACACTAACTTCAATTACCATAAATTGACATACTAATGCCAATTACTATCAAATTGATATACTAAAATAAATTACTGTAGATACTATACAACTGACCTGCAAAGCGAAAAACTTGGTGTTCAAATTCTGTGAAGTTGATAGAATATGAACCACTTGAAGCCACATGTCTGGATTGTTTTGCAAATCCCGCAAAATATGGTCTGCAGCGGTCCTCTGCTCCAACAAGAATAAAGGGGATCAAAATAATAATTAGTCGTGTGGCCGCTGCAACTTCAATAATCCCAATTTTTACATAAAATACATATAAAACAAGCAGAATGATGATTTAGGCAGTCCATAATTTCATTCAGAAATTAGTTATCATCATGAGTGCAAGTGTACCCATTTGCTTTACGCAACCAGGCAGTGAAAATAGTAACATTGTCCATTCCATTGGAAACCTTCCAACTGAAGTAGTTGTTCATAACGATTTCAGTTGAAATTTACTTATCAAAAAGACAAAAATATCAATTTAAGTTTAATTAGCATGAAAATAAGGAAGCATCTTAACTGTAATTTCAAGAATCCATAAGTTATCTACATGTCATTCTGAATACATACAAAAGAAGGGATAGTTACAAAAAGAAGCCACTTGGCATAAGAGAAGAAAAGGATTCAGGACACCAAGTCCAGCCTTTTATTTATATATAGAGAGTGCATAAAATAAGATAAATTAAAACTTGGACCATAGTTTATTTAAGGGGTAGTATTTATTTATTTATTTTTGTCCCTGTGTGTTAGTATGTGTAGGATGAGGAGGAGGGGGGCACCGGAATAAGCAGAGTAGATTGAAAAAAAAAAAAGAGCAATCTTTTCATCATTATAGTTAAGGCACCACACCAATCGAACACCATGTACAGTAGTTCCCCAACAAAACTAGGCCTAATACGGACGCCGCCCAGTCCATTGCGAAACAATGAAACCAAAAAGGCCAAATTCTATAACTATCGCAGCTGTTGCTATGAAGCAGAGTATGAACTCTTACACTTTGTGTTTGCGTTGTACGTACATACATACATACATATGTAGAAATATATATATATATAGAGAGAGAGAGAGAGGATGATCTAACCTCCTCCTTAGATCCGGTGCCATAGAAGGCAGCGACGGTGGCATCGAGTAAGCCGACGTCAATCGGCTGACTCAAATCCCTGAGCTTCTCCGCCGCCATGAAAGAGAGAGAAATAGACAAAACCCTAGAAATCGAAGCAGAGCTGAAAAACCTCACAGAGATTAAACCCTAGTACAAACAAAAGTGTCCGTAGAGATAGAGAGATACGAATAGTTGGTAGAGAGAGAGATAGAGAGAGAGAGAAGGAAAAAAAAAAAAGACAGCTTCAAATTGAAGCAGCTGTGAGAGGAGAGAGAGAGAGAGAGAGAGAGAGAGTACTTTGAAATAGTTTATATTAGGGAGAGGCGTTCCCTCCGGTTTTTATAGAGTAACCTAAAAACAAGACCAAAGAAGGCTTCTTCGAGACTGGGCAGTGGAGTAGAGTAGTGTGTGATGTGGGATGTGTGTGGTGTGTGGTGTGTGGTGTGTGGTGTGTGTGTGTCCGGTTAGAAGCCTAATGAATCTCTAGAGACGTGATTCGGGGATCCTCGAATGTTTACCAGCTTGGGTGTTTGGCAAGAAAAAAAAAAAAAACTTAGTTTAGGTTAAAATTTATAAAAAAATAAAATAAGTTAAAATAGTTAAAAAATAAAATATCACATTAAACTCATAATTATTTCATTTTTTCTCTCATAAACATCACATTCAATCATAAAAAAATTCAATCATCTTTTTAAATACAAAAATTTTAACCTACTAAAATAACAAAAAACTAAAGGACCGTGCTAGGGAGCTCGAAAACGAGCCCCCCGAATCCCCCTAATTTCCTTTTTTTTTTTTTTTACAGCGGAAGAAGCAAGAAGAAGACGAAGAGGGGGAAGGGGAGGGGGAAGAAGGACTGGAGGGGGCCTAAAAAATGGGCTGGAGGCGGAGGCGGGCGGAGGCGACGCGACGAGCTCGGCTGGGCCGACGACCGGCGGGCAGACGAGCTCGGCTGGGCGACGAGCGACGAGCTCGGCTGGGCCGACGACCGGCGACCTCTCTTCTCTCTCTCTCTTTCTCTCTTTCTCTTTTCTCTCCCTCTCCCTCTCCCTCTCCCTCTCCCTCTCTCGAAATGGTCAAAAATGGCAGAAAAAAAAAAAAAAAAAAAAAAACCTAAAGCCCAAAACGACGTCGTTTTGGGCTTTAGGGGGATTCCAGGGCGAAATCCTCGAGCTACCAATCTTTATCCAAAACTAAAATAGCCTACTAAAATAGCAACTTCCCAAACAAGCCATTTATCTCCCAACTTCCAAATTTTAAAATAACAATTCAAAATGTAACCATTTGATATTTCCTTTAACCTTTAATCAAAATTTATTTAAAAATCTAATAAGTAAAATCTTCAAGATTTGATCTCCACATCAAACTAAATTTTATTTTTTTAAGCGTTTCAATTTAAATTTTAAAATAATATCAATTCTAAACATTTGTTTGTATTTGTTAATAGGAAATTAGCAATTTAGATTATTTAATCATTTTTTTTCCCTTAATTACTGTTGACAATCACTTTTCACCTTTATAGTTGTCCATCACCATTTCTGTTTTTCCCTAATCCACTATCACCCCTCCCCCTCTTTTGCCCATTCACCGCTACTACTTCCCTTCCTTACCCAATTCATTGACATTCTCATTTCTTCTCCAATTTATAACCACCGCTACCATCTAGCGTCACCGACAAAAAATAGTTTAATTGTCTAAAATATCCTTGCTCCATTGATGGTTTGAATTAATATAATTTTAAAAATTCATTCTAATTTAAAATTGAAATAATATAAATAAATATATATATATATATATATATAGGATTTTATTTGTTACTAGTGCCCAATCATAAATTATTTTTTATAGTTTGTCTAAATTTATTTATTTATTTTTTATTTATTTTTATTTTTTTTGAGAAGCAAAAACATGCAATATATTAAAAGGAAAACAAAATACAAGGAAAAAAAAATTATTACAAACTACAAAAAGCCTACATTGATATTTGGTAGACAAGAGCAAGGATCTCAAAAAATATTATTTATTTATTATGCAAACCTACTTTAAGAAGTTTTGTCTACAAATTTGAAAACACAAACTAAATTTAAAATTATATATAATAAAACAATAAATTTAACATATTAATTGTAGTACTTATTTTTTAGAGGATGTTAAATTATTACTGAGAGGAGGATTTGTGCCAAACAATGGCCAAGCAAAATCAACACAGTAATTTTGTTGGGCCAGGTAGGACTAACACGAAATATGGTGTTGGGCCAACACAAAACGTGGTGCTGGATTGGGTTTAACTGGGCCAACATGGAGCGTAATGTTTGGCCGAGCTATCTAAGGTGGCACAGCTATATACGTCATGGTTAGGTTCACCGATCGACTGAGCTGGCGATGGATGGATCGAACGAAGAGAGCGAACGAACCACATTAAGGCCGTGGTATACGGCCAAGTTGGTAATGGTCACACTTGTCGACAACGTGAAGGTATTGACTAAGCGCGGCGTCGATCTAGGGTATACCTTAGCTCGGCATCAGTATGTCCATAATCAATATCTTTAGTGCAACCCAAGTATAGCACAATTAGGTATTCCACGTGGACCAATGGAAAGGAAATCGCTCTAGGTGTACGTCAATACTGTTTGGTAGTATTCATATATACACTTGTGAGGAATGGAGAGGGCAGTATAGCCACACATCCAATAAAGAATAACAGAGGTAGTGTGCACACAATCTAAGGCTGCATGACTAGCCTAGAAAATGAGGCGCAATAAGACTCAAAGTGGTAAGCAACTTTTAGCCACTCTCTCTCTACAATACTCTGTATTTTCTCTTCTTCTCCAAGAAAGCTACATTGACCGTCGGAGGGGTTTTTTGGTAACCCACTCACCGGGTAGCTCACCCTTGTCTGTTCACAGTAAAACAGAGTTCCATCGAATTTAGAACAGCTTGGTAACAAGGAATACGGAAGGCGACGAATATTTTTCCCCCTATACAATTACATAAGTTTTTAATAAAAATGGTATAACTTCTCTTAAATTTAAATTTGTATCACAAAAATAGATGGTTATTATCGAAATTATATTCATCGGCTATTTTTTAAAAACAAATATGACTTAAACATATAGTTACCGATATCTAATAATTTTGATTTTTTTGTATAAATATTATACTCAACGAGTCGTAAAAAATGAACTATTTAAATCACCAAAATCGATCTCAAAATGAGCTTGCAAAGTCCAAATACTATTTCAAATTGACATAAGACAACTTAAAAGAAGTCGTATCCTTAAAAAGATTTATACATCATAACATTTGAAGGTTTGATTAAAAATACGAATAATGCTATATGCACCAATTAGTATACTAAATTGTATACCAATTGATGATGTGACATAATTTAAGTAATTTTTGATATATGTAATGTGATTAATAAGTGGAGTCAATAATAATGTCATAACTGGTGTAGATACACTAGTTAGTACATTAATTAGTGCATGTAACACCACCGTTGAAAATACTCTTAATCACCTTGTGTCATTAAAGAAGACCAAGTTCCTCCGTAATTTAGAGATTTTTCGAATTACACAGACTTCTAAGGTGACTTCTACAAAATATTAAAGCCAATAAAACTTATTTATGATCTCCAGAAGTATACACTTGTAATGTCTCGTTGAACATGCACATTATTCTCATCATATACCAACGACTCTTTGAAACATGCACATTATTCTCATCATATACTAATGACTCTTTGAAAGATGCACACCGCTCTCATCATATAGCTCACTTAGAATGATTTTCATATATGAATGGAATATGTCTATATAATACCTTCCATTATTATGATTGGTAAAAAATAATGAAATATAAGCTATATTGTTGAATGTTTAGGGAACACTACTGGTATATTTGTGAGTGATAGAATGATAGTGATACTTGTACCCTATTGATATACAAAACTTTCTCACTTCATAGAGATATTGGTTTAATATTTCCCCCCAAAAAAATAAAGAACATATGTACACACAACACAAGCATATCCCATTACTCCAAGCACTCGTAATTCAATGACACCTTCTAAACACTCTAATACAACAGGCAGAGAATTTAGGATGATGACATAGCTTCATTGATCTCCGCTTGTTCTCTTTCTCCATACCTTTAGGCCCTATATAAATTGTAATTTGAATACTCAAAAAGCATATACAATGGCGAAACTAAAGTTTAAAATAGAGATTTTGGATATAAATTAAACCCAGAAGATCAAAGAACAAAAAAAGAAAAAAGACTAACTCCAAAAAGACTAATATTCCAAATATACCGCATATTCTTGACACAAAAAATAGCTTGAAGGAAAATGGCATATTACAGAGTCATGGCCAACTATAAAAAGGAAAACTGGGAAGAAAATAAAAGATGAAAGCACAGAAGGGGTGTGTGAGTCTATACTAAACATGCACACTTACATAGAATGTCCTTTACAAGGGGCATTGTTTGCTATAGACCTAGAAAATTTTAAATGAGCAGGTTACTCAAGTACAACATTTCCAGAGCTCTTAAAACTACCTCAAAATGACTTGCAGACACGGTAATGCTGTGCCGCCACCCCTTTTGTCTTTTCCTATATTCACAGCCTCTAGCCCCTTGTAATATAGGTTCACGTTTGCGCAAGGCCAGTTACCTCTTCTCTGTTTCTTCACTCTCTCCATGTCGACCACAATCCGAAACACACGATGAAGATGATGATGCAACTGCCTTTCCTTTGTATTCAGAAGATGCTGTCACAGTTGTGTCCATGCTTTTCTCAGCTCTTGAATTTTGTACAAGGTGGAGCTGGCTTTGCAACATCTATTGTAAATAAATGGGAGAAAGTGGTCAGGTCAAGATAGAAAAACAAAATCAAGTTATTTGGCTTTTTTTGACTGGTTGAGATGAGAAAAAAAAGAGCATGGATAGAAAGGCACACCTTTCACTGCACAAAATAAATAAATAAATAAGTAAATAAAACTCAAACAATTGTCATTATATACAATTTAGTGGAACCCTAACCAAATCTGATATTTATAAAGACCACATCCCTAGAATATTAAACAGGGGAATGAGAACATTTGTTTCTTAGAATATAGAGGACACATAGACAAACATATGCAGATATTTTTATGAGTGCATACATGTGTTCACTAAATAGCAAGTACATGTGGAAAAAAATTATCCGAGATTGATAGCTTTTTGTGTCGATGGGACGGGAGGAGCATTTTTCTAATGTCATCTGGCATCCATTGCTATGGCCGGTGTCAGA